ACCATACTCCTTCTTTATTAACTTACAGGTCAATGGAAAACAAGGCATATAAGCTCAAGTTGGACGGGAAATTAAGCCAGGTCTACTGCAACATGAATGGTCATGGTCTCGGTGACTGTGGAGGTGGGGGGTGGACGCTGGTCATGAAGATGGACGGCTCAAAGGTTGTTGCTCCGATATTAACTCGTTTTAATCAAGCTGTTTCATTGTTGATGAAATGTTTAGGATAAATCTGGACTCATTCTGCGGACCTCAATGCGCCTTAAGTTACACTTTTGCTAGGCTTTCTTTGGTCAATTTTTTTTAGTCTTACAGACTTACTTTAGTCCTTCCAACAGTCTTTTCCATTGAATTTTGGCGGCATTTCATGAGATTTTTCAAGCCAAGCTCAACATTATATTATGGAAAACATTCCCTGGACATTTTTTGAAATGATCCCAGTCACAGAAGGCTTCAAAGTGTCAGGTTTACGCCAAACTGTAAAGTTCGGGTTTGATCCCCTGGCCGGCTCACTGTGTTTTTTCTTGTGTTATCCTTTCTACAGCAAACTTTCCACGCTTCGTATTGGAAAGACAAGAAGACATATGAATCTTCTGCAGGGCAGACAGGTTTAGACGACCGGGAGACCAAGACCAAGTTGGCAACTTATTGGAACACGCCTTTCACCAAGATCTGCCTCGGAATGAGCAGGAATGGTGAGTAATCTAGGTTCCTTGTTCTGAACGAGGCAGCCAAATGAATGTATGACCTGATTGAGGGTGACCATTACCGTGCCACTTCACTTGGTCGTAACACATGGAAGAAGCTTATCGGTTCTGATGCCTCCCTACAGCTGAACTGCAACAGAGAGGGCTTCAACGTCATGGGTAGCGTGAGTGGTTCAAAAGTACGAATTGGCATCATAGGCAACCAGGAAAACGACTGCGCATCCCCCGCATCCCCCGACTCCAGAATCGGTTTTGGTGCCGGTGGTTTTCCAACAGGCGACCCTTCGTGTGGAAACGTGGGCAGTTTCAGTTCTGATAATGGCGACGTGACCATCAGGTATAGTGTAGCTTACAAAGAGATAAGATGCAAATAAAAGAGAAAATTTGATAAAAAAAAACGGTCTTTCTTTCCTTTCTGTATCATTTAGACGTTTCCCCGAAAGAAAAATTAAGCCTCCCCCTCCCTCTTAACTTTTTTAAAATTTGAAGTGAATTTTGGACTGCGCAATAAAAGGTGATATGTAAAAACGTAATGGGATTAGCAAATGGTCTTTCAATAATCATAATATAATAATAATGGTTTATTAAAATACACACAGTGGCATAAAAACTATGAATTACAGTATGCCTACATGATACAAGAAATAAAGTTACATTTGTTTCAAAGGGACTGGGATTACAGGCTATTTATAAGTTATTTACAATTCGGATATGGATAAAATACTATAATAAAAATAACCAGACCCTTATTGATTAGTTGATTTTCGCCATTGCTGGGAAAAAACTAGAACCAAAGCGTTTTGTTCTATACTGAAAACGGCTAGAACTGCTACTGTTCCTAATATGGTGAGAGTGGCATTCGGATCGCACGGGAGGGAGGAGACGGTGCAGCTGGTAGGTCGGGTTATTTTTGATATTGTGTCACACTTTGAGACACAGGTGGGCGCGTCTATCCTCTAAACTGGTAATGTTGGCTTGCGCAAGAGCCTGTTGATAGTGGAGGTCAGGATATATGATTCGCAGAGCCCTCTTTTGGATAGCTTCTAGCTGGTCAATGAGGAAGTGAGGAAGGCAGGTAGCCCAGACAACGGAAGAGTATTCTAGGACAGAGCGAACCAAGGCGCTATAGATGGTGACAAGGTCCGCCGGAGGGACCCCAGCGCGCTTCAAGACCCTAAGAATGTGCAGACGCTTGGACGCTTTGGAGACGATATCGTTGGTATTATCGTTCCACTTCAGGGTGTCACACAGGGTCAGACCGAGAACTTTGTAAGATGAAACTGCCTAATCACAGCAAAACATGAGTTTCTTGTCAATCACAGCAGATAATTGAAGAGACCGGTATTCAGCACTAATCAAGCTTATCAAGGAACAAGAGATTATAAACAATTTACATTCTTTTTTAAAAACTGATGACAATTTCCAGCCTATTCGAAATATGAAAACCGTAGCCATGTTGGTGCATAAGTTTATTCCTGTAGCTGTACTCCACGTAATTGGAATGTTCAATACCAAACTCCAGTAGCCAGAGCTGCTAGCGGCCCATTCACCTCGGCCCGCGGCTAGGAAGCTCTGTCTTGGAGGTGACATGTTGACACTGTCAATTTACCCGTTCGCTTGGTTTGAGCCTGTCCCATACGCAATTCATATGTCTGTACTGTAACACTCACCAAAGAATATCATAATGTTCACATTGTAACCTGAAATTGCAGAGCTGTAAATTTCGTCAACATATTATATTATTATAATATGTTGGTATGGTTTGGTAAAATTGCTTAGGTGATTAACTATAGAGACGTGCGCGCTTTGATTGGTCGAGTATTGTGTCATATCTCGTCACATCGCGCGAGGTGATTATTGTAGGGGCGCTGAATTTTAAAATGGCTGCCCCTCGTTTTGTCAATGTTTTCGGGGAAGTTATGAACGCCATAAAAAAATTTAATCGCGAAGACCACAAAAGATACTACTGACTTTGGCGGAACACTTTTCAAAAGTATTATGTGAAGGTTTTGCTGATTTGATTAAATAACTCACCTAAAACTGCCTGTTTGATCTTGATATGAGTAATCAATACAGTTATAGCAAAATGTGCGCAATGTTTTTTTTATTTTTGACAGAATTAAAAACAGAAGTAGAAAGTACCTGACTAATTATACTAAAGCGACTGTTCGTCTCAGGCTCAGTGAACATTGTAAATAATCCCCACGATTTCGTCTCGAAGATTATTCAACAATATTCACGTCGCTATAGACGAATTATTATTAATTATTATGTTCGGAGGCTGACTTTCTATTTCTCCAAGTGATTATTGTCGTTTAATTATGACCCCTTGAACATCTTTGCTTCTGAATTCGGTCATCAATTCTCTTGCACGCACCCTGAATTCTAATGTGCTGTTAAAAAAAAAAGCCTACATAGCTCATCAGCCTTATTAGGGCTGTGCTTCTGCTTAAAGGCCGGAGTATCATGGAAACTTTTTAGGACGGCCTCCTGCCAAAACACGTGTTTTCAAATTTCATTGGGTAGCGGTGTTACAAGAAGCAGCTCTCCCATACGTTTTGACTTAACTTTTAATTGAAGGATGGTTTGTTTCAGCCTCGAATAAATGGGGAACTGTTCGTTTGCATATGAACGAGTTGTAATGAAAAGAATAAGATGAATGAAAGCGCTAACGGTGCATCTGACAACTAATTACAAGATTCTCACTTTTTTGCGGTTACTTTTATCTAATTTTAGAAAAACACTGAGTATTCCATCAGTTTTAATAGACTCCAAAGAAGTATTTTTATTCAAGGACGGAAGATAGTCGAAAACTGCGGCTGAGTGTTATGTTCACTCGGTGACATTAAATATTCAATAAAGAAGTCGTTTAAATTAAAAAAAAAATTATCATATTACGCGACGTCTCGATTGTTAGACTCTCCGCCCTTTGATTTGATAAGTTGACCAACCTCTTAATAGAATTCACCGAGATGTTTTCTTTGTACAAAAGTTCTTTATTTCTCATACTTTTGCATTGCGAAATGATGTCAGACTTAGACTTAAAATGATTTTTAGATAGGATAAATCAATTTCACTAGTGCTTCCTTACATATTTTCAGCTGCATGAAAAAAAAAATCAATCATTAAACTAAAATTGAAATTGAAGTTTTCGGACAGACAAGAAAATATCGCCTTAAGGGTGGCTTTTGAGTGGTTAGTTAATGCTTTATTTGTTTTTTGATAAATGTTAGTAATGATACCTAGTTGTTTACCTTTAACGTAAACGTTCTCATTAGTTATTCTGGACACTGTCTTAAAGTTCAAATTTTACTTGTTAGGGGTTAGATGAAAACAAGTTTCTCCACTTTACTTGATATAAGCCATTAACGAGGCTTCTGTCACAAAATTTGAGACGCACTCGGCTGCGCCTCGTCTGCCACTATTTTTGTTCTTACTTCATTTTGACTTATCTGTGATCTATTACTCAACAGACTCATGGCAACAAGGAATGCATTTGTTAATTTCTCTTCAGTTCTACTAATGAAGCGAACATTTAAACATCGTTGTGGTCTCCATCGTCTTCCTATGGTCCTATTATTTTAGGTACAAATGACCAGACGAAAAAAGGTTTAAAACGAGTGTAAAAAGAGGGTTTACTAGTTTCTGTATATAGAGACATTCATTTTCGCGCTCCTCTCCGCTCCCTCGAGTTACTGCGTTTTGTTGCTACAACCAGTTGCAAAAATGTTGAGACACCTTGTATATCACTCGAGGGCGTGTAAAGGAAAATCATGGAATATTTTAAGCTTTGCCAGAACATAGACCTACTTGACCTTTTGCTAAAGGTGTGTTTTTCATTTTGATAACAATTTTATTGTACACGAACGGGAATGAAGTCGAGTTAGAGGCTCAAAGAAATTTTTGAGAGAATGAAACCGCACTCAAGTTAATAATTGCTAAAAGATGTGAAAAAAATAAACTTATTTGACGATAGCATTCCAGAAAGAGTGCATGTTATCCGATTTATATCAGTGATATGAAATTTTTCAATTCCATTGCCAACCAAACTTTCTGTTAACTTGCAGGGATATATTAAATAGATGTTGCATTCAATAGTTGCATGTGGATATAGTGATCCTCATAAAAAAAACTTCCGTAATTGTCGATGGTTTTAAATGGAATTTATTTTTCAAAAGACTTAATAACAAAAATTTATTTTTTAATCAGTTTGGTGGAACAAAATAGTACAGAGAGGATGGTCAATGTATCACCGCTTAAAAACATCAATGAACACAAAAAATTTGATCTAAGCCCTCGTTTATTTCAATCTTTATGACAGTAGTGAGAAGACTTTCCATGATTTAAGTTTGCGTACATTTGAAACGTTGCAGTAGACCTGCAAAGTTCGTTGTACCTTTTTAGTTTGGTATGTTTACCTCCCCTTCAGCTATTTTTTTATTTGGAATGTGTTCAGTTGAGACTATGATCTTTTCACTGAACCAAGATATACCCCATTGCCTTAATGTGTTTATCTCCGTTATCCGCAGAGTTTGTAGCCTCATTGCCACATGTGTTGGAATCATCCTGGTGTCCCCCGGTGCCGAACCCAATTCTGGAATCGAAGCTAAGGCAATCGTTTTCTTGATCGGCCACATAGCCAATTCTTGCCTTCGAAAAACTCTTGTTATCGCCAACAACATTGAATCCCTCTCTGTAGCAGAAGAGCTGTAGGGAAGCCTCAGGGCCAATCAGTTTCTTCCACGCTCCACGACCCACTTTGGTTTTGCGGTACTTGTCATCCCCAATGAGGGCATACAGCGACCTCGCCTTCTCGTTCAGAACAAGGAACCTGGTCGTGGGCTTTCCCTTTATTTTCATTATGAGACAGATCTTGGTGAAGGGTGTATTCCAGTAGGTGGGTAGCTTGGACTCGTTATCGTCCAAGCCAGTTTCTCCTTCTGGAATGCCGTACTCCTTTTTGTTGGTCCAGAGAGGTGAGTCGTAATGGAACGTTCGCTTCAAAATGTCATGCAAACAGCCAAAATTAATGGTGAGAATATGTGAATGATGTATCGAAAGACTTGTGTTCTCACTCGGTAAAACAATCAAAATTGGTGTCTGCCTTTTATATCTCTTTAATTTTAGACAGTCAGGAAATTTACTCTATCTTAAATCCTTATAAAAACTGCCGCAATGAAAGGAAATAAATCGTTCTGAAATAAATATTAACACAGCTGCGAGTCTCAAGCGTCAATCTTTCAAGAATCTAACACCAAACACGATGAAATCATATTCAACCGGTCTCTCCATCATCGCTGCGTCGAATGAATTGCTATTTTGAATTTGGCGACATGTTTTTTCCTACTTTGAGATCAGCACACAAATATGTTTTAATTTCAGTTGATTCAAGACACGATGTTTCGAATCATTTAAATCAAAGGTACCTTTGTCCCGTCAATCTTCATAACCAGCGTCCATCCACCACTCCCACATTCACCAAGACCAACGCCATCCATGTTACAGTAAACAGGCAGCTCTCCAGAATCCATTTGGAGCATGTATGCCTTGTTTTCGCTTGGCCTACAAAACGACGTCGAAACTCTCATGGTTTTAAATGGTTTAACTTAGTTATAACTTGATCAGTTACGTTAGCAAGGGGAGAAAATTGTTCATTCTAACATATAATTTCTGCTACTTACTTGTCTTTGTCGTAGATTTCTTTGCACGACTTTGGTCCTTGCTCACAACCTGAGCAAAATTACAAAAAAGAAACCAGTAAAGGTTTTTTTAAACGCACATATTAAAGGCGTATACTATTTCTAAAGAGCGGTTTAAAGAGCTAGATGGCTGGGCGTATAGAAAAAAGAAGCTAAAACGCAACAGTTTTGAACCTGTAGAACCCAGATCTGAACAGTCCAGCTCTTCAATCTTGTTGGCGAGATCTTCTAGCTTCTGATCTGCTTCCCTGCAAAATTTTCTGCCTGCATTTGCAAAAATAGTTAGACAAACGAGAACAAGAACTCCGCCAAATTTCATGACTGCCGTTGATATAAGAATTTCAAACGTTCGACAAAGGTTATCGCGAGAGCGAACTATGAAAAGCTAGCGCAGTCTTCACTCTTTATAAAGCATTCAGATGTCATGAAAGATTCCCTTAATCTTCTCCCTATTAAATTCATAAGTTTCTTTAATCCCTTGTAAGAGATTTCAAATCTCAATCAATTTCTGTTCAAGACGTGTTTCATGGTGTTATTGATTAAGCATAACAAGAAAAACAGGTTATCGAGTTTGAGGAATAAGATACAATAACCATAGATACGGACATTCGTTATAGGGGACATATCACAATTTTCATAACAATTACGACACTTGGCAAGTTCAATATTTTTTTTTTTTAATCAACATCACCATTGTCACGACTTTCTCAAACTACAAGCTTCCTTCAGTACTTAACTCAAGTTCACTGCGCTTCATATATGTACACGTAGATATGTTCACAATGATCACTCTTAAGAGTCAAATAACTTAATTAATTGCAGTAGTACAATATATAAAGAACAGGATACGTGATGTGTTTTGCAATGCTTAAAACGAGGGTTCAACGACCTTTCCGCGCGGGATATCCACAAATAGAATTAAATCAGAATTTCGTTGTTAAAGTGAAAGCAAAATAGCCATAGATACACATGTTTCTCTAACGAAAAAAATTCACTCGCATCCTGAATATTAATTATCAAGAAATCGGTAAAGAATATATACCCTATAAGATAACTTAACTTTGTCACTTTCATTAAATGTATTTGTAATAGCATTTTTAAAACTATACACAGCGATAGATCGTGGGCCTGATGATAACTCTACCGCCTTTTCTCGTGTTTTATCCTTAAGAAATAGCTAACCAACGTAACTAGCGAAATAACCCACAGATTGAAAGTTTTTTTTCTGATGGTATAAAACATTGCCTCTGCGTCATCGTAGAGAGCCCTAGATTGACGTTGAACTCGGAGGGAACCACTCTCAGATAAGAAGGAGTGAATTTCAGATGTTTGAGCAGGTGTGCAAACCACCAGATAGTAGGGATTTTAAGGGTTAGTAAAGAAGAGATATTTGCGATTAGTCAGTCAGTCGCTTTGCTATGCTTTGGATCGGGGTTTTATTCAACCCTCCAATTATCCCAGGAACATTGGAGTAATTGTCGACAATAGGGAGTTAAAGAAAACCACGACGGCAATGGCAACGGGAATGTCCCTAAACAAAAGGTTTAATGAGCAGAATAGAATTTCTTTGCGTTCTCTGCAAAACAACAACGTGAAATGACCAAGCTTTGTGTTTTCTGGAGAACGTGAACGACGACGGCCACTTTTTAAATTTCTATTTTTTACTTAAAACTGAGTTCCATATTCAGTTTCGAGACAGTTTTGACAGTGAGAAACAAACTAAATTACTTTATAGTACCGCGAGATTCGTAAATGAAGGTTCACTTTTTAACCGACGTTTTCCACGGCGTCGCCGTCGTCGTTTCCTAAATTCCCTAATACTATGTCCATAATACCTCAAGGGGTTTCATTGTGTTATGCCGCTTTTAATCGTTTACGTAACATCACTTGCATTAGGAAGTACCCATCCGCCACGACTACAACAATTTTTATAAAAGAATTTGATAACTGTAACTCTCTTCTGTTTGGTATTCCAGAGCACGGTCTTAAGAAATGCCAATGTTTTCGAACGCTGATACTCGTATAAAATCTGATTCTTGAATCTATGATCACGAAATGTCGATCCTTATTACACTTCTCTGGCTAGCTTTTGCTAAACCCATCAAATTCAAGATATACTTTTACATTTAAGGCCTATGAATCTCTAAGTTATTTTTAAGTTTCCCCTCAGATGCCTCCCGGAAGCCTTCAATCATCATCTCCCCCTAGTTGAAATGGTTTATTACAATTTTAACCTTTAATCGTAGGGAGCAAGATCCCAGCTGTTGCTGCTCCAGAAAAATGAAGCAATTCATCTAAGTTTAAATTTATGATTATGTTCTAATATTTATCCTTTTAGATAAAAGACAAATCTTTTTAAGTTTGCTTTTAATTTTGGTCAGGCAGTTATCGCTTTGTCTTTTCATCAGTCGTTATCGCTCAAAAAAAGTTAATTTTAAATAAAATGATAATTATGTACGTGTCTCCCAACAGGAATAGAGCTCTCTATAATCCACCATTAATTTTCGCTTACGTCACATGTTGCAAATCACAGGACAATTATCACGCATTAAGTCACGTTTACGTCGACATTTGTCCTTCGATTATTTCCATAAAAAAGACACAAATCCAACGGATAAGGCCAGCTCAAGAGTTTCCCTTCGTCATCTTTATTACTTCACGTGGAAGAAAAACGAACTCGTTTGGTTGATTCCAGTGACAGCGACAATAAAAAGCTGATCTCAAATGCCGCTTCTCGCGAGAAACGGAAATTGATGGCAAGGTTATAAAATAAACCCGTTTACAGCTTGAGATTGTCCTCGAAACTTCACATTTGCCCTCGAAGCTTCGGTTCTCAGCCAAATATTCATTTCTCGGACAATATCTCAGCCGTGCCTATTATCAACCGATATACCAGCCGCCTGAGGGGGTTTACTTACTAAATATACCGAGTATAAAATTGCTAGATATTCAAGAAAGATTTGTAGGATTCATAGCGAACTTCGGACACAGGCACTTAAGTATTGAAATCGATAAATGGTTTCTACAAAAATTGGCAATCCAGTTTGCTGAAGTAAATATCGCTAATGTTTTTACGTAGGAATACATGAAACGCGAGGATACACTCCGGAAAGCAACATGATATCAATGATACACTGTGCGTGCAAATTGACGAAAGTTTGTCGGTGAACCTTAAAGATGATGCTCTACTAGGTAAAGTTTATGTGATGTGAACAGAAAATCTTCTTACGTATCATAAGATATTTCTAGAGAGGGAAGCTTACTGAAAATTTTTGTTTCAATTTTGACAAACTGTGTAACTGAGGGGAAGGACGGTGTATCAGCAATAGATAGTTCAGATTCACTTCTCCTGACTTTAGAAAGATAGAAGACGATCTAAAATCATTCACACTCTTTTTTTATGCAATGAATGCCAAACCTCGCTTCAATTGCTATAGAAACTGTTAATAGTGGCTAATTTACATTATCAACTTAGATAATAAAACCCGGCTGATTATCTTCATATGCCAGATATCAGTTCGATATCGTTCCAATGGCTTATCAATCATGTCGCTGAGAGAGCTGGAGAATAAGGCAAGTTGACCTGAATTGGTGGCTAAAACTTTCTTCCAGCGAAAGTGCAAGCGATCATCAGACTTCTGTGCTTGACACGTACAATGTTGAAATTAAAATTTTACATAGTAGCGGTAATATAACTGAAACCCTGGTCGAAATAATCTAATATGTATGATGAAGGGAATAAGTTTCTAAAAAGACTGTGGTGGTGCGCCGATAGGGAATTAGAAGATGATTTGATTTTATCAATTGCGTTAATAACGTAAATTAGCCACTGTAAAGAGTTTCCGAAGCTGTCGTTTCGAGCGTTAACCCTTCGTCAGAGCAAATATATAAATATATGGTGGACACGAACGTTACTTAATAACCGCTCAAACCATTATTGCTGATTCAGTTCAACCAAGATGTCTACGTTGCAAACTTTCCAGGGAAGCTGATGAAATCAAACGATATGAAATGTAATAATGCATTATCATGATTTAGAAAGATTTGCAGCAAAGATTCATCCAGTTGTTAATAAAAAGCATCCAAAAAAGTTTATTTGTATTCTTTAGTTATATTATTTTAACATCAAATCTGATGACAGGGATAATTTGGGGAAGACCCGAACGTCGGGGGTAGCAAAGGACTCTACCTATTTGAATATACCGAACAGTTCAGGAAGGTTTATACAAACGTATGAGATTCTATTTAAAATTTCTCTTGTCATTACTAGGCATGATACATACAGCTCGACGTATTAAGATATACTACTACATCATATTCTATTTATGATATGTCTTAGTATGACTAAGCATGGCAAATTTACAGTAATGCACGAATATTCCTGATTAGCAGGAAATGAAGCACGGTCATTGAATTTCTGGCCTTCTGATTGGCTGAACGGAGCCATGTTATGAGCTGGTAACCTAGTTCCGACAAATACGGTCAATGAATTCGTCAACAAAGTGATAAAAAATTTGGAGAGCGAGCCATGAAGCAATGGCGGAAAAAAAATCAGGTTGGATGAGAGCTTACCATTAAATAAGTAACAGAAGTAAAAGAAAATGCGACTCCCATATCCACCAAAAAAATTCCATTACATTTGATACGAAAATATTTCATGTATGTAGCGGATAATTAAGCGGTTTTAAGTTGCTAAACGTGTTATATGATTTGTTTATATGTTGCGGTAATATTTGCGACAAGCGAAAGTTAATTGTTTACTGACCTTTCAGAGTGGCTGAACAGTCATTGTCAAACAAAAACAGCTGGTTAGTATGGTTACTTTTTGTTTGCGTTTTTACCAAAACAATCAAATTTGTCGAATATGAGATTATTACAACCAACTCGGTGGTTATCTATGATTTCATATCAAGCAACTTCGTGGAATAATTGTTAAATATTCTGCAACATTCCTCTAAGACTTTTCGGAACTTACAACATTCGTTTCCTCGGCTTTGCGTCTTGCTTCTGGCCCCCGGGGATCAAAGTTCACCTAACATGAGCGGTTCAGAGTAAAATTTCGACAGATAAAAAAAGTCTGCTGACAGTTTTTATTAAGAGTCACTACTAAAGTAGTTGGTTTGTGTATTTTGGCTTTTCTACAACGAAAGAAACTTGACGTATCTTTCAACTTCATTCTGTCATCTTTAAAGAGCGAAATTATTTTAACGGAAAGTCACGACTTTCGGAGGGTTGTTACCTTCGAGGGATCAATGCTTTTGAGATATGCAAGCTGCCGAAAAACTAAATTGAAACTTTCCGTGGTCAAAATCGAGTCAATACCACTCCGAAAGACTGGGGATAGCAACAAACAAAATGGCCCATATCCGACAAGTTTCGGCCGCCGTCACTTTTGCTAAAATTTGTAAGAGACGAGATATAAAGAGAACTCGGCCAAGTTATCTCAAGTCGCACAAAAACAAAAGTTCCTTCCTTTAGAACCAACTTTTTTCTCCATTCTTCACAAAGTTCGGTCTACCGCAGTTTTCCTTGAGTCCTTTTTAAAATTTTCCTTGTACCTTCTTTTCTTCACACCACAGCGTAAAAAATATCTGTCTCTTCTGAAAAAGTAATCTTCGATTTTGTTAAGGAAGACTTGTCAAGAACGGCAATTTGGTCTTCAATTCTGACGCAAGAAAACCTTTACCTTCCACTCCCTAATCAGTAGAAATTGGTAAAAAAGATCCCTCATTTTCTATCGATTTCGGCTACGATCGTCTCCGCGTTTTTAACAATGTTTCAAAATTCTGCGAATTAAGCGATTTGAAGATTTGATTTACAAGAAAAACTCGTGACGTGAGCCTGTTACAAGCTTGTCGCCTGCGACAAAGTCGTACCGTGTTAATCGGCCCTGAATTTAATTGCATTTGCCATGTCGTATGCTGGTCTTCAATTGATTAAGTTTCACTAAATATCAATGAAAACACTGGATTTAACTTGCAGTCAGTTTCAAATATTTTAAAGGGGGGGTTAGAGAACGAGTGTTTGTAGTGGAATCAAGTGATTTCAAGGGAAATCAAGTGATTTCCGCTTTCTAATGTGAACTTGCCGGAACATAGGAATATATTCAAATCGAGGCACCTTAAATAAAATTGCATCAATTTCCACCCTCTGTAATTATTTATTGTTTGGTTGAGAACAGTACCAGTTTCCGTGGACAACTGACTCACATTTAAGTCGACGGTAAGCGTAATTGTAAAAATCTAGTCAGTTGCGTCTTGCTTTCATATTCTATAATGAAAAGAAAGCTTGAGATTTTTTTTTAAACAAATGCACTGCTTGGGAAGAACTTTTGAGCGATCCCGGTCACTTTACCTCGATGGGCAATGAAGAACCTCGCTTTGCTTATTTTTTTATTAAATCTCATTTTGACTTTGTTATAAGCTTATGCTTACTTGTTCTTACCTGACAACAGGATTTCTTTCCTCCTCGGACCTAATTACTATCTATCGCCAATCCATTATGTTCAGGTTTGGTCTGCAGCCGAAGAAAACCTGCTACAGAAGTCAAAGATGAAGAGTTCGTATACCTTTACATAATCTGAAAGATGCTTTGGAATGTTAAGGCATATATACCAATTAGGGGCCGGTGAAATAAAAAAGCTGTTTCCGACTGCTTTTTTATTTCACTTTTTTAAAGATCACCGGCATGATTTGATGCATATTTTAACGTTTTTCGGTTTCTACCATGTCCTTTAGCGATTGAACATTTTCATTTCACTTTTTTAGCAGGCACGCTGATGGGCAAAGGAAAAATTCAGGATATCTTAGAAGTGTGTGATGGCCTCTGATACGGTGTGAACACAAGGCAAATTGGCGAGGCTCTGTTGAGTTAAATGCTTGCCAACTTTCATTTTCTTTGAATTAAATCACAACAAGATGAGGAATACAATCAAGAATGTTGAGTAAAAACGTCTTGAATCCTATCAAGCTTTTATTTCCTCAGTGTGGCCTTCGTCTAATATACTGGATACGCATAATTTATAACATGAGCTCTCGCAGTTGCTTATATTTGTTCCATTATGAAATGTTTATAAACAGAAGTTTCTTGTGTTCTCTCAAACCGGGAGCGTCCGTAATTGGAGGTCAGAGATACGATTTCTACCACAAGGCCTGCTAAGCATAAAAATAGGAGTCTAGCACTGTCATCTGCTGTTTAATGACCCAGTATTATTTTTTTCCTATTGCACTACTGCCGAGAAATATTTCAGTTTCGTGTGGTCAGTAGTCATGGCTTTCTTTTGAACATGTGCCGTATTAAGAAAATTCCTTAAAACCAGAAAAATAATCTAGAAAAAAAATTTTTTTTGGATGCATTTTTTCATGATTGCCGTCGGGTATTTTTCTACATTTAGGTTTTCTCTTAACGTTTGACTATCAGAAGTGATGTAAATTCTTCTAACAATTTTGATTCAATGTACATGGTCAAGCTGACAGTTAATAGAAATCAAGAATATGATCAGTTGGAATCTATTGCCTTGACTCAACACCAAATTCTACACAGTAGCCGACGAAGAAATGTAGGGATATCAGTTGTCAGAATTTGCCAGGGGATCTCGGGGATGACAAAGATCAAAACGAAAGCTTGGTAAATAACGCATGTTGATTTCGTCGCCATGGTGTGACGAAATGTCAAGCCAGAAATTTCCTTTTCTTGTAGGGTTGACATCATTCTTAAAAATGGAAGCTGCGTAAAGTTTTCAGGGACAAAAACTTCGAATAACGTCACATTCACATCAAAAAAATAGCATAAATATTCATGGCCCACACTCCACATTAATTAAAAGTCCGGTTGTTTCGCGGTAAACAGTTATCTTCTTGCGAAAGATTTTGCAGGTGGGTGTTACATTTATGTTGCGATTTGTTCAGAGTTGACATTAGCCCTAGTAATAGTCTTAGAAAACGTGTTACTAATTGCATGACGTTCTAATACTAAGATCGAGTTATACATTTTTCTATCAGGTTCAACAGCTATCTGGAGTTTTCTGAGTTTTTCACCAATAAAAAGATTTCTAATATCAGGTGAGTTTTATGGGTCATTTATGCCTCACGAAACAAAAACAATGTTGGCCGTGTTCTCATTTCCGTATAACGCAACAAAAAATGGGACGAAATAGATTTGAATTATTCCAAATTAGTTTTGGTCAAAATTCATGTACAAAACAGAAAAGCTGGGGATGCAAATTGCCTACAGAAGACTTGGTTTATCCTGTTTTGTCACACACGTGCGTTCTATAGCTGTGAAGGGAAAGCTCAGTAAGGAAATGTGGCATGACAAAAATGAAAGAGTCATTTCGTGACATCATAAGATTAATTCATTTCATAGGTATGAAAATGAAAAAGCGTAGTAAGAGGCCTGATAAAATACAAGACTGGCTTAAGATTTAAAAGATGTACCTCGGGTGAAATTTGTTTGTGGGTCCAAAATGATTCAGGGATACCATTGTTCTCTTCCCTCTTGGAAGCGCTACTGAAGAGCTAGGAAAAATAAGCAAATTATGAATAATTCACCAGGTTTCTAATATATTTCTTCTTTCCATTCATCCATCCATCTATTATTTCTCTCATTCCTTCATTTCTTCCTTCTAACGGACAGTCAAACTGTCAGTCAGTTACTGATGCATTGACTAAGACAAATACCTTACTATTTGTTTTTTTTTCTTTTATTTCAGAGGAGAGACATTAGCATTCCTTCTGTGAAAATTTCCACGCCGTTATTTATTCAACAACATTAGAAAAGTTTTGCTACGTTACGCCATAACTTCACAGGATGACTGCCAAAACTTTAAAACAATTGGCGGACGAGTGGTTTGTCACGATTCTCGTCTGTTTCTGGGCTCTACTGAACGTGTGTACGTTATTTGTATGCAGTACCCTGGACCATACAATTCATCATTGGTTGGTCAACGGATTAACTCTTGCTACTCAAGCTAATAACACCACGAAATATAATTATCAGTAGAGTATCAATGCAGACATTTTAGGGTGGTTAAAGAATGAACATTACAAAGATAAATGATTTTTATAGACAGAAATATTTATTGATTTATTCAGTTGCTTATCTGTTCATCCAGCTATTAACAACATTAGAGATGTACATATTTTAATAAGTTACGTATTTACAATGTTTCAAATGCGCAACTTCGGTTATTAGTTTATCCATGCGTACTTTCATTGATTAAATCGGAAGATAGAAAATCACAAAGTTTAAGGAAAAATAGCTACTGATGTGTAACAAACGGCTCAAACGTAATCATCTTGTTTTCCTTCGCTAGTAATTAAGAATAATTGTCAATGATGGATGCTGATAAAACAAAGTTCCCAGACATTCTGTTGTACAGTAGTCATTCTGTGTTGAAGATATTCTACTTAACGATTGTTTCATAAAATGCAAGTTTATTGTTTGGAATCTCATTCTTAAGTAAGAGAAGGCACGAGAGAGAAGAGAAGAGGAGGTACATTTTTTCTTGGAGGAGGGGGGGGGAAGGGCCGGGGCCTCAGAGGGGAGGGTCATCAGTGAAAGTGAGTGCCAAAAGGGGAGGGTCATACCTCTTTGTAAGCTATTTAAGGGGAGGGTCACATACCTTTTCCAGAATTTTTTAATGAAGATTTTTATGATGTTGCTTTCCATTTTCCTTACAGATTAAGTTTTTCTTTTCACCTACTATGATTTAATTGGTGTTTTATTATAGGTTCTAGTTTACATTTCTACATGTATATTATGCCATGGCACATAGTTTTCTTGGAGGAATCGTGTCCTTTTCCGTCCGTATCGAGACGTTCTAGACTCAGGTATCGTTTCTTCAGCTTCTTGCTCCTGTTGACTAACCGCTGCCTGATCTCCTGAGTCATTTGATTCTGAAGAGTTACTACTAAATCCAACAATGCGCTCTACCCTGTCAATGTCACTGTCAGACTCTGAATTTGAGTCAGAGGCTGGCTGAATGTCGTTCTGACTGTCCTGCACAATAGAAGTCAAAATCTTATCGCCAATATATGTGCCTTCACCCTCACTTTCTCTTCTTTCTCTCCTTTAATTGAAATATTGTGGTGATTAATATAAAGTTCAAGTTCACCTACTTTAAGGGAAGATAACTGATTTCTGTGATAGAGATCTTCCCAGTCAATGTCATTGTATTCCTGTTGCTTTCTTTTTGCACGGTTCTCGTCATTATCTGTTCGCCGACCAATATAATGTGCAACAAGCTTTTCTGAAACAGTATATTTTTCAGAAAAATCTTTGATTGCCTTTTTATTCCTTGCCTTAAATACATCTGTTTTATTTATTTATATTCAAACATTTTGCGTTCACAAGCGAAATGTTCTAAGGTTTCTACGGCATGGAACATACTATGTACCTTCCCTAATAAACTTGTATATTATGTACAAAGTCATGGCGTATATTTCTAAGTCTCTAAGTGAAAGCAATTTAACAATTTAATCATGCCATTCCATGGGGGAGGAGAAGTGCCATCCCACCAGGGGGGGAGGGGGAAGTTTGCCCAACGGCAGGCATTTAACTCTCAGATATTCCTTCTACATGAAGAAAGAAAACAATACAGGCCTTGAGGTGTGCCTTGACGTAGGCTCAAGTTAGCTAGTCTCATGAGAAAGAAATAAATCTTGCACCTTACTTGCATATCGTTGTTTGGAGTGTAACATATAGATGCTGCTTAGGTATGATCATCACAAGAGGATTTGATTTGATTTGATTTGATTTGATTTGATTTCTCGGGACCACCAAAATCGGGAGTTATCTTAAATGGCCTAGACAAACTTATCAGTCTCCTGGTTAGATCCTTTTCAGCAAATAATCTGGCTCCGTCTTTGCATATTGATACGATTTCTAGTAAGAAGGCGGTCAAAATTTCTTGACTTAATATAGAATCTTTCGAATAAGACAGTTTTTTTTTTTCCCCTCTAGAGTAACTACCATCTGACATTTGTTCAACTAATCTGATTTTTAGTCGGGACCATATTCCTCTACGAAATAGTGTAAGCGGCTACGTTATCATCTTGGTCTGTTATCCTGTGGCGACGTTTACACCATAAGGCACCACAAATCTTGAGTAATGCTTTCCTGTACTCTTTATTGAGAAATCCATACACGGCCCAGTTAAATGAAGAGTTGGCAAAAACCAGCCACTTTACCACACCACCGAAATAAAATCTATTCGGTAGTTGCTCGTTGAAAGCACCATCGATAGCATGAAATATGAGGAAGGGAAGGTATGCAAGGGCGAAAAGACCAACCAGAATACTTAGCGTTTTCGCTGATTTCTTTGCCTGAGATGCATAGTGATGCTCTCTTCCGATCCAACGGCAGGTCGAATTGATCCTTCTCGCTTGTTGACGAGATATTCGAAATATCTTGGCGTACACAAAAAGACAAATTACGAATGGTGCAAGAAGGTCGAAAAGTAACAGCAAAACGGAATAGGTCAAGGGAGCAGAGAGGTCTGCGCAAATTAATGGGCGAGACCGACTCCATATAAAGTAACTTACAAATCCACTGATAAATGCAAATAGCCATATGAAGGCAATTGATGCGACAATGGTGTTTGAAATTTCTCGGCAGTACCGTAAAGGACGAGAAATTGCCAAATATCGATCAATTCCTGTTGCACATAAGTTGCAGATGGAGGCACTTCCAAGGGAAACAAATCCCGAGTTGAAAACATTGCACACAGTTGGCCCAAAAGGCCAGTACGGGTAATTGGATAAACGAACAATCTCTAGTGGCATTATGAGCAAAGCTAGAAGAATGTCCGACGTCACCAGACTCAGGAAAAACACGTTCGTTCGCGTCCTTAAAGAGCGGTTCAAAAAGAACGCCGCATAAACAGCCAGATCACCCAAAATCGTCAGAAAAATAAGAAAAATTATTGCACAGTTGCCGGTGGTCACAAAAACGAAAAATGTTGAAGAATTGCTCATTGGTGATGACTTTGAAATTTTCTTTATGCGACGGCACAGAAACCAGGATCAACTAATATTTTGATCTTAAATTATGGATCAGATCGCAATTTATTGTAAGAAAACTGCTTTTATTTACTCTCTACCCAATGAGATTTGCACCTCTTGACAGAGTCAGACAATGTATATAACTTATGTCCAATCATTGGGCACTCTTCGTGCAGCTGAAAAGGTGTAATAAGACTGACAAGAATGAAAACATTGCTCTAAAATAACCGTTATTATGACTGTCTTTTTAGAGAACACCTGTTCCCGATAGAAAAATAGTAATCATATCACCTATGTGAAAAGACTTTAAAGGATTTTACATTACTTGAAGACGTATGTTTTTTCCAAAGCCAACCTAAAAATAATACCTGCGCCTTAAAAAACTGTAAAGCGTGAATATCGTTCGAGAAGTGAATCAACTAATGAATCGAGCAGAAGAGTTCAAATTAAAAACTCTGTATAATATGCCTTGATATTATTAAGGACATTATTCTAAAAAATTCCTATTTGATTGATTGATTGATTGATTGATTGAGCAATGTCGCCCTCCATCAACAATTGCGCTGCGATCACCAGTTATTTCTAGTTTATTACCTTTTCGAGAGGACTTCAAAGAGTCATTTGGGAGGCAAAAAGCCACATGACTCCTTTCAGTGGAGCCAATTTATTTCTAGCCGACTGTTTCTAGTTTATTACCTTTTCGAAAGGACTCCAAAGAGTCATTTGGAAAGTAAAAAGCCAACTCCTGTCAGTGGAGAAAGGCCGCCTATGGAATATTTAAACATCATCGCGATCTTCTAAACTCACGCACAAAAAGAGTCGTCGAAATTACAGATTTCCTACTTTCCCTGGTTTGAACGGTAACAGTCACGATAATGCTTCTTAACTATAATGCGAAATGACGCGATTGGAGGAGGACATTAATGGGATGAAGACTTTTACGGCTCACGGTTAATTCCTTTCCGTTAAAACTCATATTGGAAATTAATAATTGATTTTGACTGTTCTAATACACCTTTACCCACTCGCTTTCATCATAGGGGCCAGGCAGTAATAACTCCAGACTGAGCGACTGCTGTCACTGTTGGGTTGACAAATAGTAACTTTCTGTTTTCCCGCTGATTTTCATATGGCGGTAGAGTTTCAGGTGAAAATGCCTCAGCCCAAACTTCTTTGCTTGGATGATAAGATAAAGAAAAACGGTCATATTTTTTTATTTAAAAATACTGAAATAGAACGGTGTTTTTCTCCGATTAAATTAATTCTTTCCAAATATCTTTCAATTGGCCTTTCCTCCCAAGCTCGATACGAACTAAAGAAAAATTTTTACGGCTAATTTTTAGCATAACGAACGGTTAGAATTAATTTCGTCAACCTCTACGCCAGTGAAACGGCCAATATAATTTTGGTTTCTTTCCCGTTTTTCGGTTAACCCAACGTCTTAAAGCGAGTTTAGGCTGCTTCAAATTCAGCAACGTGTTTGTAAAACACAATCTCAAAAATGTGTTAACCCTCGCTATTCAAATGTGTGAACTAATGTGAAATTAGAATTTCTTCATATGTAAATAATGAATTTCAAAATCGCAAATTTTTGCAGAATCTTTTTTCACGATGTCCTAGCTCTCAGATCCAAACAATAATTTAAATATCTTACAGCACTGCCACGTTCACCTTTGGTGGACAGCGTTTCTCTTAACAGCTGCTTACATGTAATTTGATTCCATTTCTACTCCAACTTAAGGGGGCAGAGAGGGAACTTTAGACCTCACTTTTTAAAGTTTATTGAACAATAAGATTTAATCAGGTTCATGTTGATCCAAGAAGATGTCAAAGATCTGGGATGGGTGGTCTCCTTTACAGCCATAGTTTGGTCTCGTCACGCAACGCACTCTCCCCCCGACCAACATGAAGCCAGTGTCCCGTGTACATGTATAATTCTTCTAAGACTGGCTAACTCTATTCAAATGTTCCTTCATTTTTATGCATCACGTAGCGACTAGAGAACGATCAAAAAGTATTTTTCCACATCTTATGCTGTTAAGCGACAAAATCATCAGCGAAATATCAGTGGTTTCAGTCTTTGAAAACCAGAAATACGATCAAACAGAGCACTAAAGGCTAAATGAAAGGAGAACACAATTTCGAGCCAATAATCCAAGTTACAATTCTAAAAAGATTGTGAGAGTTTCGTTCATGCACCGTGTACCACAAGACTTCCGTTAGACACTTAGCCTAAGTGATCTATAACCTGACTGTCTTCCTACGTCACACATGCCGGTCGTAAGCGATGACGTTGCAGGTGATTGTCGATTTATGATGTACGTCTTGGTTGTGAAAGTTATAACAGAATATATCTGTTTTACATCCAGGACCTGTCCTGAGTTGATGATTCAACTGAGGAGCAACAGTTGTCTCTGTACTTCTCAGACTGCCATATTCATTAACTGCGCGGTACGCTTGATTTCGTATTCCATACTTCACCGCGTCTGGTAAGACAACCCGTTCCTCTTTCGCCCACAAGACAATCACGAAACAAGTGAAATTGCTTTTCTTTTCTCCTTCTTTTTCTTCGCACATGTCGTTTCTTTGGAAAAAGAGAAACAGCAAATATAATTTACTACAACGAATTTGAAGGCCTATTAACCTACTTCATCAAAGGTTCCTTCTCGTTAAGATAAACCATCTCAATGATTGTTCTCAAGTAAAATTCATTATTAGACCCAGCAAAATATTGTAAACAAATACGCAAAGGACAAATTCTAGGTTTTTTAAGTTATGGTGTTGAGTTGGCCAGCAAGAACAACAATTGCATCAAATGAGAGTCGAGGAAGGTAAAAAAGAAACCATTGTGGTGAATATTGAAAGCGAAAGTTTAGAGTGTTAGCCCTTTGTCGGAGCAAAGAGCAAAAGACGAACGCTTGAAAGTTTATTCTGATGTCTACATGTATACTTTTGTAGGTGTTAATAAACAGCTGGGTCTTAAAAGCATAGATCAGTTCACTGAAGTCTCACTTTTTTCGCTTCTTTTCCTTTTACTGCCAGTTGTAACAACCTCCATCTTGTCCCATATGTCGTCATCTTCGTCTTCGCTGTCTTCACCTCGTGCTGCTCTTTCAGACGATCTTTTCAAAAGGTCGGCAGTATCACCGCGATCTGTGTGTTTTGTATTCTGCAACAAAAGACAATTTCATATCAAAGGCAGTTGCTGCTGTTTGCCGTGTTCCGTAGCTCAGTCTGAAGAGTCGCTAGAACTACGGTTAAAAAAAATCCAAAGGGTAGGGGTACCAATTTTACGGGGTCAAGTTTTTGCATTATCCAATTGGGTTCTATTCAATTCTTACCCAGCTCTTTAGTCCCTGTTATTTCATCAGAATTCTCAATAGGTTATTTAAGAGTTGGAGGCCAACAATTCAGGTATTGGTCACCATGTCCGATCCTTTTATAATCTTTAATGAAGTCGTAGTGCCAATTACATGACTGAAAAACTGACCAATCAAACCAAGATGTATTATATCAACAAAATTTTTCTTCCTTGCCGCTACCTGATAAAGTTTTTGACCCCTAGGAGCTAAGACCCACAACAGTGCCTCTCAAAACTAACCAAATCACACGATCACACAACACGAAAAATGATATTCCTAAGCCAGTTTTAAACCAATTATCAATGACAACGATTTAGACACACGATTGGAGAAACAATGACACCTAGATATTGACAATCCATGAGCGATGAGACCCAACGACTTCATGGGAAAAGTTCGCACAGATATAAAATAAATGATTTACTGTATTAATTATTCAAATCTTTTTTTTTTTAAGCGCATTTCGACTGAGTGTCGTAAAACATAAACCAAACTGATCACAACAACCAATCAGAATTAAAGGACATCAAAAGGAGCCAATAGGAATATAAAGTAAAAACAAGTAAATTGCTTGATGCGCGGGAAAACGCGCTGAACCAAGACGCGATTGGGAAAGGTTTAAATGTAATTAATCGTCCATAACAAACGCTTCTAAGGTGTCAACGTTTTTGTAATTGAGTGTATAATGAAATGGTTTTACTAGGAACCTGTTTTTCTATCTCCTTGGCTGAAATCAATAAGCAATTAAGGACAGATTTCAAGTATATCTGCAATCAAAAAGATAATAAAGAGGTAAATAGTGATAAATCAGACAACATTTGTGAAAAAGCCGTGGCATGCCCCCACCAAATGCTAAGTCGTAACATTACTGCTACGTGTACACTCGACGACAGTGATCTGAGGATTGAACCCTTAACAGTAACAAACTTTCGTGCCAAAACTTGCAGAACAAACTACAAATAAAAATGTTTTAAAATAGAGACTTAAAAGGTGACGTACTAGACACCATGAAACCAAAAATAATGTTACGGGACGATTGCAAGTAAGGTAAACCTGATACACCTCCAGGAGAGAAAATCTTATTGCATGTCAATGAAAGTAAACAAACCATAGTTCTTGAAGCAGAGAGGCAAAAGAGAGAGACATAAACGGAGCTCTTTTCTATAGTTAAAAGAGTAAACCAAAAACCTCTCACTATTGGCGTTTCACAAGCCCAATTTCCAAAAAAAATGAATGAATAAATACATACAAGAAAAGAAAAATTCTTAATCCTTAAAAAAAACTTCTCGGCAAACATAGAAAAGGCCACAGATCGCAAATTGCAAACCGCCAAAATAAACTGTGCATTTTTCGTCACTACTAAAGCTAAGAATTTGCCAGGAACATGATAAGCCTACCTTATGAAGAAGTTTTCTATTATGGAGATGATGAACGCGAAGAAACTTATCGAGTCCACAAGAAACTACCATCTGCTGTTTATCAAGACACGAAATACAGCGAATTCCACCTGCAAAACCTTTAAAATGACCCTTAAGTTGACCTGGAATGAACAAATTGGTTTCATATCAAACGATGCAACATTTTTCTTGATAAGACATCGACAATTAATTCTCGAGTGCCTGTCCTCATCTAAATCCTTACTCCCAAACCCGTGTACAGCAACGAGTGAATATTGTTCAAATCATTTCGGTAGTAAGTAACTGAGTATATCGTCACGCAACCGCTCTGGAGAAAAGCGTGACAGCAGAGAGGGATAAGAGCTCAAAACGAAATGGGAAGAGTTGAAAAGATAATAGAAAGAGAATGAGTCCAAAATCATTGTTCCATCAATAGCCTTCTTTAAATATTTCTTTCAATGATGAAAAGGAATTGGAAGACAAAAATTGAAAACTTGAGAATTAAATATTGATACTCCACACTCATTGTGGTTAGTGCACTCAGGAGCCAGGAGCCCATGCAGGAGCCCATTACTAATGTAAATTAATGGGCTCCTGGTGCACTAGACTCCGGGTCAAGAAGTCTGGGCCATGACCCGACTGGATCAGTGTGTTGTGTTTTTGGGCAGAACACGCAGTTTAGTCGCACAATGCCTCTTTTTACCCCAGAGTATAAATGGGTTTCCGGCAAATTGTCAGGGAAATCTGATGAAATGCTGGGGAGAAGAGGGGGATAACATTTGGGTGAAAATATAGCAGTTTTCCACTAAGGTACGAAAATCTAACACCAAAGTAACCACAGCCTCCAAACAGAACAAGGTAACCAATGAGAACTCAAAGTAAAACAGGCAACCTGCTTGAAGCGCGGGAAAACGCGAGTGACCGAATGGAGATTGGTTTTAGTTTTGTATTTGATTGGTTGAGATTGTGGCATAGGTTTTCTGGACCAATCACAGAGCAAAGTAAAGCAAAACCAAAGCAATCCAGGATCACCTTTGAAACTCAATCGAAAATAGCTCTGGGATAATTGGAATTACCTCAGGTGGTAACGATCACCTGTTATAACCACATCAGTGAAGCAAATACATAGTGTAACAAACCTTCACATAGAAATTAGTTAAAATTTTAAACCCCAATTGTTCTCACCCTTTCTCAGGTCAATGCTTCCCATTGTTCCAACTGTATTCCCCACAATAACAACACTGATGGGTAAAGAACAAAGAAAACAAGATAAATCTTTTCTTTACCACAATGATGTTCTCTTATACATTAAAAATAAAGGCACAAGTAATAACATCATTGCCACAAAAGAGATTATGGTAAAGTGGTATTATCTTAAACTAGAACTAGAGATGTCTTAAACTTGAGAACAATTCCTTGACTTGCGAGGGTTAATGACTGAAAAAAACCACGTTCTTAACCCTTTACACCCCAACATCAGTATCCCAAGTCTCCATACTCTTCTCTATACATTTCCTTTAGCACTGACAAGGAGAATTTGTTTAGCAATCAAAGCTTCTTTGGTTGGTGATCATTCCCTTTATTCTCATGATCTTAATGAATGATTCAGTTGTCTTACTGTAAGGGGAAATTAGATGCTGTATTAGATGTATGTATAACAACAGTAGATTAGATTTAAAAATTGACCTATCTGGCCTGAAACTTCTAATTGATGATGCAGTTATCTTTACAATCAACAGTGGCTGGAGGTCCCCTTTGTACAAAAAAATTTAAAATCCCCACACTCAGAGGTAAAGACAAAAAAAAAGTCTTACTTTTCATCATCTGTCACAGCTAATGCTGAGATTGGAGACTCTCCAAAGTCAAAGCTAAGTACTGGACGTCGCTGTGCCTTGGTGTCATAGAGTCGCACCTGATGATATCCTGTTCCAACTACAACCTTGGAATGTGATCCTTGACTAGGAAGAAAGCCAAGGTCACACACCCAGATGGGAACTTGAAGGTCCAGGAAGTCATTTGGCACCTGAAGGAAAAGTTGGAAAGTTCCCAGGATTACTTGAACAATATGGAATTCCATTTAATAAATCAAAGATCACAGAAATACACTGTAAATGCACATTCATGAGCTTTTTATTTATGGTTTCTTGGATTTGCTGGGTTTGTTATTCAGAATTAAAACATTTTCAATGGACCATCAAAGTGATTTGAGATTGTACTCATTTGGTTTTGCTGCACCACACTATGTGGTATAGAAAATCTTTCAAAAAGCAAAGAAAACATCAATGTGTGCACTTGTGTGTGTGTGTGTGAAAAGTCTAAATAATTATTTGCTTACTAGTTACAAATGATTATACACGTAAATATCCATTTAAATGATTAAATGAAAAAAACTTGACAGTGATTGCTCCCCAATTGACAAGGACTCTGATGCTTCTGCTTGGCACCTCAATTATCATTTGCCACAAAAACAATGCATGGCCATGGTCAATGACTGCAACCTAAATTGCCAATAATTCTGTGACATATGGTTACAAAAACATTAAAAAGTGAAGTAAAAGGTGTAAAGTACATTCTTAGCTCTGAAAGTTGGCTCCCCAGGTCTGTTCAGGTCCCAGAGTTTCAAGTCATTTTTCTGTCCACCTGTCCCTACTTGAGATGGACACAGAGAGTTCTGCCGCACAGCAGACACATGGCTTCCAACTTTAATGTCTATCTAATAAAATAGTTAAAAAGGTTTTTGAATTACTGTTATAATACTGGTTTTAACTACGGTTGGCAAGCATAAGTCATTGCTTAGTGGCAGGAAAGGGGCAGTAAGGTGAAACAGCAAGAGGTCTTATGGGTGGCAGTAGACCACTGGTAACTGGCTTTAAATGAAACCCCTACTATGTCATACACGTGTAACAATTCATGTATAAATTTTGGGTCTCAGGCCAAAAATTCAGTACTCTATCTAAGCAGTACTAATAAAAGCTATAAAAAAATGCTCACAGAACTTGAGAGCCACTCTACACAATCTCTTTCTATTCACATTGTCTTACAAAATGAAAGTGTTTCAACATATTACTGATCAAAACAAAAACAGATAAAAATTAGTAAAATAATTATATCCTTGTTTTTTTTTTAAGTAATATTTTTAAGCAAAGCATCAGTGTTCTATGACAGAGTATAATTATAACAACTTGAACCATTTGTACCTTAATTGGAAAACTAAACACTTACAGGATTTTCATGATCTTTCCATATCTGCAACAATCCTGAATCCACACAAGAAACAATGGCACTGCAATTAACACAATCAAAGCATAAGTACAAAATGTAAACATATAAAAAAATAGCATTACCACTGCATGAATTCTTAATAATAATAAAATATTAAATATCATCTACACTTACATGTACATGCTGACAGGTTAAATTGGAAATCAGGTTCAAATTATTTCATCCTTAGTTGATTTGTATTTTCTTTGTTTAAGATTTGTGATACTTGATCTCAAATCACTTCACACTTTCACACTTTCATTTTACTTTCTTTTCTATATACGCGATATTCTGTGACCAGATACTAGTCAAGGCGATTTAATTTTTTTCTTAACTAAATTAGATAAACTTAATTATATTACACAGCAAATAATACAGAAGTGAAGAAATAAAACACACAAAAACATTTAAGGATACATAAGGAAAGAAAAAAAGGAAAATGAAAGACGTTCATCGTAAAGGAGAAAAGTCCTAGAATTTCTAGGTGTACAAAACATATTGTAGAACTGGTTCAATTTGTTTTAAATTTGCTCTGTTTGAATTTTAGCATCATCTCATCAGTCTCCATACTGGAATATTCAGTCTTTAAAATATTGAAGAGAAGTCTTATTGTTTCCTTTTTTGAAGCATTTCTTCAACAAATTTTACATTCATTAGGTATCTCATTTCAGATTTTGACACTAACATCTGAAGAGGCCTTCCTTTGCATTTTTAGCCTAGAGTACTTAACAATAAAGAGTTGTGACTGTGACAAGCAGGTGGTATAGGTATGGATGCTTGTCCTTCTTGTAAAAAGTTTCATGATGTTAGAAGGTGCACTGTCTTTATAAACATAGAGCATTAATTTACATACAGCTTCATAATATAAGATTGTAATAGGTAGACATTTTGCCTTTACAAATAAGGGATTGCATGTTTTTTTCTATCAATAAAGTAGATTTTAAAAATGTAATACTTCTTTTTGGAGAATAACAATTTTGTTTAGATAGTTTTTAGACGCATTACCCCAAGCAATGAGTCCATATATTAAATAAGGTAAAATTAAGAATTCATAAATCATTATAAGAACAGATGATGGAACAAAGTATCTCAGTTTAGCAATTATTCCTATGGTCTTACTCATCTTTGTGATAACATAGTCAACTTGGTTTTTCTAAGAAAGAATTCCATTGATTAAAAAACATCTAAATACTTGAATGATGTAACTCTTATGTTCTAAACTGACTCTTTGTTTCACTATCAAATATACTTATTTTGTGAAGTCAATTTATTTCTTGTTTGCCAGTCATGTAAATAGTTCTGTTCAGCATTGACTGTCTGTTCTAAAGACTTGAGGCCCTTACTAAATCAGAAAAATTTAATTTTTACTGGAACAGAGCTACAGAGCTATCACTTATATAAAGTAAAAAGAGGAGTGGTCCTGAAACCAAACCCTGAGGGACACCACAGGGAGAAATTAGTTTAGTTGATAAGTGTGATTTAGTTTGAGTTGGTTGCATTTGAATCACTTGTTGATAATCCCTCAAAAACCATAAAAATGAAGGCTATCAAGTAATATTTTGTGACTGACATTGTCAAAAATTTTTTTAAATCAATAAAAACACCACACCAAAAATAATGCTTATCCATATTGTTCTGTAAAGTTGTGACAGTATCACAGATTGCATGATCTGAAGAGTGAGCCTTAGGGAAGCCATACTGTGAGGCATGTGTTGTCTTCTTTTTGTCAATAAAGTCCTTTATTCTTACATAAAAAGAGAACTATCACGTGCAGGAATTTCTTTAGTTTTTGTGAAACAATCATTGCAATGCACCTCCATACCAATACACATCTTGTACATATGTACTAGTAATAAAAAGTTATTTCCAAATAGAATTTAATTCCCTTTCCCAGGCAAATCTATGGTCACCATTCCTATTCTTGGGTAGGGTAGGGCATTATAGTGATTTAAAAAGTGTCTTGGCCAGGCACAAAATACATTGATACTCCCCTAGACTTAAACATGGACCTCTTCAAACTTGAGTCAAGCAAATGTACCTGTAGCTTCAGAAGGTTACCTAAGTGGCTAAGCGAACAATTCAAATGCACATAGAATGCCAACTGATCTTTGTTAATTTTAGATGATAGTGCTAAGATGTAATTTTGCTTTATAGAAATAGCGGTTGAGGTTGTGTGTGTGTGTGGTTCGAACTAGAAGAAAATACAACAGAAACCAAACTAAGATAAAATGTGTTGCAAAATGTAACATTAGCCTATCTAAAAACGAAGCAATCGCACTGAAAACTGAATACAAAAACTACACCAATAATACATACAAAAGGTAAACAATGTAAATGTAAAAGAAATAAAGACTTACTTTGGTCTAGCTCCTAATGGTAGCAAATAGCTTGTAGCAATTATCTAACAGTGATGATTTAGTAGCAATGATTTAGCAGCTATAATTTAGTAGCAATGATTGAAGTGGAATCTTTACACATGTACTTAAATGGGAATTGATTGGAGAAGATAACAAACTTATTGTGTAATAATCATTAACTAATGAAAGACTTATTAATAGAAATGAACCAGTACAAAAACGATAATAAAGTATGTACTAACTAAGTGTTTCAAAACTAACAGTACCCACCATATCCACTAACAGTACAATACACAATGTACCTGTTCCACTTGAACAGTCCTTTCAACTTTCCTTTTCCCACAGGATGACTCCATTCACTGACAAATTCCTTCTTTGTTACATCAAAGGTCTTGACAATACCATTTGCTGATCCTAACAGGATCTGCCAGAAGAGTGGAATTTATATCATATTCCATTACATTATGCAATCTTGTGTCTTAAACTTTGCACCAAAATAACCACAATGAATAATTCAGTCAACTCCCATGGTGTGACAATCTTCATTATCAGCTGCAAGGTGTGAAGCAAATAATACCTGATTTTCATTGTCATCATTCCAGGACATGGAACATATTTCATGGTTTCTACTTGCATTTTCCCCAACGCTGTGATTTGTGAATGATGACTTCTTGAGATCAACTCCTGAAAAGTAATGAAACAACTATCAGCATGAACCCAAAAATCCTCTGGTGGTTAAAGAAGGCAAAATATAGCAAAGATACATTTCTAAGTTGTTTTCATAAATTTACCATTGCTGAACAAACGTAATTCTAACATAAAAAGTGCTAATCCTTCCAAAGCTTAACTCACCTTGCATACAAGTAATCATAGTGTTGCACTATGTAATTGTCAGCTTCGCACTCACGCAGCACGCACAACTACGCAATAAGTATAAACATGAGCACCGCACTTTGTATAAATTGTAATGATTCTGTAATGAATAAAGGTTGTCAGTTTTTAACATGGAACTGAGCAAGTAACTTGGTGGCAGTGGTGGGATTTATTCCACACCTCAGAAGAGACCACTATGACTCTACTATTCCCATAACTCTATGAGTGTATGCGTCTGAACATGCAATTGGAGGCACACTGTTACAAAACAATTAGCCTGTTTGCTTCACATCATACACACCGAAAAGCATCGTGAAGAATTGCACTCAAATTGAAAAGAAGTGTCTTGCAATTGTCTCTTGCATGGAAAAGTGGCACTAGTACTTGTACAGAAGACACAACATCACAGTACATACAGATAATCAACCACTCGAGACAATCTTCAAGAAGCCTCTCTGCAAAGCCCCTCAACAACTGCAGCAAATGATGCTCAAGCTACAAAGACATCAATTTTCAGTTCAATATAAGAAAGGAAAGGAACTTTACATTCCCAATACTTTGTCTCACGCTCCTGTCACTAATCATCCTTCAACAACCAGTGCTAGGAAAGAATTTGAAGTGTTCCCAATGGAATTAGCTGAGATGGATATTGAAACCATACAATGAATCAAACATGAGACCACTAAAAATCCAATCCTAGTATCCCTGTGTCATTTAATAACTAGTGGGTGGCCTGCAGAAAGAAAGGAAAAGCTGAAGCAACTAAGGCGGTATAGAAGTTTCAGAGATGAAATTTCTGTTTACAATGGAGTATCCTATCAATCTCACTAAGCTATTGTCCCTTCTTCATTACTAGAAGAGATATTGCAGAAAATACACAGAGTGCACCAAGGGGCCAATAGCAGTATAAGAAGAGCATGTGAGTCTCTTTTCTGGCCTGGAAAGCAAGCAGCAATCAAGGAATAATACCCTTCATGTGGTCTTTGTGCCCAATACTTTAGCAAGCAACCACAAGAACCAATGAAATCTCACACAATACCGACCAGACTATGGTCAAAAATAAGTGCTGACCTCTTCCAATTAAACAGAAATAACTACCTTGCAATGGTCAACCATTACAGTGATTACATTGAACTTGATTCCCTCAGCGGAAACACCACAGCTAACTCAGTGATCAGATCAATAAAGTAACAGTTTGCTTGCCATGAGATCCCAGATGAGTTGATGATAGACAATGGCCCGCAATTCAAAATTCACAAATACTTAAGATTTGCTCAAGAATATGGTTTCACCATAGTCAAATCATCACCTTACTACAGCCAGGGAAATGGGAAAGCAGAGTCAGCAGTCAAAATTGCCAAGAACATCCAAAGAAATCTCAAAAAGAGGATCTTTATCTGGCTCTCCTAGAAACACACCTCAACAGGGTACAGAAACACACCTCAACAGGGTTACAACTCACCCCTCAGGCAGCATCCCCAAGTCTGGTGTATGAAAACATTGCAGAAAGAAGGTGAAGATCAATGGCTCAGTACAACAAGAGGGTCTCACAGCCCCTTAGAGAGTTTTCAAAGGGGGAAAAAGTGTTCCTGAAACCAAGGCCTGCAAATAAGCACCAATTTTGGATATATGGTAAAGTTATTGGAAGTACTGCACCAAGGTCTTATATTGTTAACACCTTGATGGGACCAGTTCAGAGGAATCACACACAGATTAGAGAGGCAAAGGTTGAACCAGAGAAGAAATATGAAAGAGCAGATGACCACCTGGAAATTGTATCCTTGCCTGAAAGCAAACCTACACACAGAGATCAACCAGTAGAGCCTTCTCCTGAGAGAGAACAAGGGCCTATATCCACATTACACTGTTCAATGAGACAACAAAGGCCTCCCCCAAGATTTAGGGACTTTGTTATGGAGTAAAATTATTGTGCTATCCTTAACTTTAATTTTTCAAAAGAGGAAAGGTGTTGCGCCATGTAATTGTCACCTTCGCACATACACAGCATGAACAAATATGCAATTAGCATAAGGACGAGCACCGCACTTTGTGTAAATTATAATGATTTCGTAGTGAATAAAGGTTGTCAGTTTTAACATGAAACTGAGCAAGTAACAATAGCACCATTTGCTTCTCAACTTTTTTTTTACCCCTTTAAAGGAACTTAATTTACAAACCCTAGATTTTCAACATTTTTCTTGTGAATATAGACAGCCAATTATCTCACTTAAAGCTGTTTCTTGCCGCATTGTTAATCTCTCGCAACTACAGGAATGAATGTTTGTACTTCTTCCGCTGGCTGAACCTTAGGATTTTGTTGTATATCCATTTTTAATTCTTATACACTGTCTATTTGACACTAAATCAAGTTCATTGGCAGAATTTCTGTACCATCCACACGTGCGATGGGAGAAAAAATTTTAAGAGTGATGTGTTCCAATGGTCACACGTGCGGAGACCAAGCGAACCGTCTTAATTATATACACGACAAAAAAAACCGGGTGGTTACTGCTGCTTTCATTTCAATTCCTTGAATATATTCTGCATTGTAAAGGGAGCTTTCAATCACAGTCCTAATGATCTTACCTTTCAAAACTCCAATTTCACCTCCAACCCAGACGTCCGCCATGTTTAAAACTCACGGATCGGAGATCTGAGAACTAGCAAAGCCCGAAAAGACTACTCACTAGAGCCAGGTCTTCTCATATGCATTTGCGCCTGCCAGAAAACGTTTGGCGTTGTACTGAGCGAGATTCACCGAGGAAAGTCTCTTGTCTGTATTTTTTTTGCTTTGCTTTCTTCTCGATGTCGCGAAGAATATGATGGTAACCGTCTCGAAAGTGATCACATCTGTCATTTTCTTTGCAATACTAGGATATGCAGTCAATGAAAGAGAGAACAAATCTTCAAAGAAGACATGGCTTAAGTTTGGATCAAAAACCCGGTATCAACGGAAAGAGATCCCATTTGAAGCGCCCATAGGTTGCGATCCTCTTCACATCAGCATGGTCATAAGACATGGGACGCGCTATCCTAGCAAAAAGGACGTGAAAAAAATTGAAAAAATGCTTGATGTGATCAACGAGGAGATCGATTCAAACTGGTCTGTTGGAGACCTTCATCTTCCTTGGAAAAATCCCTTTTCTCTTGATCATGACAAACTTTTGGCATCCGCTGGAGAAGAAGAATTGTATTCTCTCGCCAAAGAATTTCTGAAACGTTTTCCAAGCTTGCTATCGCACCCGTATCATCCGCATAACTTCGATTTCATCAGTACGGGAACTTCCAGAACAGTACAGAGTGCTATGGCTTTTGCGTTTGGTTTGTTCGAGGGGCGAGGTAGGCTGGGTGCGAGTGGTTTTCAACCTGTGGCAGTCGAGTCGAAAGAAACTAACAACGATCATTTACTTCGCTTTTTTGATGTATGCCCAATGTACAATGTGAAAGTTGCAGATAACGACACTGCACTTCATGAGCACAAAAAGTTTAAACGTGGTATAGAAATGGAACGTATTGGTCATAAAATACAACGGCTCATGTCAAAGCGTCCTGATAATCCCCAGACAACTTTCACAGCAGAAACTGTTATTGGAATGTACACTGCTTGCATTTTTGAGGTTGCAATCTTTAACAGAGAAAATACTTGGTGCCTCCTTTTTGACAAGGAAGATTTCTTGACTCTAGAGTACTTATCAGACTTGAAACATTATTGGAAGAGAGGCTATGGATACCCAATAACCTATCAAATTGGATGCCCTTTATTAGGAAACATTGTAAGCAGCCTTAAAAATGCAACAGATCCATCTTCAAGTGAGAAAAAGTATGGCAATTTTATGTTTGCCCATAGTGAGACTCTACAACCTCTTTATGCCTTGCTTGGATTATTCAAAGATCAAGAGAAACTGAGAGCTGGCAACATGAATGTGCACTCTGGGCGCAAATACAGAACCAGTGAAATTGTGCCATTTGGAGCAAACATTGCATTTGTTGTATACAGTTGCAATGCAGATGGTAACTCTTGTGGTAAGGAATCAGATAGTTACAAAATGGGGCCTTTCAAAATCCAAGTATTTGTTAATGAAGAGTTGGTAGCTTTGCCTTGTTGTGGTGAACAGAGAGAGTGCCCCCTAGAGACATTTTTGCAGTGTTTTGACACTAAACAAAATGGGTCATGTAACCTGTCATCATTATGCAGCTTGGAAAGCAACAGTGCTGAAAACTATCATGGGGAATTGTGACCAGGATTATAACTATTTATAAAAATGTATGTAAACTGCGCAGATTCACAGCAGCAACATTTTTACTGCAATTGATTCTTTACAACCTGAGTCATCCATGGCAAAAAAAAGTTGTCAGTAGAGAGAGGCAGCTGGAAAAAATTGGATCCAGAGAAGTTGTTACAGAAAGTTGCCCTGAAAATAATTTCATGGTCACCACCTGTAATGAACCGGACTGTCATTAAAACAATACTGCTTCACAAGGATTACTAATTCAGGGATGCAAAGACACTCTGAATGTGATGTTCATGTTGCCAGTTATTCAGGCCCAAGTATTTTTTCTAATGGCTAACCTGCTGAACTCCAGAACACAAGGTTGGTCACTAGTAATTGTTTTTGAGCTACATACTTCACTTACACAACATGTTCCTGTGTGTGTAATTTGTTTAATAAAATACTAGTGTTGAAAATATTGTATTTCTACTTCCTTGCACTCTTGGGAAATTCAATAAAATTTGTAACAATGAATTGTCAATTATTTAATAAACTGTTGACTTCGTTGATTTGCATCAGGTTGATTATATTTTCATCCAACGAAAAATTGTTCAAGTTTTTTGTCTTTTTAAATTTATTACTGCAATATATTAAATTTTCAAAATTATCTGAAGGTGATTTTTCCCTCAAACATGTGAGGATTAAAATTAACTTCTTTCAACCCTTGAAATGCAGACTGTGGTGATTGACATGAAAATTCTCCTTTTGATTATCAATACACCATCTTGTGAACAGTTGGTGAGAAAAAACCTTAACTCACTAGCTGGAATATATTTCCCTGATATATCAACAAATTTTTTTATTGATTTACAAGAAAAAGTATCGCAGCTAGAAAGGACAATTAATCAGATCTCAAAATTGAAAGGTTTCATGTTAGCTGTCTGTAATTCCCAAATCTTCCTTAAGCTGTTCTATCATTTCCTGCAGACGACTCTGAAAAAAACAAAATAAATTAATAATATGAAAAATATTCTTGGAATCCCCAAAAATTTCATGGATGTAGATATCCAGGGTAGAATTACTGCAAAGAGCAATTTCCAATTGAGGGTCAGAGGTAATGAGTGTATTCTGTTGGTTTTAGCATATCACAACATGTACAATCTTTGATTGGTCAAGAAATTTCATCCAACCATCCTTTCAATTAAAACCAGACACAAAGTTGTAACTCTATAAAGAATAATTAACAATTATATTAATTATTATTAATAGAGAATAATTGGTCATATGTGTTCTCCATTCTCTCTGACATACACCTACTTTGTTTTTTTATGAAATATTCTTTTATGATTGACAGTATAACTCAATTACACAAACTGACCCACACTGTACAAATGTATGGTGTACATATATGTTTGTAATCAATAGTGTTAAAGCTGAAAATATTGATGTGTTCTTACTTCATCCAATTTATCCTTCCTTCTTTCAATGTGCATTTCAAAAACTTGCTTTAGAACCCTAAGTATAGAGCAAAGATTAAATCAAATTAATATGAAAAAAAGATACAGTCAAACACTCCTTTTACACAAACTTTAAAAATTTCATTGGGGGATGTATGATAAAGAGCTCTTGTGAAGAAGTGTTCTAGCTGAGCCCCATGCAGTCTACAGGCAGAAAACTTAATGCACTGTGCCTGCTTACAAAGAATAACACAAATGCATGGGCACAAATTAATTATAAGTTCAACCTGGTAAACTTTTTATTTAAAACTTGGATTGTGAGGTCAAGTTGTCCAACATATATTCCTGGTACAAGAAAATACAGATTAATGTACTTTAATAAATTATAGTAGAGCATATATTAGATCTAGTTTTCTACTCAGTTGCTGGTTGGTCTTGTCACAAAGACATCTTTCCCTTAATGGAGAAGAGTCAGTAGAGATTGTGTTACATGACGTGACCAAACAGTAGCTGCAAAAGGAGACTTTACAAGACCCTGCTCAATACATGTACAACCTCATATAAAGGAGAGACAACATTCTACGATTGAAGACCAAAGGTTTTAATAACCTGATTCCTAAATATACAACAAGTACAAGAGTGATGTACAAAAATGAATAAATAAGCTATTAATATTGTGTAAACAAACAAACACAAAAGATGCACAAAACTGTTTAAACTGAAATTATTCAAATCCCAAGTTTACAGCATGTCACTAAGAGAGTTCTTTGCACAGAGTATTTTATCGCACTGAGGAGTTTTACTACTGTATACAGGTATACAACACAACCAAAAAATGGTTTGTGAAGTGTATTAAGTTTGCTTTTATTCTGAACAGGATTTTATAGACAACTGAACAGTACCTATTGCTAAAAATGCCTCTGGCTAGGATGTCAGTGGTAACATCAGAAATGAATTTGAGATACTGTTGTTCCTCTTCCCTGGTTAATAGGATAAACATAAATATGTATTAGAAAATACAATACCTAACTTAATTGTTGCTTACCTTTTAAGTTTCCGATAAATGGTACCATGTAAATCAGATTTTTAAAATTATCTATTTATTTAGTAACTTTACACTTTGGAGTATTAAACTACAGCTTACTTTAGTGTAAATGAAAAAAAGGCCTCTTTAAAATCTTCTCCAACACTGAAGGCAAAAGTTCATAAATTTTAAGTCAGTAAACATTTGCTGATTTCAAAAGCACAGGTAGCTGAGTAATTGGTATTAGCATTTCAGTGCATGTACACATAAGTATTTACATGAGCTGTACAACAAAAAATGTCATTTGTTTTGTCATTAGTGTAAGACAGAGAAAAATACAGTAGGAGCCCTTCAGTAAGGACTAGAACATCAGACCTGCTGGTTGTGTGCTTTGTAACACCAAGCTTTACTTAGAAACTCGGTGGTGAGCCAGGCCAATTATGGTTTTACTACATTCCTTCATGAGAAGTGCTCTGCATAGTCTGAGCAACATCAAAAGCACCATTTAGAGTAAATTAATTATATGCCAGGCTGTGTTTGCCTGGTTCTAACGCAAATCTCATGTCAGTTTAATTCCTTGGAGTACAAACAATGATACAGAACTTTGCAATGAGAATTTAACAATGCAAGTCAGTAAGAAATCATTAGTGTCTAATTTTTATCCACTGCTTTAATATCCCTGAATCATTACTCACCACATGTTTGCCTTGAAATCAGGGGACTCTGGAACTGTTCTAATTGATGGAGGATCTCTGTAACTATATTGTACATTTGAGAGGTCAAGGTGTGGAACATCCTTATGTCTGGTTGTTCTGTCACTGCGTTTAAAGCCATCAAGAAACGTTCTATTTTTATCAAGAGTTCTTGCTAGGTTCTTCTCTCCAGTTCTATTCAACATCATCCCTGGATTCTTGAGATCATATGACTGATTTTCATAACTACTCAACAATGTGTCAAAATTTCCATCCAAATTGTTTGATAAACTTTGATCAGATTGGTCAACATGTTGAAAATTAGTTCTCTGATTCTCTGTATGAAAATGGCCTTTCAGTTCAGTTTTTTGTCTTCTATGTCTTTGTATGGGTGACACCGGTGGTTTGGATTGTATTTTATCAAGCACTGGTGTAGACATTTGACGTTCTAATGCTGTATCTCTTGGAGAAGAAGAAGACACTGCAGGAGTACAATCTTGACCAAGGGAGTGCAAAGACAAACTTCTTTGAAGTGGAGTCCCTGTGGTTTGCCTATGCCCTGGAGACGGCCTGTTTTTTGTTGAATTTAAGGGGTATGACTCCTTGTGTGATGAAGATAAGAATTCCAAAGAAGGGGTCTAGAATGAATAAATAAATAATGGGAATTTAGCAATGAACATTCCACCAGGTTGTTCTTCTCGTCCACTGTTTACAGGTCAAATTGGAATCAGGAATGTTGGTTTTTTGTGGAGGGTGGAAAACCAGAGGATTCAGAGTTAAGTGTAAATAGGTATGCCTCACCTTTGCTCTAAGAGATGATGGAGTTCCAGATCTACTTTCCAAAGCAGCCTGCTTTTTTTGGTCACGAGCTTAAAATTACAAAAGGTTACAGAATAAAAAGCTATTACACACTACATTATAAAATACAAAAGGTGACAAGGAACATTTATCTGGACACTTTAATTACTGTGCCGGTCAGTCAGAGTGCACTATTTACTTGTAACAATATCATTTTTAAGATCAAAGCAATAATCAGCTTACTAATCTAACACTTAGCCTACCTTTCATATGCGCTTTCATAGATTTTGGAGGAGATGTATCAACAGCCGCTATAACAAAAGTAGAAATCGGAACATACAACAAATGTTTAAGAAGGTAATTTTATAATAAATCTACCAATGATTTAAAAAAAAATCACACAACACTTAGAGTCTGCATCCTTTCTCATCTCTACCAGAAGTCATCTCTCTCAATGAAAGCAGCTGTATATTTTATGCTAGCTTAGCCATTAGCATCCAACCTTTGTGAGACTAAGAAATTGTTAAGTCTTAATTTTAAGTATATTGATTAGTCTCATTACAAATTAAAAAACAATTCAGAAATTGTTGAAGGTTCAAAACAGGAAATTAAAGGTCACCTTTGGCAGACAGGATTCGCCTGTAATGAGATTTCATGTGGTTTGCAATGAAATCCTGCCCCATGTATGACATGGCTGTAGGTGCAAGGGCTACAAAATAAAACCAAACAGTTAACATGGGATGATAAAACTATCATCTTACTGTTATTTCAAGAAACTTACATAGTGACCCTTCCACCAATGCCATAATTATCAGAACCCTTTCAATGCCAGGAGTTACCAAAACTGAATTTCTCCTAAACAATTCATATTGGTCATTGTCAGGCAGTGCTTATTAGTAAGCGAGAGGGTACGTAAGAAAAATATCTATAAGAGGAAATTCTATAGTTTAATACCAAATTCTCTGATTGCAAATCACAAGCAATGTACAGCAAAAGAAAGATTGATCTATAAATCTTGGGAGTAAACGAGTGAAAGACACCCTAAAAATGGGATTAATCCAAAGCTTAGCCAGCTTGATTCAAGATGGTCCCATACTGGATTGCAGGTGGAAGGTTCTAAGTGATTATTATGTGATTATCCGTCAGTGGATAGTTTCTGTGCATGCATACTATCATTGCTAAGTTTAGCCCACCATGTACTCTACTTCATAATACACAAGAATTTACAGCAGTCAATTTGTTATCACTACGTCATGAAACCATCATCAGCTTCAAAACACAAGCACAATTATAATGCATTAAGCTACTGTAGCATAATATTCAGTCTATGATCTGCACATAATAGTTTTTAAAAGGCTCAAGCAAGAGAGATGTAATCTGCAGCTTTAACTAGCTTGCACCACAAAGCGAGTACATTAATGCTAACTTTTCCTGGTTTGTTTACAAATTATTCTACTAAAATGACCCTGCAACATATTTAATTCACACCTTTTGGTTTATAAAGATACTTTTAACTTGATTTTGAAAGACACAACTTTCCTTAAATCAAACAGTTATAAAGATCGCCTGAACTTAAGCTAAAAGTCTACAAACGTACCACTACTCTTCAAGGTGTAGTGGCCATTTCGTAGGCGAGTCGAAGAATTACCTCCCGAGCTCATCTCTGTTTCATTGATAACGATCTTTGAAGCACCCCATGGAAAATCTAGAGCACGTATCTAATTGAAAACAGCCTGGCAAAAACAGGCGATTCAAGATCCAAAAGACATCTTTTCATTTCTTTGCGAGGAAACAATTCGATATTAATTGTTCCTTATGATCGCGGGCGCTAGTACGCAGATCATTTCCATGGCAACAAGAGCTAAAATGACCCTTGCGGTCGAGGTTCCAGGTTAGCGTTATTTATTAAGGATGACAAAAACGATCATTACTCTTCACCATTACATAACCAAAGAGGATTTCGTGTGGCACACTTCAAGGGTAAACCTGCTCGTTTTATCGAAAAAAAGCTTCGTGTGATGCCCCGGTATATTTGAAATTATACGCTCAATCGCTACATCCCTCTACGGCTACGCGGTTGTATTTCAGTTACAGTAGTAACAGTGACATGGTAGGGTCTGGGTACGAAATCTATAAGTGCACCAATCAATCATAGAGCTGAGCTAAGGCTGTCACGCCATGTGCCAAATTGTTCTAGGTCTGATCATTTCCCAGACTTCTCTCAGGCTTAATTGAAGGTAAAATTTGATATCCTTTCCGATGCGTTGAGTGGAAGGCCTCATCAGTCACAGCATCCGAGTTTTAAGGCGCTGTCATTCCGAGCAATCTTCATGTCCCTGAGAATTCGGCTGTCGTTCATTCATAAAACACACGCCTTTAGCAGTTTGTTTTCTACTTGTCACGTGAACAGATCTTGCCTGATTTTATGAGCCATAATTAAATAGGATTTCACTGAACATTTCATTTTCAGATTCTGTGTTAAAACTTCAGGTAAAAGTGTCAAATTCGACCTGCCGAACTATTTCGGTTTAAAGATTGTGAACTTTGTTGCCGGATTGTCATTTTTGACAGCTTTGGTCTTGTTTCACCAATCAGATTATTTGAACTATTATAACAACGATTCTGATAGACTTATTGTAGCATGCTTTATGAGAGTACAGAGCAAGCTGACGACTCTGTTGTTTGCTTTGGAAAAAGAGGTATCTTTTTAAAATTGAAAATAATGCGTGGGGAATTTAACGGATTCTTTATTTTAAAGCAAATAGAGAAGCCTTGACTGTGCTCTGTTTTGTTGTAAAGCATGCAGGAAGCAGTTAGAGCACTCAAGAAGCAACGTGAACAGCTCTTAATTCGTTTTGAAATGAAAAGCTCGTTATTAGTTTTGAATGGTTGTCAGCTCCCTGTAGGTAAAATACTAAGTAGATACTTAAATCTTGAGAAGAGCTTTTTAAAGTAATTGACATAGTACTAGCACTCCCACAGGTCAACTGGTGAGTTCAGTGAGAGCATGTAAACATAGTTGTGACGTCACGCTTCTGTGTTTGCCGGCACTATTTGAAGACATTTCAAACTCAAAGCTTATTCAAGTATCGAAAAGTAATTTCAAGTTTAATTATTGCTTAAAAATCAACGCGATTTAAAAAGACAACGGCAAAAAATTCAATTTCACACTGAGCAAACGAACGACAAATCTACGATGTACACAATGTTCATGCAATATCAAAATTTGACCCTCTTGGATTGGTCTTCAGTTTCCGTGTTTTTGGCCGATGTCACCCTGATTTAATTATGCTTTTTACTTTTGTTTCAAAGCTGTCAAAAAATTGGGACGTATCGAGAATTAAGGCCAAAAAGAGTAGAGATTAATGAGATGCCCGGTCAATGTAGCAGATATCAGACTAACAAAAGACGTTAACAAGCTTTTATTTCCCATGACAAGAGCGACTGGTAATCTCGAGAACACCTGTGTTGGCTCTCACTCTTTACATCAAAAAATTAAAAAAAAACTATTTTCCTTTCATGAATTTGTGTTAATCAACCAATAAGAGTCAAAAAGGGCATATTACAGACGATTTCAATACCAAAATAAAAAATAACAAAAGGTTTTGAGACACCCATTCATAAAACGAAATTTATATTTCACTAAGTAGTTAAGGTTACCAGACGCTTGCTTAAGTCATGGTATTGGGTCTCGACGGGTAAAAACTTATCAGAGCATTGATTTCTTGATGATCAAAAAGTAAAAAATGCAATTGTGGTTTTGGATTCTTGGCTGGCTTCTTTCGATTCTCGCCATGACTGGAAATGGATTTATCATCTTCCTTGTTTGTAGCAAACGGCAGCTTCGCACCAAAACCAATGCGTTTATTGTTTCGCTTGCAGTGGCTGACTTCTGTGTCGGGATGATTACTGTTCCTTCGTTGTTTGTGTGTGAGTCGCTTGATCTGTGCAACAATCGACCTATTTCGATGATGGTATGGATTATAAGGAATCTGTTCGCTTTTGCGTCTGTGGCAAACCTTTGTAGTTTAGTCTTGGATCGCTACATTGCTATTGTGAAACCTTTAAAATACTTGACTATTATGAAGCGCCGTCGAGTCATTCAGATGGTTATCTTATCCTGGGTAATTCCAACTGCTATCATGACTTTTGCGGCAAATGTTATATTGAATACTTCCTTTTCACAAAATTTAAACATCCCTAAAAATACTTTATCCGTGATGTTCATCAGTTTCGAGATATTTTCAAGTTTTGTATTAATATGTGTCTTTACATCCATGTTAAAAGTTGTATTTAAGCATAATCGAGCCACTCGTTCGTTAGCAAAACAGTTACGCTTTAATCATCAGGTTTCCTTCAAAACTCAGGAAAAGTCTGCCATTATAATGATGGGGATTGTAGTCGGATTGTTCCTGATGTGTTATGGTAGTTTTATGAGATGCAGCTTAATAAGGATTTCTGGTATTGTTCAAGCATGTAATGATAGAGAATATAGAATAATCCTTCTAGGGTTAAACTCTGCTACCAACCCTTTGGCGTACTCTTTCTTCAAGAGAGATATAAAAAAGGACATTAAAAGACGCTTTTGTTGTCCCGTTTCATCGAAGTCAAAAAAGATTATTCCTCTCAATAAGAGCAGTTTCTCATCATCGCTGACTGCCATGGACGGGAAGTTAGAGTAAATGAAATAGGCGTGGACTTTTATCCTGGAACTTCTTTGTCTTAAATGTAAACGGAAGAGGATATTATAGGGATAAGCATATTTATTGTTGACTTTGTAGTCTGTTAGATTCAAAACTAATGTAAATGATGAACAAGAAACTTAGTAAACGCATAGTTAAGTTGAATGTACTACAGATTTACTGGGAAGTTAACTTATAACTTGGAATCTGTTACTTTGAAAAAAAAATTCCTGTGTAGAATATAACGATGTATTTACATAAAAAATGTAACGCGTAGTACGAAACTGATTTCCTTATGTGATTCTAAATTTTGAAAATCCGAATTCCGATTTCGATTACTCTTTTCAGTAATGGATTTATCTTTTAATACAAACAATTGAGCTTTTCCGCGTGCACTCCCCGTTGTGTTTGTTTACGGACGTGATTGAAAGTTTAGCCCCAACTACCATTGCGATTTCGCCCCCAAACGTAAACAAAAATTCGCCCTGACCTTTACCAGTTCGCCTCCAAATCATCAAACCAGTAACCGATGGAAAAACATATTTATTTTCTGTCGAATTCGGGACACGTTTCTATAACATGAATTTTTTTCTTAGTCAAACGCTCACGCTGAGTTGCTATGAAACACTAGATTCAGCGACACACGAGTGCGAGTATTAAATTACGAGATATCGTCCTTGGTCTTTGGTTCAGAATAATCGTTGGCTCCTAAAGGAGTTTTCACAACTTCATTAAATAATAATGCCCCTCATCTTCATTTAACAACAAATGAAGAACTCTTGGCGGTGTTCACAGGTTTTTAAAAAGTGTCAGCCGTAATTTCTATACAATCATTGGCATATCACAACCGATCTAATAACACTTTTTACTTTACTTCAAAGATGTATAAAAAACTGGAGTGTGTCAAGAATTAAGGCCAAGAAATTGGAAATAAATGAGCCACTCAGTCATTGAGGCAAATATCAAAACTAACAAAAGACGTTAATTTTCAGAAGCTTTTCGGTTGATTAGTAATATTGATCTAGAACTCTTGTCTTAGTTCATTCATTGCATCTAAAAATCTAAAATATTTTCCTGTCATGAAGTTGCGTTAATTGCCCAATGAGAATCAAAAAAGGGTGAGTTTTTTCGGTCGATTTCAATACCAAGATTAAAATAACAAAAGGTTTTGAGAGACCCACCTTACAGCGCAATTTATATATCATGAAATCTTAAAGATTACCAGCAGATCTTGTCTTAGTCAGAACGTTGTGTCTGTTTTGAAGGATAAAAACAAATCAGAACATTAATTGCTTAATAACCAGAGAGTAAAAATGCAAGTCTGGTTTTGGATTCTTGGCTGGCTTCTTTCTATTCTAACCATAACCGGCAATGGATTTATCTTTTTCCTTATTTGCAGTAAACGGCAGCTTCGCACCAAAACCAACGCGTTAATCGTTTCACTCGCAGTGGCGGACTTTTGTGTTGGGATGAGCGCTGTTCCTCCGCTGTTCATGTGTGAGATGGCAGGAAGTTGTGATCATTTGGGTACCATGGTAATCACATGGACGACAAAAAGCCTATTCCAGTATGCGTCTGTGACCAACCTTTGCTGTTTAGTCCTGGATCGCTACATTGCTGTTGTAAAACCGTTAAAATACTTGACCTTTATGAAGCGTCGCCGAGTCATTCAGATGGTAACCTTATCATGGGTCATTCCAATTGTTCTCATTTTCTTTACATACATCGTATTGAGTATTTCCTTTTTCCAAAAATCGATTCTCCCCATAAAGATTATAACTGTTATGTTCATCAGTCTCGAGATGTTTCCAAGTATGTTATTAATATGTTTCTTTGTAGCTATGTTAAAAGTCGTATTTAAGCATAATCGAGCCGCTCGTTTTCTAGCCAAACAGTTACGCTTCAATCATCAGGTTTTCTTCAAAACTCAGGAGAAGTCTGCTATTATAATGATGGGGATTGTAATCGGATTGTTCCTTGTGTGTTATGGCATTTTTCTACGATGCAGCTTCACGGTAGTTTCCGATAGGGATACATCATGTAATGATACACAATTTAAAATGCCCCTTTTAGTGTTAAACTCTGCCATCAACCCTCTAGCGTACTCTTTCTTCAAGAGAGACATAAAAAAGGAGATTAAAGGACACTTTTGTTGCTCCGTGTCATCAAAGTCAAACAGAATTCATCCTTTAAATGAGAACAGCTCCGCATGAGTTAATGTAAACGAGTAAGCCGTAACCTTTTATTGTAGGACTTTTTGTTATAAATGTAAATGGCGGCAGAATAAATGATTGCCAAGAATTAATATATTCAATTTAGCAGTTATAAGAAACAAATACAGAATAAGATTTAGCATTTACCAAATGTAGAAAACTAAAGGTCGCTCTTCGATCGTTCATCTTCAGAAAACATCTGTTTAAACTTCCTCTGAAAAGGAAGGATCCATTTTCAGGCTTTGGTGTCAAAATTAAAAAGGTTTTCGGTTTCTCAAAAACCATCATGCGTGTCGGTGAGTAGTTATCGGTTTTACGTAGTTATTGGCTGAATCGAAAATTTATTTTAATAGAATTAAAATATTCAATTTAGCAGTTATCAGAAACAAATACAGAATAAGATTCAACACTTACCAAATGTAGAAAACTAAAAGTCGCTCTTCGATCGTTCATCTTCAGAAAACATCTGTTTAAACTTCCTCTGAAAAGGAAGGATCCATTTTCAGGCTTTGGTGTCAAAATTAAAAAGGTTTTCGGTTTCTCAAAAACCATCATGCGTGTCGGTGAGTAGTTATCGGTTTAACGTAGTTATTGGCTGAATCGAAAATTTATTTTAATAGAATTAAAATATTCAATTTAGCAGTTATCAGAAACAAATACAGAATAAGATTCAACACTTACCAAATGTAGAAAACTAAAAGTCGCTCTTCGATCGTTCATCTTCAAAAAACATCTGTTTAAACTTCCTCTGAAAAGAAAGGATCCATTTTCAGGCTTTGGTGTCAAAATTAAAAAGGTTTTCGGTTTCTCAAAAACCCTCATGCGCGTCGGTGAGTAAATAAAAACAATAACTTGGTAGTAAATTGATAACGCTATCAAAATAGCTTGATAACGCTGTTTGTATTTAGTGGTTTTTTTGCTCAGACTGAGGGATGACACTCAAAATGACAACCTTAAAAAAAAATGAATGACAGATGTTAGACTATCTTGATCTACTTTTTTTTGATCATCACCTCATTGTTTGTAAATCAACTTAGCTAAGTAGCTGATGGAAGACGGTATCTTCAAACAGAGTAAGTGGTAACTCTGCCTCAAATAACAGGATCTGCGAGTAACATTTTTTCTCCAATATAACACTTTTAATGAAGCGATTCGAATTAAGACTAGCCAAGAGCAAATGTTCTCACAAGCTTAAATAAAGCAACGAAAGCAAGGAACTTTCACTAACAAGAATATGTTCTGAATAGTTCATGGTTTTATATTTTTACAAAATTTGTTATTGATTTCCTTTCCATTTTATAAATAATGACGCACTTTAGCGAACCGAGTCGTATACCGTTATATTGCAAGTCGGCAAATGGACGATAATTGTGTGTAAGTCTGTCGAGGAAAAAAAATTTCGTAAACAAAATTCGGAGAATAAAGCAAGAAGTAAATTATTTCTTTCTTTTTTTTCTGTCTTGTAAGAAATTGTTACCCTAAGTTTCTCCGCGTATTTTTTTTTTTTTTTTTTTTAAGGTTCGCTAAGCATCAGTTTTTTTTTAACTGAGTAGATCTGGTACTACATGAGGACGACTTATTTTCTGAAAAGCGACTGAAATCGTAACTGAGCACGCTCCTTTTATAATTTTGCTTCATCAGGAAAGTTGAAAGCAGGTTTTTTCCTTTGGTTTTCGGTTTTTATTCATTTATTTTGTATGAGGGACCGGTTTGGCTAGCCTTATTAAAATGTACGAACACGAGACCAAACAAATAAGAGACTCGTTCAGCGTTTATTTACTTCATTAATTAAAAAACACAAGCAAAACACTTCCTATGGAGCTCAAAATTCCTTCATTAAGTCAGGCATTAAACCAAATTAAAGTTACATTAATTTTCAGCGTCGTTGTATATTAGTGGGATTCTTAACGAGTCTCAACTTGCTGGCCCCTCAGGTGTGCGTCCTCATCTAGCAGGATCTGTTTGCAATCGAGTTGTCGAGCAATGAAGCAGACTCTTCGTTTCCGCTCTCCTTCAAATTATGATTACAAACCTAAAAATTAAAAAAAAGTATAATTGCAACCATACCTACTTGAAACATGAAGAGCTCCAAAAAATCAGAACAATTTTTGCGTCTAAAATTAAGCTAGTTTTTTCGCTTTTGATTAAAGGGCACCTGGTAATTTTTTGCTATAATTTAGTTTCCTCTTTACCAATTTTACTTGCTGCTTTTTTTTTAGTCCAAATTAAAAAGATAAATTTAAGTTTCTTACGCATTTACCGTCCTAGAGTCTTTTTTTGTGCAAAATACTCCGCCTTCGGTTCCTTCGATCAGAAGAAGTGACAAGACGAAAAGAACACCCAAAGCCAGTTTTGTTTCCATTTCTTTTCTGAGGTATTTTCGGATTCAGTTTGCTCGTTGCGTTCGTTTGATGTGGAAGGGTAGTACAGGGGGTTTTTATAAGATCTTGGATCATCTGCACTCTAAGTGACATGCCACGCCCCCAATGAAAAAGAAATGCCGCAGGTAAGACTATATCTTCATGCTTGAAAAAGTTTTTTAGCATGCAACTGAACGGGATCAAATTCGTAGCAGCCTTGATGGTGACATAAAAATTAATATAATTAACCCAAAGAGCAAACCAGAAAAGTGATACTTGCGTGGATTCTCCTCTCGCTTCTCCGTTTGTTTGTTTGTTTTCTTTTAGTTCCTTTTTTTTTCTTTTTTCTTTTTTCTTTTTTTCATTATCACACGCTTTTAAGTCCCTCCTTCACTTTTAGTGTTTCGTTTTTTGTTAGTTGTTTACGGAACTTGATACAACACTTCTTCGATATAATGAAAAAAAATTGAAAAAAAGTTTTCTTTCATCTGGATCAGAATTTGCATGTTATTCCAACTACCTTGTCTTAAAAAATACCAATTGACGACTTACTTAATGAAATTCAACGTTTTGTTTATGCGCGTGCCAAAGTCTCATTGCACTTCCGTTTAGACAATTATTAACTTAAATCGCTCGTTTCGACCATGCAGAAGGAAATTGGCGAACGAGCGTGATCAGTGCAAGTTTTCACTTTACCCGAGCTGTGAACTGTTCCCCTTTGTGGACAAACTGTGAATGGGAGAAAGGACTCAACTTAAACAAAAGAAGGAATGAAATTTGCTCCTTCTTCCACCTGCTTTGTCTGATCAACATCAAGAAGCAAACTTCTTTACGTAAATTCAAGTATAATTTGAATCAAACTCCCATGCCGCTCCTGTTTTGTAAACCTTTGAATTGAAAGGTTCGGCCAAGCTATGCAGAAGAAACTTTGGCGAACCAGCATGATCCGCGTGTGAGTTCAAAAATCCAGTCATTGTTATTCTTAAGCCGAGTTGCTAACAACTTCTCCTTAGTGGTTCAAACACGAACGCACGAAAGAAAGAAAAAAATACATTTTCTATCTTTCTCGTGCATTGGCTCACCTCCAGGCCCAGCACAACGCTCAAGTTAGCCATGTCATTTCATTCGAAGTGCCCAACTCAGGAAGCTGCATTTGATTCGGTTCTTCAAACACGATTAAAACATGCGATGCAACATAAATGGTGTGACAGAATCAGTCTCTAACTTTATTATAGCGGAGCTCGCAGAGCGTAGCCCCATAATTATACAAAATAACAGTAACCCATCAAGCCGAAAAAATTTGGATGTACGACCGTACGACCGTACAAGGCGCTACTTTTAACATGCGTGGTCAACTGGAAATATGAATTTATTATTGGGCTTGTGGTCTGCCTTGGATTAAAAATGTACTTGATCAGTATGAAGAATAAACTATAGATTATGGCAATGTAAAACAGTGCTAAAGTTTTACTTGGAAATTAACTCAAACTGGGTATTTGTAAATAGAGAATAATACATGGGAACGCATAGGTATGGAATTTCTCCTCGAGTGTTTCACTCGATATCTCACGAGTGAGCGCAGTGAACGAGTGGGATATCCTCCACCAGGACTCTCGGCCTGTAGTGCAGATTACTTAATATCTAGGCGTTGCTTCTTCATCTGCATATCAAAAGAGCGTTTAGTAAACACCAAGGGATATCAGCGGATGGTCTGTTATAATTCTTAAAAAGCGTATGAGTTTACAAACCAACACAGAGGGCTCTAATGAGGAATTCGTGGCGGCAAGAGTCTATAATCTCTTGATAGCGGCTAATGCTAGTTTCTTGCCCAATCTTCTCACATCTAAATCACATCGATAGTGTCTGGGAATGCGACTAGGCTCGGGTGAAGAAAGATGGGAGTTGTCGCCTAAAACTAAAGAATATTAATAGCCTTATTTGTTTGTAATATGATGCCAGCGAAGTAAGATCAATCAAAAAAAAGGAAAGACGTGTGAAACCTCTCCTTCTAGTTTTCCATTTTATTTAATTTTACAATAAGGAATAAATTATGATAATTCACACTTTATTTCTTTTTTCATTCATCAACGAAAACAAACCTTTTTTCATTCTGTGATGCTTATACATATAATTAAGTATTTTATCGTGTTATAAGCACACTCCTGTAAACTTGTAAGAATTCATGACCACACCATAAAACTTCGTTTGTCTGTTGTTTCAACTAATTTCTTGGGGCATTTCCAAGTCCATGGAACGTGCTTTTTGAGCCAAACGTGTACTTGGAACAAACTGAAACAAAAAAGAAAAATTGCACTCTCAGCGGTTTCACCTGAGAAAAAGAGGAAATTACTGTTAGCTTTTACTAACACCGCCCCCTGAAATTTTTTGATCAATATCTGTCAAGTAAATAAGCATATAAACCCAACTGTTAGTCAAGGTGGCTCTAAATGGTTTTGTTGTCAAACACCAATTTTTTTTGACGAGCTGATACTATCCCAATGAGGAATCAAACCTCAGACCTTTGGATTCCGCGCTCCGATGCTCTAACCACTGAGTCACTGCAGAGACTTTACGGTGAGCGAGGTCTATCACGAAGTTCATATGACACGCGTCCTGCATACTGTTAGGATCAGCAATGTCGATAGCGTCATGTTTGTAAATATAATAAGAGAGATATTAAGTTTTGAGCTCGGTAAAGTTTAAGTTTTGAGCATCGGAGCGCGGAATCCGAAAGTCTGAGGTTCGATTCCTCATGGGTACTCAATATTTTTTCTTTGTCCCACGCTCGTGACAAGACCGCCTTAGTGTCAGTACAGCCTTTTAGAAATACCATTCAAACAGAAGCGTTAAGCTCAAATGTTGGAGGCTGTTGCTCAAAACGGATGGCGATGGTCACTCCCATTTTTTTCATTGAATGCCAATCAGCAGATCAAGAATCTAAGCAAAATTTTTCAAGATCTGTATCACTCTAATTGTTTCATGAGGGGAGCTACCAAGCTTTATTTTGAGCTGAGATACTGGAATCTTAAGTTGGAGACTTGTCCTTGAGGCTTTCATGTTACTATGGTAATCTTGAATATAAAAGATTAAATAAATAGATAAATAAAAAAATTTGGTTTAAAACATGGGTATTTCTTGAAAACAATTTTTTTAAGAAACAGTATTTAGTATTGATCTGCCAAAAAATCAGTGTTTGAGCACAACAATTCCAAAGCACAACGTGGAGTCATTTCAAAAACCGGGGTGAAAAAGTACTCCAAAGGAACTGTCTTTCAAAAACTGTATTCTTACACGAAATTCTTTTAACCATTGGATCACTTTCCAGCCAAAACTTGAAGCCTTCTTTAGCCCGTTGATTGTACACCGATGGACGCCTTTGAACTTGAGGGCGTGGAAGGTCGTTCGTCTGTTGGAGAACTTGCCTCGAAGATTTCTTCTCCATCGGTTTGCCTTGATAGTACATGGTATATGTTTCTGAGACGAAAGTTTGGTTAGCCACATTAACGTAGTGACGTTAAGTTCACGTTTTTGAAATTCTGTCAGATTGATTGCCTTTCTGAAAAACTAAGTATGTCTTTCAGACTCAAAGTCAACTCGAACGGACTCTAACGGTATTTTTCAGACCTTAAGTTTTCCACAATTATTTGAAACAGCTCTAAGCTACGTCGCGTCATTACTTTTCTCCTTTTTCATTGGTTCTATTTCATTTTTATCACGAAATCTAGTGAGCAGAATGATTGACTAAGCCCTGTCTCCAAGTAACGAGTATTAACTATTAACCTCTAAGGAATTTTTTAACTCAGCTAAAAATCACAAACCACTACTCAAGGAGTAGGGTAACAAGCAGGGAAAGGGGGAATGGGGGTTCCTGATCCCGTTTCACCCAAATTCAAATTCAAGCGTCACGTGCAGTTTGTATTTCAAGCGTCACAATTCTCACCCAACATTGCCTTACTGTAAAACTCCCGCGTCTCGTGTAAACCCTTTACCAGTTTCCTAAGCCTTTAACTCCCATGAGTGACCGTGACAGTATTTCTCGTTAAATTATCAATACAATACTAAGCAGACAAGTGATGAGAATAGAGAAAAACATCAATCAAGGGAATATTAGTTGATCCAATACCAAGTTTTTCGAACTAACATCCTAACAATTGTACTGACAGACAATAAGGAGGATCACTAATAAGGTCTTGGAGAGAAAGGTTAATGAACGCTGAGGAGATTTTTCGGCCTTAGTCCTAGAGCGCCATTTAGTCGATACCATTATTTCTACAATTTCTGTCTACTTACTCTTTAACAGTTCTTCTCTGTGCTTGCTTTGATCATAGTAATATCTCTGAAACGCACTTGACAGCTTCGGATCTTTCTGAGAACGACTAGCCAAAATTTCCTTTGACGGCAAACTATACGACATGCGATTTACGAAGTCAACGTGCTGAAACAAAATTATTTCAAAACTTCGTTTAGCTTTCTAAATAAATCCAGGCCACAGAGAAAGGAGGTATTGAAACAATTACTCCGGCAAAAGGTTTTACCCCTGAGATTGGTCCCAAGCAATTTTGAATTGAAAAATATTTTGGTAAATGGAGGCATTGAGAGGCTCCTGTTGACATCGTACTTTTAAGTTTTCGTCAAATTCTAGTTTGTTCTTTCAGATGCCATTTTCTGAATTCAGTCCCAACTGCTTTTCCCAATTATTTAATACAATCGACGCTATCACTGCATTTTTAAGGGCAAATTTCATCTTCCTAAAGGTCGTTGCTTACTCACTATAAATAGTGAACAATTTTGGCAAAGAACATTTATTCAGAATATGTGGAGGTCCACGATTAAATTGGAAAACAGGCGCATGAATTAGAGTGTTTTTGATTAAGAAGCAATGTATCTTATGTATCTTTGTCTTGTATGGAGTAATGCATCCTATTATTTGAATTGTAACAACATGGTGACCTCGAAATTTTTGAAAAGTCATCATTTTTTTCCACCTTAAATTGAAGTACCCACCACTTGAATACTCAACGAGTTAAGAAAGTATACAACATGCCTTGAATGTATTTTTAAAAATTAAGAGATTTTTCAAATTTTAGCGGGGCGTAACAAGAAGTAAGATTATAATGACCAGCTTTGCTGATAGCAGCGGTCAACTACGCTTCACCTCCAATATGCGAGTATTTTTTTGGGATATCTAAAAGTTTCCGAGATATTAAGAAAACATAAAGAAAGTTTTGAGATATTCGTAGCTTTCATGGCTGAGGTATTCGTTTTCTTCCCTCTAATCTTAGAAAAACTCAGCTCCATGCTAGAATTTCCGAGACGTTTGCCATGTGATCAAATTATCAGCAAGAAAAAATTAACTCTGAACTGTTAGAGAAATTTAAAAATTTTGATATTTTTTGAAAGATATTCATCAAACGATTTTACGTGATATTTAGTATGAGCCCCCTAACTTATCTTACCTTTCCCTTCAGCTTTGCCCAGTGGTCTGTATCCAGCTGCTGGGCGAGTTTTAACGAGGGTACATCTTGTTTAGACCAGTGTGACAAATTCTTTCTATGAGGGGGAAATTCAAACAATCTATTATGTTTTCAAAACCCGCACCAGGAAGATGAAAACTCAAAAGAAAACAGTAGTAAGAATGCCTCGTATGTAAATCATCTCCAGTCCGAGAAATAAAGGAAATTCGAACATATATGCGTAGTAAATGTATTAGTAAAAATAAAAGAAATAAAATACTTTTTTAAAATTCCGCTTTGAGTGTAAAAGCTAATTTTAATGGAAAAAATTTTTTCCACAATAAAATTTCGATAGCGATCTTCTACTTGGCTCATGCACAATTTACCATCAGATTCTGATCTTGAAATATTGATTCCATCGTCAAGATGGTCTATGAGCCAAGCTGTAAAAAATCTTCGAAAATAAAGATCTATTTTTGGAGAAATATCGATTGGCAAACGCTGCATCGTGAAATCAATAATAATTATACTTTGCTGCAATTTCAACGGGTTTTCACTTGTTTTGATAGACTTCAAGCTTTAATCGACACCGTCTACTGGATATACAAAGTTTCTTTCGGCGAGTCAACGACGATCTCTCGTAGTCGAAACTGTTTTGCTCCAAAGACTGAAGAAAGTAGAGCATATTCTTGTTAGATGGTCAGATAGCGACAGGCGAGCTTATCTTTCTTAAAATGTAAAACATTTCGGTTCACGACAAATTCAAATTAGGCTATTGACATGAAATGCTTTCGGTTATGTTTGCCTAGAACACGTCAGAAAATTTTCCACCTCACCTGTGTTCCCAAACTTTCGGAAATTCTCGGGCGACAGGCGCATGTGAAATCGCTGGAAGATGCAAAGTTGTAGCCATTTTATCCAGCCACCTTTTATCGCAAACATTCGAGTAACTAAGGGACCCGCGTAAGCTTTTCATTGATATTTAATTAATTCGGGCTCAAAACACCTGCCCTCTTGGGAAGAGATCTAGTTTCCCTCTGTACAAAAGATGGATCTATGACACGATGAAGTGTCAACAAAAACCATTGTGCTATCAAAGTATGCAATTGTTATTGCTTAAAGTGTATGCGATTTAACTGTTTACTCTGTAGCTTTCTCTATTCGCATTGAAGAATGTAATGGTTTTTTGATTAAAATTTCTTGTGGCAATCTTTAAACGTGGTGCCCTGTAGCTTACATTTGCCAAAATTTGAATTCAACTTATATTTAGATAAGCACTCTGTCAGAAACAGTGCAATTTTCAGTTGAAGTGGAGACAAGTAAGCCGGCCAGAAGACTGCAAGAAGTCTGGTGCAAGACTTCTGGTGAAAGAAACATTGGTGTGGCAGCACTGTTAATAAGGGTCTCCCAGCAGACTAAAAGGTGAGTTCAGAAAAAATGAAAACAATTTTCCGTGCAAGTAATTTCGGGAGCAGTGAGGAACATGCTTTGTAAACCAGTATTCTAGGAAAAAAAAGCTGAATATGTTTTCCTCTGTAATTGATATTGTTATTTTTTTTCCCTGATCACCAAGGTTTCCCATTATCTTGAGTTTTGAAATCTTTAGAATATGGAATCGTTATTATTGACTGAAATATCCCAGGAAAGCGTATTGTTTGCAGAATCTTTCATTCTAGCTTGTTAGAAAGAAAAGAAGAAGAGAGCATTTGGCATCCCGGGACAAGTCTAATAACTTTATCGTGTATTTTCGATAAACACGGAAATAAATTATCGATTGCCCATCAATTGGGTGACAGCAGTCAATGTCAGTCGCATCAAAACCATCAATTCCTGTCAGTTGATTGTTTATTTCGCAACCATACCTTGTACGGTCGGTCTTACGGTCGTAAGTCCAAATTTTTTCGGCTTGATGGGTTACTACTACCATTTTGTATAATTATGGGGCTACACTCTGCGAGCTCCGCTATTACTAGAGATGTGAGCAGTGTTTAGTTCAGAATAGAAACATGAATAATTTGGCATCTTGGTGCCCGATCTCCAAGTACGAAAATAATATTAATATCAAATTAACAACGCTTTGACAGAAAGCTGCAAGGAAATGTAAAAAAGTTTAAAGAAGCACTTCCTAAGTTATTGTTATTCTCGTTTCTGCTGCCGTTGTGATTTGATTAAGGCCCCAACTGACGTATTGACATCTTTTAGTTCTTGTGGATACTAATACTCTATGAGATTGACCTCTATGTTACGCTGTGTAATAGTGATTGTAGTTGTCTATCTTCGAAAGCTGTTCGGACCTCAGTCGACACATATTCGTACCCCATATTTACCTAAGTGGTACAGTGGTAGAGATCTGATCTTGGAACTGGTCGGTCCGGGTTCAAATCCTCATGGGCACAATTTTCGTAACCTTTTATTATCTCACATCTATGGCTTAGCTCTCTCTTTTCACGTCACCTTCTCGCTTCATTTAATTTAAAAAGAGCCGATTCCTACAATAAATTCGATATTTAATGATCCTTTTCCATCTAAACTGAGAGTAAAAGAGCTCTAACAGAATAAAGGTTCTGCCTCAGTCCCTCAAACTGTCACATTACTAACAGTGCCCCAATGTAAAATTTGTTCTCATCAAGAGGACGAGTCATCGTCTTATCAAAACGGCGAAGCAAAGGCGTCTTTTAAACTCTTCGTTAATGTCTCTCTTGAAAAAAGAATAAGCCAGAGGATTGATTGCTGAGTTTAGCACTAAGACAGGAATTTTATAGAAAACATCTTTACATAGGTTTTTGCTATGATACAAGAAAATGACAGTACATCGAATATATATCCCGTAACACACAAGAAACAAACTTATCACAATCCCCATCATTATAATGGCAGACTTTTCGTGAGTTTTGAAGAAAACCCGATGGTTAAAGCGTAACTGTTTCGCCAATGAGCGAGCGGCTCGATTATGCTTAATGACAACCCTAAACATAGATACAAAGCAGAAAATTAACATCACACATGGGAAAAACTCGGTTATAAAAACTAAACAAATCGAAAAGTCCAAGAGAATTGAATTCTCTCTGAAAAAGAACTTGTACATTGCATGAACAGTAACAACGGCGAAGGAAATTGCCCAGGATGCGGAAACCATCTGAATGACTCGGCGACGCTTCATAAATGTCAAGTATTTTAAAGGTTTTACAACAGCAATGTAGCGATCCAGGACTAAACAGCAAAGGTTGGTCACAGACGCATATGCGAACAGGCTCCTCGCTGCCCATACAAATGAATACAAATTAGATGACAATTTACAACCATTTTCCATCTCACACATAAATTGCGAAGGAACAGCGCTCATCCCAACACAGAAGTCCGCCACGGCGAGGGAAACGATGAACGCGTTGGTTTTGGTGCGAAGCTGCCGTTTGCTCCAAACAAGGAAGATGATGAATCCATTTCCAGTTATGGCCAGGATGGTAAGGGACCAACTGATAATCCAAAACCAAGTTTTCATGATTTTACGATCACAAACGATGCCTTGCTTGTTGATCAGCACGAAGGAGACCTTAGACATCTGCCGCCTCTAAGGCTTTGGCGTATTTAAATTACCTCCCTGACGTGCTGCAGTTGTCATCGGAGAAAAAATTAATGATTAAGATATAACCCTTAAACAAACTATCTTCATAAATACCTGGCCATCTGACGCTTGCAAAAAGTAATGTCGTCTACTAACTATACACAGTTTTTGAAACCTTGTCGTTAAGTACACAGGCTATGACCAAGGATTTACCAGTTGTAGGGAAGAACTTAACGGCCATTTTTATCAATCTCATTGCGCAAAACATAGACTTGTATTCCGCTAATTGGTTCGATTCAAAGCCATCTGTTTTTCAAAATGCAGGTGGGAAACAATGAAAAAAATCATGGCTTTCATCAATACGGGATTCTCTCCTCCACTTCCCTCTCCCTTCTCCCCCCCCCAATAAATTTCCAGTTTTGACCATTCAAACGAGTTTTTTGCTATTATACAGAGCTGTTCTAAACCAATATTCATATCCAAAAACTATTTCTTTCATCGTAAGCGTAGTGAGAGAAGGATCCTTTTCAGGCGTGACGCTACTTAAGTAAAATAATTTAATAAAATAATAATATAATAATAATATTTAATAAAATAAAATAATAAAATAGCTCCGTGTTCTCCATTAGAATGCCAGAAATTAACATATTTTGAACAGCAAGAGCGCGTTAAGAACTATACCGTTCGTTACAAAAGAGAGCCCCGACCCAGTGAATCGGTTTCCAGCTGTCACTTTCCTTGTCGAAGGCTTCTAAGAACTGCTTTCTGGAGCTTTGCTACAATATGAAGGGTAAACAAAACCATTGTGTCAACAAAGGATACAAGCGTTATTGCTTGAAGAGTTTATGGCTTGAATTGTAGCTGTGCATAATTGCTTTGACAAATGTCATGGTTTCTCCTGAAATTTTCCTATTTTACTTACTTTCTAATTTCTTTTATTCGGTAAATGTTGTGCTTTATTGTTTAAATTTGCCTCACTTTGAATCTTATTCATCAGCTGGTATTCTGTCGAAAACAGTGAAAAATCTAGCGACAGTTATTTTACCTTAAAGATTGGTCTCAGGTGAGCGCCTCTTTACACGACCGCTACATTTTCTAATTTGAATAAATAAGGGTTTTTCGCTTTTACCAGATCATAAACTACTACCATCCCGTTATATAAACTTTTTCTTTGGAAATCTTTGGGATATTTTATGTGGCCCAAGTTTTCGATACTTAGTCGGTGGAAAAGCCCCGAGGCAAACCGTCTGTTATTGTATAGACTGTTACATGTATGCCGGGTTGGTGGTGATTCAACCAGGATGCACTTCAGCCCAGGCTCATGTAGGGAGGCCCTGAGGATTCTTTACCGGCAATCTGCGGCTGGTTTGTAGCTGCAGCAGAATCCTCGCCAAAAATTTATGGTCTCTCCTGGTATTATCAAAAAGTATCAAAAACATCCACCAAAATATTTTAACCAAGTCTTTCATCACATCTCCATCACTCGACACCGGTATAAAAAGAGCCAGAATCATCTGAACATGCTACGCATGACTGGGCAACTTTTCTTAAAGTAAAGCAAAATTTTGCAATGGCTATACACTCTGTTATCAGCAACTAACATTTAGGCTTAATTCTGGAGAATACAATATGATCGTGATTTCGATATTTCACATTAGTTCAGTAACAGTAATTCTCATAACAGGCCCTAAGTGAAATGAGTTTGTGTGTTGCCTCAGATTAGAATAGGGAAACTGGAGTTTTTTTGATGGGCGGGGTCCAACCTTTGATTAAGAAAACATGGAAATTTTTCCTTACCACGATCGCCTGAATGAGCCAAGAATATCTTTCGACAAGTAAATTTCAAATAATGCGCGACTTTCCTAATACGGGGGTCAGAGTGAACGCTGGGTTGGCCAAACCCGTACCAGGTCCCTCAAGGGGTATGTTGTTTCGCACGGCTTCGATCTTGGTTGTTGTTGTGTGAGATGCAGAGCCAAAAAGAGATCGCAAATTATCTGAAAGTTGTATGTTGACAAGCCTTTCCTATTTCTATGATGGGCCGAGGAGATCATTGATCTGTGTGAGAAAGTGAAAATGACCGTCGACATCTGAAAGGTGAAAAATTTGGAGGAAAACCTCTAAGTTATTTCAAATTCGTGGGTTCGAGCAGAAATCCGTAATAATATGTTTTACCATAATTCCATTCTATTCTAAGCCTAATTCGTTTCCAAAAACCAATTTATTACTTATTTACTTATTATTTATTTACAAGCTGCCATCGAAGTCTGCCAACGACCTTTAATAGAGTGGCTGATGACGTCACTCATTCAAGAAGATTTAAGCAAAATCAGCTTCGTGTTTCCAATAAAAGTGCTGAAAAAAGACGTCTTTTTGCACATTTAAGTCTATCTTAATAACTGTGCGACATTTTAAGGTTCAAATTTACCGTTTTTTGCAAACAAGAGCAGACAGATAATGAATAGGTTCCAGCTTTGGTGACATGGAAAAATTAAAGCCAAGAGCCTCATTTGCGCTCTTGAAAGCTCGTTATAACTGTTTTCCGAGGCTTCCTTCCAATATCAAGTGTAAACAAAACTACTTCAACTGTCTTCAAAAAGTTCTTGTGAAAAGGTTGAAACATGTCTGGCTTTGTTGACGTGACACAGCAAAGGCGCCTTTTCATTTCCTTGTTTATGTCTCTCTTGAAGAAAGAGTACACCAAAGGTTTGATGGCAGGGTCTAACATTAAAGAGGGATTTTAAATCCTTTATCATAGCATGATACATTACTACGAATCGAACAACTTTAAAAGACGTATTTAACCATACACGAAACTGATCATCCTTGCGAAATACTGCTGAACAAATTGACTCAGTAGGGATGTGAGGATCGACGAAGAAGTAAGGACGACAGCAGCAACACGGAAAACTTCGGTTTAACGAATGAATTTGTACTTTTCTTAAGTAGTTTGCGAATGGCTGGATGTTTTTATCGTCTTTAACTGCGCCAGACTTTAAGTTTTGAAGATGCACGTGAAGAGCAAAGTTTCCTCTTGAAATCGTTTGTTTCACCACGTCCCCATTTCCGTCGCTGTCGCGGTTTCATCAAGAACCCTCTCGAAACAATGCCCTTCTTTCTTTTTCTTTTTTTTACTTCTCAGTCTCTTCAAGAGATAGCAAGCCAACTCGCTTCATTAGTTAAGTCAGAGAGAGCTCATAATAAATTTGCTCTTCGCTGCTCCTCAGCCATTTACGCTGATAATAAAAGAGTTGCTCTAGAATAAAAGTTCCTTACTCAGTCACTTAAACTAACATCTTACGATGCCCCTGTTAAAAAATATCACAGCAAAGCCGTCTCTTAAGCTCTTTGTTAATGTCTCTCTTGAAGAAAGAGTATGCCATAGGATTGATGGCGGAGTTTAACACTAAAACAGGAATTTTATATTCAGTATCATTGCATGATGTTTTACCCTTAACAAGGAAAATAACGCTACATCGAAAATGTATCCCGTAACACAACAGAAACAAACTTATCACAATCCCCATCATTATAATGGCAGACTTTTCCTGAGTTTTGAAGAAAACCCGATGGTTGAAGCGTAACTGTTTCGCTAAAGAACGAGCGGCTCGAATATGTTTAAACACGACTTTTAACATGGATACGAAGCAAAATATTAACATAACACTTGGAAAAAACTCAGTTATCATAACTAAACAAAGCGAAAAGTGGAACAGAATTAAATGATCTTCAGGAAGAAGCTTGTATATTGTTACAACAGTAACAAAGGCGAATGAAACTGCCCAGGATAAGGAAACCATCTGAATGACTCTGCGACGCTTCATAAAAGTCATGTATTTTAAAGGATTTACCACAGCAATGTAGCGATCCAGGACTAAACAGCAAAGGTTGGTCACAGGACGCATATGCGAATAGGTTCCTCGCTCCCCAAACAATTACAAGCGAAGTAGATGAAAATTTACAGCCATTTTCCATCTCACACACAAACAGCGAAGGAACAGCACTCATACCAAGACAGAAGTCCGCCACGGCGAGTGAAACGATGAACGCGTTAGTTTTGGTGCGAAGCTTCCGTTTTCCGCAAACAAGGAAGATGATAAATCCATTTCCAGTTACAGCCAGGATGGAAAGAGACCAGCCAAGAATCCAAAAGCAAGTCTTCATTTACGATCATAGACGAAGGCTTACTAATTGCTCTGCAAGAAGTAAGCTGAAGAAATCTGACGCTTCTAAAGCTTCGGCGCATATAAATTACCGCACTTAACGTGCTGCAATTGTCATTGGTGGTTAGTTATCTACAGCTTATAAAAATTAGTGTTATCTGTTCACAATGCACTATTTTTAAAATCCTGTGTTAGGTACACTGGTTACGAAACTGATGAATCCATCAGCTGTTGGGAAGAACTTACCAAGCATGTTTATAATTTTCACTGCGCAAAATAAGACTTTTTAAAAGATCCCGTTAATTGATTCGTTTTAAAGCTATCTGTTGTTCAATTTATGGGTAGGAAAGGATTAAAAATTCATAGCCTTCATTTATGCACTTCTCCCCAAACACAAAAATCTTATCTTTGAACGTTCAAACGAGTGTTCAGGCATGTAAAGACAGCTTTTCTAGGCCTAATTCACATCCATTTGTTCGTCAGTAACAGAGGCAGAGATTTATACAATTGACAAGGATCATTTTTAGCGGCGTCGCAAGCTGCTATGACAGTCTGACAAGCTTGAATAGAGTAGCCACAAGCTGCTTCATTTGAATAACTTTTTTAAATTAGCTTCCTGAATCAGTTTCCGTCTTTGGTCATTTGAGAGAAATACCAGCCAAGAATTCAAAATCAGGTCTTTACTACTTTTTTGGGAAGTCAATTTAAAACTGTTCAATGTTTAATTTTTTTTTTATCACAAGGTTTATTAGGTTAGAACGAGTGAATATTTAATTCCAGAAAATTAGAACCTCAACCTCGTTCCCTCAGTCCTCTCTCTTCCTGAGAACGAGGTTGCAGTGAACAATCATCTTTCCTTCTTTCCAAGATAGGAGGTTACCATAGTAGCGTAATTACGTGTAAAGGGATGATTTCAACGAGAAGAGTGAATGTCACTCTCCAGCGAACGAGAAAAAAATTACGCTTTTACTTTAATCACTCTGAAACGAGTATTAAATATTTTGTAAGAAACCTTCAGTAAACAGAACATACTGTTCCCGGGGGGAGCATCTCGTTTCTTTATGTCCGTGAGAATACATTGACTACGATATAACAATGAGAAGAATAAATACCACTACAATTTACATCAAAGGTCGCACGCATCACAGAAAAAAAGCAAGAGCAAGTGATGCCTTCGAATGGTTTTGCATAACTTACAATCTCTTAATTAGCAAAACGAATCCCACAGGACTTCCTACGGCTGAAAACATTAACATATCACTCCTGCATAAATTCCTTGCATAAATAACACATAGAACACAATTGTTAAACATTCAAGACCTTACAAAATACATCAAATAAATTTGAAATCACGAAAATATTTCCACGGTTAGGCTAACCGTCCACACTACTGCGAACCGGAAACGGAGCAACCTGGTCCCAGATTTATCTTTTTCCCGCCCCTAGGAGCGAGAAGGAAGGAAACCATGGGAACGAGGTTAGAAACGAAGCTTTTCAAGAAGCTGATATCACTCTTATTTTTTTCTTTCTTTAATTGGATAGAAAAGGGCCTTCATTACGCGCATGTGTGTTGATGCTGTTAAACTTTTCTCCTACAAACATTTGTTACATCCTCAAATTCATCTGATGAATCTATTTGGCGTCATCGTTGGTTCTGTTTTCTAATATTGTGGAGGGAAAACATATCTTGGGTCTTAGAGTAACACTGTTTCGAAATTCTGGAGTATCTTCGGTGACAAAGATAATGCAGGTGTACATCGCAGAAAAAAATTAGCCAAAGAAAATTAAAAAGGTAATTTCCGGAATAAAATGGTCACGGGAAAAACGCTGTCAATGGATTTTCCAGCGGGAATGATATTTTTATGGTCATCTGAAGGACTTTTCTGCGCGAATGTCGATCAGTTCTTTTCCACTGATTACAAAGATCCAAGTTTACCCTTACCTGAAGTTTCAAAATCTTTAGAATTAAGCATCTTTATTGTTGCTTCAAACTTTGCATTATTTTGTCAAAATGTTTGAGATATTATAGAGTAAAATGGAAACAGTGACTTTTTTCCTAGAATAGACTGTAGTTTATCTTTTACTAGGTACCGTAATAGGATAGAATCTCACCATATCGTGTATCTCTAAAATTCTTGTAAATTACTATCATGCGATCTATTTGCTGTAGTGCTCTTTAAACCATCGATTTCAAATGACGTCATGATTGCCTACTCAGTTTGATGTTAGACCATGATGCAGCCTATTAATCTGTAAATGTGACAGGCAACTTAATGGCTTCTCCTTACTACACAAAATAATGAAACAATCAGTAAAATGTTGGATTGAAACCTGATATTGGTATCTCATGAGCTAAAAAAAGTTCATAATTAACCAGTGAAGTAGACTATCGATCTTAGCAACTGTAAAACGATCTATCACACGATTAATTACAAGCACATAGTTATTTTGACCTATAAGTTCACTTTTAACCTGCAAACCTTTTTTCAAGGTGTTGGTCTGTTTTTGTGTAGCTAATGTTAGACAAGTCAATTTTAAAGATATTGCTCCTTTATTGTTTGAAAAGAAATATCGAAGGATATTTCTCTTAGTCATGTTCAGCATAAGAGAGGCTTGAAATCCACTGATGAGTTCATATTCGCATTTTCTCTCAGATCCTTAGCCATTTACACTGATTTTAAAAAAAAAATCGTGAAATAGAAGTTCTCGACTGAATCACTAACACTAATTCTTCATAGCGACCAATGAAAAACTGTTCTGATCATGAGGACGTACCACGTTTGACTTTGTTAAATTGACACAACGAAGGCGTCTTTTTGCTTCCTTGTTAATATCTCTCTTAAAGAAAGAGTACGCCAAAGGGTTGATGGCAGAGTTCATCACCAATATCGGGATTTTGTAGTTGTCATCATTGCATGACGGCTGAAATTTGAATAAATGAATAAAACTACATCGAAAATAAATCCCGTAACACACAAGAAACACTCCTATAACGATCCCCATCATTATAATCGCAGATTTTTCCTGACTTTTGAAAAAAACCTGATGGTTAAAACGTAATTGTTTCGCTAACGAACGAGCGGCGCGGTTATGCTTAGATACAACTTGTAACATGGATACAAAGAAAAATATTAACATCAAACTTGGAAGGGACTCAAAAATGATAAACAGACAAGTTAAAATTTGGAAAAGAAGCAAGTTATTGAAAAGGAAATTGTTTAGTGTTGAAACAGCTATGAGAACAGAAGGAATTATCCAAGCCAGGAGAATCATTAGGATGACGCGGCGACGCCTCATAAGTATCAAGTAGTTTAAAGGTTTAACAACAGCAATGTAGCGATCCAGGACTAAACTGCAAAGATTCGACACGGACGCGAACGCAAACAGGCTTCTCACAGCCCATTCGATTATTTGAGCGGATAAATTATTGCAACCATTGACCATCTCGCACGTAAACCATGTAGGAATAGCCATACTTCCAATACTTAAGTCTGCCACTGCGAGTGAAACGATGAACGCGTTCGTTTTGGTGCGAAGCTGCCTTTTACTGCAAATGAGGAAGATTATAAATCCATTTCCAGTTATAGTCAGAATGGAAAGAGACCAGCCAAGAACCCAAAACCAGGCTTTCATTCTCGCAAACAATGTATTAGTTTAATGTTAAAGTCAGTTTTCTCCGGAAAGACAGCAAAAGAAGCCATCTGACACCCCATGAAGTTTTTCAAATCACCATGTATGGTGCAATTAAATTGAATATTGTTCAAAGTGAAATGTTATGACATTTTCATGGCATTAATGAACAGAATGGCGATATTTTACTCCGTGGTCACTTTGTCTGACTAAGACTCGTGGGTGTGTATCTTTAAATACACAAATGAGAGCTTTGTGATACGAAAGAAAATTAATTACGAAAGGTAAAGGACTAATAGAGATAGACATCCGTTTTTACGAACTGCATCGTGTAGAAAAATTTTTTGAAAAAAAAAATAAATGCAAAAATGACAGAAATAGGTTTGTGAGATTGTCCATCGCCACGTAGATACTTAAAAGAGGCAAGAGATTACAATCTTTGAGGAGTACACGACGAGAATTTTCCGCCAAAGCGCATTTTTGCTCAGAGAAATCGCTTTTAGTCTAACAACGTTCTAATTAAATAGTCGGCTCATCAAGAGAAAAAATTAATGACTTCTTCCATCTGTTATCTTGGTTGGATTCACTATGACTTTTATCACAAAGACTGGTTCCAGGAAAAAGATGCTCTTAGTTTTTATTCTTTATTTTTTTTAGATATTTTCATTTTATACAAAGAAAATTGGAAGTTATATATCTTATAGCATGGTTGATTATTTATTTAAAGCCCCAGAGGAGATTTCAGATTTAATTCAAATTAGAATATTACTAAACCAAAGCGATAAAGTGATTACTTTTAGGCAATTAACCGTTGAAACACAGTAAAAGAGCTTTCGTGAACATCACAGTTTAGCAATAAACATCAACATTGGATAACAAATTTTGTATACAAACATTTTTTAAAGCAAGTGTAATTGTTCAATCATAAATTTCCATGGCTGGACAAGCAGCTTGATAAAAATCTCATCTTTGTTCAACTTTAAGCAATGGCTTTCATGGTTCAAACTGATTTTACATAGTTCTAACACAAACCTTGAGTTAACTATAATCAGAACTATCGTGGCAGTTAAGCCTGATTCCGTTGATGTATCTTTTTTCTATTTCAGAATATGCAATGACAATCGTGCTAGATTTTACCCATAGTTACAACAGAGATAACAAGAAGGTTTGTAGTAACCACCTCTTTACCTCAATAGTTGATGACATCATCTACATTTATAATAACGTTCGGATATAACACGTACTGTCATTGGTTGAAAGAGCGTGCTCTATAAGAGTATAGAGCATAGAACTGAGCTAAAGTTGTCACGCCATCTGCCAAATCGGAATTCTTTTTAGCTTTTCTTTCGTTAATTGAAAGTGAAATTTCGGAACAAGCGAGCAAAGGTTTGCAAAAATTCCAGGCGCAGTAATTTACGTTACTGTAACGTGAGCAGAGACAAAAATCCTCAAAGATAAAACATAATAGACAGTCCGAGTTTTTTTAACGGTTTTCACGCTGTTAGATTGCGAGTTTACATACGGTAATAAAAATCAAACACAGCTAACACTTGTATAGTATATAAAGTTTCGATTTAAAAAAAAAAACAGAAAAAAACAGGAATGATGAAAAATATAACCTGGCATAACTGTTAAAATTCATACTAATCATGACGGTGTCAGAGCGACTGCGATCATGCTAAGGTCTATCGCGGCTAGCTCATCATGGCGATCTTCGGTCATCGCAGTGGAGCAAGCCTCAGGAACTAAATCGACTAACCTTCGAGTGGAAAAATAAGAGCTTGCCCTGATTACCTTTCCGATGTGTTGAGTGGAAGACCAGATCAATCACTGCAGCCGAGTTTTACGGCGCTGTTATTCCGAGCGATCTTCATGTCCTAGTGAATTCGGCTGTTGTTCATTCATAATACACACGCCTTGAACAGTTTGTTTTCTGCTTGTCATGTGAAATAACTTGCGTATTTTTGTGAGCCACGATTGGGCCGAATTTCACTGAACATTTCACTTTCAGATCCTGTATTAGAAACTAAAAAACTTCAGGCAAAAGTGTTAAATTCGACATGTCGAGCTATTTTAGTTTGTAAACTATTGCAGAATATGAACTTTGATTTTTCCTTAAAGAAATAACTTCGATATCTCTAGCAGCATTGACTAATTCTGAAGCTTTGCTCGAAGAAATATTCTGGATGAAAATGGGTGAGATTAAAAAAGCTGTAGTCAAACGTTGTGTTCAGTTTCGACCTAAGTGTCGCACGTGACTATTTATGATTCTGAGTGACTCAAGAGGGGTAAATCACGTTATCAATCAATCACATTATCAATCACATTATCAATCACATTGCCATCACCACTTTACATAATCAACTCAGTTAGTAGGACCAAATTATTATATAACACCAAGATAAGCTCTAGAAGGAACGCATTGTTGCGTGACTAACTTGTTGAAAGTGAAGTGAGTCATCCTGCCGTGTTGGGCAAGATATAAAATCACCAGAAATGAAATTAAAACAGTCTTTTATTACATCTCCAACACTTTCACATGAAAAATAGACCAGAGAGATGATGTAGCTATGAGCTCCCCCCTCGCTCCTGTTCTTCAACTCCGACCACAAGTTAAGTAGAACTCAGTTTAAAAGCCTTTTACCCGTAGCCACCGCTTAGACCCATTTCTTACTTAAAGGGTCTTTCTACGACCAGATAGATGGCGTAGCTCTGGGCTTCCCCCTCGCTCCTGTTCTTGGTAGTCTATTTATGGGACATAATGAAAAGTTATGGTTGGAAAAGTGCTAGGGCTCAAAGGTATTATTTTACCGCCGTTGTGTTGACGATACATTTTGTTTATTTCATTCGGAAAATGATGCGCTACTATTTTTCAGGTACATAAACTCCAGGCACACCAACATTAGTTTCATTAGGGAAAAGGAAATAAATCATAAAATAGCATTCCTAGATGTTTTAATCAACAATGACACTCATGTTTCGTAAGAAAACCTTTACGGGCCTATCGACTAATTGTTTCAGCTTTATATCTTATTCTTTTACACCGGGTCTCATTCGCACTCTTGTTGATAGAGCCTACAAGATCAACAACACATGGTTGGGTTTCCACGAAGACATCAAGAGACTTACTAAAATTCTTAAGAAAAATCCTTTTCCAGCCCATCTAGTTGAAAGGGTTGTCAATCGGTACCTCACCCCGGTTTCTGTTTCAGACACTACGCCGACCTTTTATAACAAATTACCTTACATTGGCCCTTTATCTGTTGTAACAGAACAAAGGGTTTGCCACCTTGCTAGGCGATATTGTAACAACATAGATATTAAGTTGGTTTTTCCATCTTTTAGAGTAGGTAATATGTTTGGTGAGAAAGACGCTATCCCCCTTGGGCTCTGTGCGTGTGTGGTTTACAAGTTTTTCAGGCCTTATTTTCACTATCACTTAAGTAGTTTTTATAACTGCGAGGATCGCTTCTATATTCCAGTTCACATACATGATATTCATACATTTACATTCATTTATCATAAGTTAATTTTAGAGAAGACAACCATGATAATTTCGACATCACACCTTGGTTTACCAAGTTCCACAGGATTTTTAAAACTTAAAATTCAAATGAATTCGTAATTGTTGCATCTGATACGGATCCAAGAGTTCGCGATTAAGGGGGGGTTGGACCAAACTTGGATTCAGAGTACACAAAATTTTGCTTTTACACCATAGCCAAAATGAAAAATATGGTAACATGCGATCCCGTAGTTGCAAGAGCTTTGGTGTCAGACAATTTTTTAAAAATTTTTTCCTGAGAACGAGGTTGCTGTAAACTAAGCATCCTTCTTACGTAAGAGGTTATCATAGTAGCGTGATTACGTATGTACGAATGATTTAAATAAAGCAAATGGATGTCACGCAACGGTCAATAGAGATGGGGTAAACACTAAACTGTATAAATTTGAAAGCACAACAATGTTTCCACGGTTAGGCTTACGTGCCATCCAGACTATTACGGTGTTCAACCTTTTTTCCTGCTAGCATCTGTTGCGTTCTCAAGAAAACATTTCTTGCGGACCGCAAATGGAGCAACCTCCTTCCCAAGTCTTTCTTCGTCCGCTCCGGTTAAAGACAGAGAAAACCCTGAGGCTGGGGTTGGAACGAAGCTTTTGGAGAAGCTGATGTCACCGTTTTCTCTTTTTTCTGTTTTGTTTTGTTTTGTTTTGTTTTTAATGGGATAATAAAACAGCCCTAATGACGCCAGGATGCCGTCAACTATTGTTCCTGCCAGCATTTGTTGCGTTCTCAAGAGGGGAAACAATTCCTGCGTCTCTATAATAGCACCGTTTCGAAAATTCTCCAGCATTGTGTGTTATAGCGCAGGTACACATCGCAGAAAATAAAATAAGAATAGTTAAAAAAAAAGAAAGAAGGAATTTTTGATGTAAAAATTACTGCAGCAACTTAAAAACCAATGCTTGACGGAAAACGCTGAAAATGGATTTTCTAGTTGCAATGATATTGGTAACATTTTCACATAAAATCGATGAGTTCATTTTCACTGATTAAAAGATCCAAGATTTCTCGTAAAATGTTTGAAATTTATAGAGTAACGATGGAAACATTGATGACTATCACTCAGTATATAATTGAATTTATCTTTTATTAGGTACCGTGATCCAATAGAATTTCAATGAACTTAAATTAACTCATCCTCTTGTTTATCTCTAAAATTATACTGAACAATTAACCACGTGGTACTCGACATTAAAAAAGACGGCAATCAAAATATTTTAACACTTCTTTTCAAACTATCTCTTACACCCTAATGTATTTACAGAGCGAAAGGAATTCAGAATCAAGTGAATCAACTGGTGAATCAACTGAGCAACCATTCTTACAATGGAGGAAAAATTTCCAATTGCTATACTTAACAACTATTCACCTCACTGTCGATGTGTCAGTTAACTCGTTTAACCTTGCAATTATTACAATATTTTCGGGCGCAAATACTCATAGGTGAATACCGAAGGATATTCGGTGTTCGAGTAATCAATTAGAGGGCGTCTTCAATGCCATCCACTATTGGTATAAACTAAACTCCATTATTCAGAGCTAACAGAAAGCCTTCACGATAAAGAACTACATGATTCTGATATTATTTCTTAGTTTAATTAAGTCAAGACCCTCAGGTTGTAGATCTTTTCGTCAACTGCTGCCTCTGGCATGAAAAATGTCACTGAATGAAAGTTCTTGACTCAGTCACTCATGTTAATTCCTCACAGCGGCCAGTGGAAAACTGCTCTGATGAAGAGGATGGACACTACTTGACTCTGTTACCGAGGAACAACAAAGAAGCCCTTTAATCTCCTTTTTTATGTCTCTCTTAAGGAAAGAATACGCCAAAGGGTTGACGGCGGAGTTCAACATTAAAACAAGGATTTTATATTCAATATCGTAACATTCGCGGCGGCCCTTGAAAACTAAAAGAAAACTACTGCGAAAATACAAACCGTAACACACAAGAAACAATCCTATTACAATCCCCATCATTATAATGGCAGACTTCTCCTGAGTTTGGACAAAAACCCGATGGTTGAAGCGTAACTGTTTAGCTAACGAACGAGCGGCTCGATTATGCTTAAACACAACTTTTAACATGGACACAAAACAAAATATTAACATCATACTCGGAAGCAACTCGAAAATCATGAGTATACAAATCAAAATATCCACAAATGATTGAGCAACAAAAAGTTCTATCCCGAAAGATGCAATAAGAGCGATTGGAATTGCCCAGGAAAGTGAAACCATCAGAATGACTCGGCGACGCTTCATAAATGTCAAGTATTGTATTGTTTCGTGACGGCAATGTAGTGATCCAGGACTAAACTGCACAAATTTGTCACCGACGCAAACGCAAACAGGTTTCTTGAAATCCACACTGTCCTCGAAATAAATGGATCGTTGCACATATCCAACGCCTCACACGCAAACCGCGAAGGAACAGCGCTCATCCCAACACAGAAGTCAGCCACCGCGAGGGAAACGATAAACGCGTTAGTTTTAGTGCGAAGCTGCCGTTTGTTACAAACGAGGAAGATGATAAATCCATTTCCAGTTGTGGTCAGGATGGAAAGAGACCAGCCAAGAATCCAGAACCAAGCTTTCATTTTGCGATCATAGACGATGGTGGACTCGTTGATCGCCAAAGAGGAAAATTGCGAATTGTAAAGTATTATGCAACTTTATTTGCATACTACTTTACAGCTGTAGTTTAAGTGCAATGCCTTAATGTGGCGTACAATTACAAACAGGCAAAACAAAATTCTATTGCGAATAGAATGTAATATGGCGTCTTTAAGGACATCGGGTCATTAAAGCTTCATCATCAGAATTGCCTTACCTCTTTTGTGTCTTGTTTTACCAGAGTTGGTCTCATTATTTTCTCAACAAAAATAACATTAGCCTTACGGACTCATGCAATTTTCTTGTCTTTGTAAAATTTACTCGTGCTTATTTACACCAAATTGCACTAGAAATTGTATTATCATCTGTACAAATTGCTCGTTTATAACAGGAATTCAAAGACATTGATTCTAGTCATATCAGCGACTTTTATACCAACATTTGCCTGTGATGTAAAGTAAATGATAATTAACAAGAAAAACACCGACATCTATTTTATCCCTATGACCAGAAGTGTTTCCATTATTAGTTGCCCAAAAAGCATTTTTAAAATGTGGGGATATCACGTGCTAAGTGTTTCAAGAGGTAACCTGTTACGTCAGCAAGACAAGCCGAAAAGCAAGCTTGAGACATGTTCTCCTCCTAGCTATACCGTACAAAGTTACATTCATTGATGTGCTTAAATTGCCACTAATTAAGTAGACATACCACTAAAGCAAAATAGGCTAAGACTTCTGTTAGTTACTTTCAGCTGAGTAATAACTAGTGTCCTTTATCAACCTTCACTGTTCAACCTTCGCCGTTAGTCATTTCGAGAGCCTGAACAATATATACACAAATTGTAATCAATTTAAAACTTAAGTTTCTTTTTTATAATTTTTATGGTTGATTATCACATTGAGATATCATGCTTAGGAACAGTAATAAGTCAATTCTTGGATATTTTAACACCCAATTCGCAATACGAGTGGATATTTTAAATGTTGCGAAATATCTTTCCGAGCCTCGTTAATACGGTAAAAATTCAAGCAATGAGCAAAATGCCCACTCGTATCACATGTCAAACCATCGAATGAGGGATTTATTTTCTCCTATTATTTCTTTTCCAAGTATTTTGGCTTTTAGTTTCAAAATACATCTAAGTGCATTGTCTGAGGATCGTATCGATCGTATAAAGGCACGCGCAAAAAATCAGAACAGCCTTAGTTGTTGATATGCGTGAAGAAAGTCATAGATATCTGTTTAACCGAATTTAAGTTGCCTTCACTAACATGTTTTAAATCTCATTGCACTAAACTGTATCAACACATCTCGTCGTCATTAGCTTGAAAAATTAATACTTAATCCTCTTTCAACTGCATGTCATATGATGAGAACCTTAGTTAGATTTCGCTTCATTAATTTTTGATTAAACTATAAGAAACTGCGATAAAACATTTCTTACAAACATTTTAAGATTTCCAAAAAACGACGACATTTCGACGTTGGCTAAACGTCATTATCAAGTCAAAAAATGATTTGCAAGTTGTAGTCTGTCTATATCAAAATAACCATGGGTGATAAAAAGCTATACCGAATCAAAGAAAAAGTTTGGCATGTATGGAGTCCGTCTGGATATTTAAATTAGGCTTGTGATTCTTGATGAAAAGCATTTCAAAGACTAAACAATCAAATTTACCCTGGCACTTTCTTAAAATTCTGATTGGTTTTCTTCCAAGAGGTGGTTGCTACCGTAAGCTTCCACGACATGTCGACCGATTGCCGAATATTCGTGCTCAGCAATGCGTTGATGAAGGTTTCGGGCTGTGTACCCGACATAATCTGCATCGCGCAGATCACATGAGAAACAGTATACAACGCATTGCCGATTCACTATTGACGGCTTGATTTCTTTGGGTTGGAGATCTTGCCCCAATTTCTTGCTCACAATGTAGGCTGCAATGTGGGGAAATCTTATGGATAAGATCGCGCAACTGCTTCCGAACCGCACTAGCGGCCACTTGATATTTGAATGGAAGACTAATTCTTACTGTGCTACTATCATCGGTGTTTCTTTCCGCTGTGCCTGCCGAAGGATTTCTAAAAATAAAATTATTGATAGCGGAATCAATAAGGCCTGGTGTGACTGTGGAAAGGTAAGAGCAAACCGGTGTTTGTTGGTTTTCGGTAAACACGAGTTTCAAGTTTAGTTCCGTTCTTGACGATTTTAATGTAGATAAAAGAGATCTTATTACCAGCGGGAAGCTCCATCGTAAAAGTAAGACTGGAGTGTAGGCTATTCAGAGTAGTAAGAAACACAACAGCGGCAGCGCTAGGCATTCCTAACACTCAAGAAGTAGGGGGAAACACAAGATGTACACTCATGAAGTAGGGGGGAAACACAAGATGTATACTCAAGAAGCACGAGGAGACAAAAGACGTACACTCAAGAAGTACGAGGAAACACAGGACGTACGCCCAAGAATTAGGGGGAAACACAAGACGTACGCCCAAGGAGTAGGGGGATATGCAAAACGTACACTCAAGAAGTACGGAGAAACACAAGACGTACACTCGAGAGGTAGGGGAAACGCAAGACGTACACTCAAGAAGTAGGGGGGGAAACACAAAACGTACACTCGAGAGGTAAGGGGAAACACAAGACGTACAATCAAGAACAAGGAGAAAACACAAAACGTACACTCAAGAAGTAGGGGGAAACACAATACGTACACTCAAGAACTAGGAGGAAACACAAGACGTACACTCAAGAAGTACGAGGAGACACAAGACGTACACTCAAGAAGTACGAGGAGACACAATACGTACACTCAAGAAATAGGGGGAGACACAAAACGTACACTCAAGAAGTAGGGGGAAACACAAGACGTACACTCAAGATGTAGGGGAGGACACAAGACGTACACTCAAGAAGTACGAGGAAACACGAGACGTACACTCAAGAAGTAGGGGGAAACACAAAACGTACACTCAAGAAGTACGAGGAAACACGAGACGTACACTCAAGAAGTAGGGGGAGACACAGGACGTACACTCGAGAGGTAGGGGGAGACACAAGGCGTACACTCAAGAAGTAGGGGGGGAAACACAAGACGTACACTCAAGAAGTTGGGGGAGACACAAGACATACACTCAAGAAGTAAGGGGAGACACAAGACGTACAGTCAAGAAGTAGGGGGAGACACAAGACGTACACTCAAGAAGTAGGGGGAAACACAAGACGTACACTCAAGAAGTAAGGGGAGACACAAGACGTACACTCAAGATGTAGGGGGAAACACAAGACGTACACTCAAGAAGCACGAAGAAACACAAAACGTACACTTAAGAAGTAGGGGAGACACAAGACGTACACTCAAGAAGTACGAGGAGACACAAGACGTACACTCAAGAAGTAGGGGGAGACACAGGACGTACACTCGAGAGGAAGGGGAGACACAAGGCGTACACTCAAGAAGTAGGGGGAGACACAAGACGTACACTCAAGAAGTACGAGGAGACACAAGACGTACACTCAAGAAGTAGGGGGAGACAAAACGTACACTCAAGAAGTAGGGAAAAACACAAGACGTACACTCAAGAAGTACGAGGAAACACGAAACGTACACTCAAGAAATAGGGGGAGACACAGGACTTACACTCGAGAGGTAGGGGGAGACACAAGTCGTAGACTCAAGAAGTAGGGGGAGACACAAGACGTACACTCAAGAAGTAGGGGGAGACACAAGACGTACACTCAAGAAGTAAGGGGAGACACAAGACGTACACTCAAGATGTAGGGGGAGACACAAGACGTACACTCAAGAAGCACGAAGAAACACAAGACGTACACTTAAGAAGCAGGGGACACAAGACGTACACTCAAGAAGTAGACACAAGACGTACAAAGAAGTAGTGGGAGACACAGGACGTACACTCGAGAGGTAGGGGAGACACAAGACGTACACTCAAGAAGTAGGGGGAGACACAAGACGTACACTCAAGAAGTAGGGGGAGACACAAGACGTACACTCAAGAAGTAGGGGAGACAAAGACGTACACTCAAGAAGTAGGGGAAACACAAGACGTACACTCAAGAAGTACGAGGAAACACAAGACGTACACTCAAGAACAGGACTTACACTGGGGGAGACACAAGACGTAGACTCAAGAAGTAGGGGGAGACACAAGACGTACACTCAAGAAGTAGGGGGAGACACAAGACGTACACTCAAGAAGTAGGGGGAGACACAAGACGTACACTCAAGAAGTACGAGGAGACACAAGACGTACACTCAAGAAGTAGGGGGAGACACAAGACGTACACTCAAGAAGTAGGGGGGAGCACAAGACGTACACTCAAGAAGTACGAGGAGACACAAGACGTACACTCAAGAAGTAGGGGGAGACACAAGACATACACTCAAGAAGTAGGGGAGACACAAGACGTACACTCAAGAAGTAGGGGGAGACACAAGACGTACACTCAAGAAGTAGGGGGAGACACAAGACATACACTCAAGAAGTAGGGGAGACACAAGACGTACACTCAAGAAGTAGGGGGAGACACAAGACGTACACTCAAGTAAGGGGAGACACAAGAGACACAAGACACAAGACGTACACTCAAGAAGTAGGGGAGACACAAGACGTACAGTCAAGAAGTAGGGGGAGACACAAGACGTACACTCAAGAAGTAGGGGGAGACACAAGAAGTACACTCAAGAAGTACGAGGAGACACATGACACATGACTCAAGAAGTAGGGAGAGACACAAGACTTACACTCAATAAGTAGGAAGAGACACGACATAGACTCAAGAAGTAGGGGGAGACACAGGACGTACACTCAAGAAGTAAGGGGAGACACAAGACGTAATCTCAAGAAGTAGGGGGAAAACACAGGACGTACACTCAAGAGGTAGGGAGAAATACAAGACGTACACCCAAGAAGTAGGGGGAAACAAGACGTACAATCAAGAAGTACGGACACAAGACGTACACTCAAGAAATAGATGGAAGCACCAGACGTACTTCTTCTGTGCTTTAGCCGCTTTCAGCGTTTATTTACAACAGAAAAGAAGACAGTCACGGCTCCTCTATTTGTGTAAGAAAACTGCTGATTAATGAGTTTTATATTTTGTATGATCTTCATTAATATTATCATTACTTATCATCATCATTATTATTACCATCATTACTGATTATTATTATTGTTATTATTATTATTATTATTATTATTATTATTATCATTATCATCAGTAGGGTTAATTTTACTCATTTTACTGTCTCGGCGAAGTGATCAGTCTGTTTATGATGATAGGGATATTTCGTGACGGCGTACTTGAAATGTTAGTATCTGAGTCACTTGACAGAAAGGTCAGTGGATGCTTTGCAATCCCGTGGACATGTTTTTTACTAAGCTTCAGGGTTGAGTTATGTCGTAAATATTGATGGACTTCGAGTCAAGTTCATGTAAATGGCATCAGTCAAAACCAATACATATTGTTTCCCATCCATCAGACCTCCGATCGATGGCTCCTTCCCCAAGATGCTCGCGATTCCGCAGAAGAAAAAACTTTCCTTGATGATAAAACTGATTCAAGCATTCAAATAGATCTTTTCAAGTTGTTATCATCATTATCATTATGACTTTCAGTCGGTCTGAATATTGTTACTAGTGATCCTCACTTACTCTTTTGAATTCCATGGACTTATACTCCCTGAAGAAGATGACCAGCACAGTCAAAATTTGTTTGATTCAAGGGCTTTTGGAGAGAAATGAACGCTGTCTTCCTCAATCCAAAACATTCGTCTGTTAACTCTCTTTGAAAAAGGAGTCTGGCACTTCGCCTTCCATTTACTAATTCACTTCTAAAATGAGTTCGTTGTTCTCCCTTCCTCTGCCATTTACATTAAAGATTAAAATGTACTTAGTAAAAGGAAAATTCTTATCTCGCTCATTTAACCACTAGATCAGTTCACATTTTGAGGGTGATTGTTGTTTCGCTTCATCAAAGAGGCAAAACAGAGGCGTCTCTTTACCTCCTTGTTTATGTCTCTCTTAAAGAAAGAGTACGCCAAAGGGTTGATGGCGGAGTTTAACACTAAAACAGGAATTTTATATTCATCATCATAACATGATTCGTTATTATTCAACAAAAAAACTAAACTACATCGCAAGTAGATCCCGTAACACACAAGAAACAGACTTATCACAATACCCATCATTATAACAGCAGACTTCTCCTGAGTTTTAAAGAAAATCCGATGGTTGAAACTTAATTGTTTTGCCAACGAACGAGCACCCCGTGTGTGCTTAATTACAACTTTTAACATGGATACATAGCAAAATATTAAAATCACTCCGGGAAAAAACTCTAAAATCATTAACAGACAAATAAAAGGGTAGAATAGAATTGAGTTCACTTTAAAAACAAGCTTTTCTATTATAATAACAGCAACAAGGGTGGTCGGAATCGCCCAGGATGAAAAAACCATTTGAACGACTCGGCGACGCGTCATAAATGTCAAATATCTCAAAGGTTTTACTAAAGCAATGTAGCGATCCACGACTAAACTGCAAAGGTTTGTCACGGACACGTAAATAAAGAAGCCCCTAATGGCCCATGAAATATGCTCGATTGATGTTGAACTTTCGCAGCCATTAACCATCTCACACACAAACCGCGAATTAACAGCCGTAATCCCAACACAAACGTCTGCTATTGCGAGTGACACAATAAACACGTTGGTTTTGGTACGAAGCTGTCGTTTGCTCCAAAAAAGAAAGATAATAAATCCATTTCCAGATATGGCCAGAATGGAAAGAGACCAGCCAAGAATCCAAAACCAAATTTCCATTTTATGATCAGAGACGATGACGACTATTTGTATATCAACGCAAAGGATACGTGATACATCTGTTACCTCTCAAGTCTTAAATTATAATTTATATAGACACCACTGACGTACATTAATTAACAATAATTAACGATATACATATTACACTAACACAAAATATTAGTTAAGTCATCTTAAGCCTAACAAAAATTCATTTCCCCTATTAACCGTGCACTGTTTATAAAATATGCACCGTTGTTAGTTTCACGAAGTCTGAACAATAAACCAGTGACAGCTGTTTAAAACTTTAAAGGGGTAAGTTTCTAAAGAAACTGTGGTGCTGCGTCGATGGGAGAGTATAGCAGGTAATTTAGTGTTAACAACTGAGTTGAAAACGTAAATTAGCCACCGTAAAGGGTAAAAAAGCTGACGTTTTGAGCGTTAGCCCTTCGTCAGAGCGATTTGGCAACGCTAAAAATTTGCGAGCGAAACAATGGCCGACGTTTTAAGTAGGTTTTCTTTCGCAACCGCAGCAGCAATACAGCAGCTGAAAACAGCTCTAACAGTGAAAACACTGTGAAAAGCACTACCTTTTGGTTGTCGGTTTGGAAAAATTGCCAAAGAAATCAAAATTATGAGCCGATCCAGCTTAACACTTTGCTCGAGCGATTCTACGCCGAAAGCAAAAACGAACATACCTCGCAAACGACGATTCAATTCCATCGAAAGTGATTCGGACACAGACTGAACAATTGCTCTGACGAAAGGCTAAAGCTCGAAACGTCAGCTTTTTTACCCTTTACGGTGGCTAATTTACGTTTTCAACTCAGTTGTTAACACTAAATTACCTGTTTAAAAATTTACTTGCGTTTGCATAATGTTTACTGCGCATGCGAGGTACGCACAGTGAGCGTAAGTGCTATACGTACCTATATTCTAATAATATACATGAAACAATTACTTAGTTCTGATAGGTTAAGATAAATGCAGTTTTCAGGTAATTCAATGCAGAGGGTTAATTCAGTGCAAAGAAACTAAAAAACCAGACATTCTGATTGGTCAATAATCAAAGAAACTCACGGATAGCCATTCAAATGCGAGCCTTGGATGTCACAACATTTGGCAACGCTAAAAATATGCGAGCGAAACAATGGCCGACGTTTTAAGTAGGTTTTCTTTCGAAACCGCAACAGCAATACAGCAGCTGAAAAACAGCTCTAACAGAGAAAACACTTTAAAAAGCACTACTTTTTGATTGTCGGTTTGGAAAAATTGCCAAAAAAATCAAAATTATGAGCCGATCCAGCTTAACACTTTGCTCGAGCGATTCTACGCCGAAAGTAAAAACAAACATGGTTAAACCTCGCACAAGACGATTCAATTCCATCGAAAGTGATTCGGACACAGACTGAACAATTCCTTGAACTGTTTGGCCGGACTTTGAACTTTTTTGCGCCTTATAGATGTGAAAATATCATTGTCTATTACTGTTTTGATCGTACGCGGTTGTTTTGACCGAATACACTTGATGCGCGCGCTCTGCTTCTACGTAATTATGATAAGCTATCTCGAATTTTTTCATGTACATTATTAATACGTAATCACATGATTTTTCTCGTGCAGTTTGGAATAAATAAGCACTTGTTAATTTTTTCCAAGACCACAAATTGCACGAGCCCGTAGGGCGAGTGCAATTTTGTTCTTTGAAAGAATTTACTCGCGCTTATTTATTCCCAATTGCACTCGAAATCATATAATTACCTACATATCTAGCGCTTACACAAAATATTAGCTAAGACATCTGGTCATCTTAGACTTAACAACAATTTATGTCCCCTATTAACCGTGCACTGTGTATATAACATGCACCGTTGTTAGTTTCACGAAGTCTGAACAATAAGCCAGTGACAGCTGTTTAAAACTTTACTTGCGTTTGCATAATGTTCACTGCGCATGCGAGGCACGGACAGTGGACGTAAGTGCTATAGGAATATATACATATAGCACTTACACAAAATGTTAGTTAAGACATCTTAAGCTTAACAACAATCCATATGCCCTATTAACCGTGCACTGTTTATATAACAGGCACCGTTGTTAGTTTCACGAAGTCTGAACAATAAGCCAGTGGCAGCTGTTTAAAACCTTACTTGCGTTTGCATAATGTTCACTGTGCGTGCGAGGCGAAGACGTTTATTATTTTCTTTCACAAAATATTACTGAAACTTAGACAATTTTAGACATTGCCCTATGAGAAGTCGTTTCGAAACAATAGGCCTTGACAATGATAAATACTTGATTGAGAAAATCTTTTTACTATCAAAGCCGTTTTTCACTCTTTTCCCTTAAGTTTAACAGCATTAGGGTCCACACAAAGGGTCACAAGGGTCACTACCGATAAAAAATTTTTACATTTCACGCTGTGAGTTTGCACACTGAGTTTTTTTTCAGTTTGACACAAATAGTTAAAAGCGTCCAATTGTCATTTTTTCCTCACAGCAATCGACAAGAACAGGAGCGCGTCGTTGTGAAAGCCGACGTTCAGAAGTGCTTTGGTCACATGCTGTTAGAATGATGCGAGCTAACTAAAATTCAATTTGTAGAAGATTTTCGCTCCGAGCGTTTCCGGTGAGTTTCAACAAATTTCGGGACTTTCCGTCTTGACGAAGACATAATCTGACGGTTATGTTCTGAATGTCTAGGGCAGGGATAAGAATAACAGCAAACCCTCGCGCACTTTATCAGTTGTGACCTCTCTCCTATAACTTTCCATGACTCTCTAAAGCCTCAAAGCGTCAATGAACTTGTTCGGTCGCGAGCAGAGTTAGAGTCACTGTAGTGGTATGGTCATAAAACCTCAAATTTGGGGTTTTTCCTTTCATTCTAACCTGTAACAAGGGGATTTACTGAACACAATCAAGGAAACAAAACTGACTGATAAAATTTCGACCAGAGGCAGCTGCTAAAAAGGCATTAAAAGGCATTGTCAAGATTGGAAACAGGATTAATTTTGTAGCTGCAGATAAGAGAACATCGACTGCAGTTAATATCATTTGCTATAGACCACTGGGCTAAAGGGCCAAGTTCACAATAAATATCAAGGAGTCTCCTCTTTACGTACATTTTCGGTTCAATTCGGGAATCGTAGGTATCCCGGCGTCTCTTGCGGTTCTGTTTCATGTGTGGTGCTGTACAGACAGTGCTCTTTTTACGGGCGGCAAATCCTAAGTAAGGTTGCAATTGAACTTAAACGTTTGTGTTACGACCGATAAAGTCACCTCCGTACTTTAGTAGACTGCCGTGATATCTTTCCACTTGCGCCCGTTGCAGTTGTTGAATACCAGCCAATCACAGCCGAGCACAATGGTTCTTAAAATAACGCGTATTCAGTCAGCCTCATCGCCTGAGGAAATTGTCTTCATTGTAAGAAAAAAACATTATAGTTTACAGGAAGTAATGATGAGGTTTATCCAAGCAGTAGACCGCACTGACTTTCTATCGGTTTACCGACGTGTTAACCCATGCGAGATGCAGAGGGAAAACGAGAAACGTTTGTACACCACGAGCAGGATGCGAGTGATTAACAAACTTTTCGCGTGTTCTCCCAACACACCAAGTGGGTTATTACGCCAGGAAACCGATACTGCTCTTATGACGTAAATTCAACTTTCAGTGGGTCGTTTACTGGTGCAATGAAAGACAGATTTTTGACCAATGAGGTCGCTCCAAGTATTTCAGTTACTTCATAAATTGTCGAGTATCGCATGCACCTCTTAATTCTTGATGAATATATGGTTTTCATATATTTACAGTCATTTACTAACCACTTAGAGAGTTTATTTGTAACCATCATAATGACCACTGAGCTCTTAGTTGGCTTTTTAGCTCAGTTGGTAGAACGCTGCACTGGTTATGGGCTTAGATCCCGTACGGGCCTAAATTTTTTTCAGGCCTTATTTTCACTATTAGTTCAGTAGTGTTCATAACTGCGAGGATCGCTCCTATATTCGTTTCTTCAACCGCAGCATACACATATGATTTTCATATAATTACAGTCATGTATCCTGATGAATAATTAATCGATTTCCCAAAGTGTTCCTCGCACCACCTGTTCCATTGGCAGGCTGAGTGACATAAAGCTATTAGAGGCTTTTACTCAGTTTATTAAATTGACCTGGTGTGGGTGACAGGCAACTAGATAGCTTTCTTGACATTTAAACGTATAAAATCAACCATCAAACATTTTTGATAAAGCCTTTTACTTCTGGTCTAAAGTTATAGTTAGAATGTCCCGAACAACTAAGTTTCTTTTCCTTCTATAAAAACGCAATCATTCTGATGACTAATCACTCAACTTGATCTCTTAACTGGGGCCAGTGAAAAACTGCTCTCTTTAAAAGGATGGATCTTGTTACGCTGTGGCGATGTGGCAAAACAAATTCGTCCCTTTACCTCTTTGTTAATGTCTCTCTTGAAAAACGAATACGCAAAAGGGTTGATGGCAGAGTTTAATACTAAAATAGGGATTTTGTAGTCAGTATCATTACATAATGATTGAACATCGAAAACATAAATTAAGGAACAGCGTAGAAAAACCCCGTAACACACAAGAAACAAACTTATTACAATCCCCATCATTAAAATGGCAGACTTTTCCTGAGTTTTGAAGAAAACCTGATGGTTAAAGCGTAACTGTTTTGCTAAAACACGAGCGGCTCGATTATGTTTAAATACAACCTGTAACATGGATACGAAGCAAAATATTAAAATCAAACTTGGTAAAAACTCTAATAACAAAAGGACACAAGTGAACATCGTAGAGGCAAATGATTTAAAACCAACACTGCTAAGAGCCGAACCAATGCCCAGGGCGAAAGGAATCGCCCAGGATACGGAAACCATTTGAATGACTCGGCGACGTGACATAAAAGTCAAGTATTTCAAAGGTTTCACAACAGCAATGTAGCGATCCAGGACTAAAATGCAGAGGTTTGTTACAGATGCGTACGGAAACAGAAACTTTGACGCCTTTACAGCCCGAAAAATAGGTGAATCACTGCAGGCAGTTACAGCTTCGCACGCAAACATCAAGGGTACTGCGCTCATCCCAACACAGAAGTCCGCCACTGCAAGTGAAACAATAAACGCGTTGGTCTTAGTGCGAAGCTGTCGCTTGCACCAAACAAGAAAGATAATAAATCCATTCCCAGTTATGGTCAGAATGGAAAGAGACCAGCCAAGAATCCAAAACCAAGCTTTCATTAATAACACTGAGTCTACGCTCTTTGCCGCTTTTGCTTCAAAGAAAAAGTAGATATTTCGCAAACATATTAATATATTTCCTGAGAATAGCAAACAGATCAGATTACAAAAACAGGTCATTTACAAACCCCAGTACAAGTATAAGTGCCACGAGATCTTAATGAGGAGTATAACAGATTTATTTTCTTTTCTGAAAGGCTTCAAAATGTTCCGTACCGAAACGATAACTACTCTTTGCCCTTCATTCATTTAGACACCGTTATAACTTCCACAAAGCGAGTAGCATCGGTTATTATATACGAGTTAAATCTATAGGATGCTGATTGGTTGATAAGGAAGCTTTCTTCTTTTTATCATCACTGGAGAATTTATATTTGATCTTGACTGGATGAGCGCTCTTCGTCTGCAATGAGTTGCTTCCCAGTCAAACTGAGTTTTGGAAAAAGTCCAGAGACTCAGAGATTGATTTTGATCGACTTGACGCATCTCCGCACAACAAGGAAGGCAATCGGCATAAGGAAAAATGCTCGGTATACCTGTCTGTAATTCTGATAAATCATTTATAAGTTTCCCTTAGTGGTCTTACACCACCTGCTAAATGACCGATATCAGCCTTTATCTATAAATGTGACAGGCAACTCGATAGCCTCAATGCCATTCAAATGATGATGAAAACAATCATCAAACATTTTTGTCCTATACATAATTTGTATTTTTAAAATTACAACTTTTCTAATGATTGCGTTATGAAGTATTTAGTTAGTTAAGTCTGATTTAGTCATTGTTTATTTCTAGCATTTAGTCACTATTTGAGTTCAAAGTCCGAAGTTATTTGGGTTTAAGCTGTCACGATGAGATTACTAATTTTGACTGTCTTGTCTAACTTCTATAAGGGTTTGTCTACTGACCTTGCCTTGGACCCACACGAGTTCTTGTTTTGGCTTACGCAGTCAAATATTTTTTTCTATTGATCGGAAGCATTTAGTTCGCTGTTGTTCATTTGAGAGATTCTTGTTAAAGAGGTTGGGTCAGTGTTCTGACGAAGACAAATGTTTAATTTTCCAGGATCAGCCGGCGGTTGACTAACATGCCTACCGATGGAGAATATAAAGGCGTGTACTTGAAAGTTTTTAGTCAATGAGAATGAGAGAGAGAGGGAGTAATTTTCGATCAGTCATTCAGAGGCAGAGTGGTTAAAGAAAAGAGTGAAAGTGAATTTGATGTAAGTGGAGAGTCTCAAAATATTTTCCAGAATTCCAAAAATGCTCAGTTTATCTACATTTTCACTGATTTTCGCCTAAAAAACCGGCATTTTGAAATTAATTGGATATTTAACTTAATAATTTAATATTGAAAAATAGCTGACTTCATTAATAACGTGTCTTTGTACTCACAACTCAGAACCGTTACTGCCGTTCGACAAGATCACAACCGCTGAGATCACGCGTAGGTCATGTCGCGTGTCCTGAAAGCTTCTTAATAGTTTTTATCACGAGATTATGGTTGCATTCAGAAGAGCCTTGATAGCGCGAATCTAACGCTGATGTAGTTATTCAGAGTCCTCAGTTAACCTTATGAAATTTGAATAAAGTGATGAAAAATTCCACCGTTATGTTCAGTTAGTTCATTTGACTCTTATACTAGGTATATTCATAAATTTGGCCAGGTTTCAGTGTCATTTTCTCAAGTGGCGAATCAAATCACTCTGACTTAGGGTTAACGCTCTAAAATATCAGCTTTTAAACTCTTCACGGTGGCCAATTTACGTTATCAACTCATTTGATAATACTTAATTACCCTGTTATACTCTTCCACTAACGCAGCACCACCGTTTCTTTAGAAACTTAATCCCTTTTTGTATGAATGACAAGACCACAACAATTTTCCACGTGCGTCTCTTTGTGCTTTTATCTTAAATCTCTGCCCGATTTATCCTAAATGTCCGAACATTTTCTGATATCTTTCGCCAAACGCTCGTCTTCTGAGCCGCATTTGGTTTGCTTGATGTTCATAGGGAAGACTGGTGACGAGAAACTCGATTAACTTAGCGGCCAAGCCAGCAGAGGGGCATTTTGTTGCGCATGCGCCAAGAAAGTTTGTTCGGCGAGTTCGATTTATCCTAAATGTCCGAACATTTTCTGATATCTTTCGCCAAACGCTCGTCTTCTGAGCCGCATTTGGTTTGCTTGATGTTCATAGGGAAGACTGGTGACGAGAAACTCGATTAACTTAGCGGCCAAGCCAGCTTTACGCCTCATGGCTTTCACAATATAGTCGCTTATCAATAAGGGCTTCTTCGCAGTAGTCGTTGATAAAGAAACTAGAACGTAAGACACGTCAATAAAGTTGTTATCATTATTATTATTATTATTATTATTATTATTATTACTTATGATTGTTATCATTTCTATCATCATTTGACCGTCCCTTCCGATCACACTTGCGACAACGGCTAATTAGTTCATTATCATAAGAAAGAAAAACCTTCTGATCTTTATAAAACCCCTTTGAACACGATCAGGTCCACTGTTTTTTTTTTCCACGACTAAGATCGGCTTGTTTGTGTACCAATACGTATGTACGCTAGCCAGACCTATATCTTATGAAGGCCTGAAGACATGAGCTGGCCTGGCCGCTAAGTACCCTGAAACCATGTCGAAGCTAAAATATGGCGGCCGAGGAGGAGTGGTATTTTGAGGAAGAAGGCTGCCTCCAGTTCAGTGGCCGTCCAACTTCTGTGACTTTTTCACCTACATCAAACTGCTTCATCTGTACGCTCAAAGATGGAACGGTTGAAGTCGTGGATGCGCGTTCTAGTCTAGGTTTGAAGCGGACAGAGCCGGCAGTATCAGGTTTGTACAAACTGAAGCATGTGTTTTTCATGCAGTTAGATTACGCGGCTTCAAATGTTTGTAACTAACGTCAGATGGATATGAATCACCTACCCCTAATACCACTTTGTTATCGTGACAGGAGTTTGAACTTTCAAATGGTCAGTGCTTTGTCTTATGCGAATTCTAATTTTTGCATGTGTTAGACTTTATACATGCCCGCGTACATTGTAAAATCAAGATCAACTCCTCAATGATCGTTTTGAAGACACAGTACGTAAAGGTTTTTTTCGTTAACAGAGAAGGTGGTCATTTCAGCGTGTTGCACTTAATTTTTTGAGACTAGCCAAGAAATCATTGATCATTATTGGTGTACAGCTTTTAGAATGGAAGTCACAAACTTTCAATTTGTAAGCCAAAGTTATGTCATATATTGACTTCAAGTGCATTAAAGCACCATAGTTATCTTAAATTTGAAGTCAAATTGGAAGTGAAGTATTTGTAGGCCTGTGATCAATAAGAGGATCTGAATTGAGTTAACCAACTAGCAAAAAAGGGAGACAAATACAACTGACTACCAACAAAATGCAAAAAACAATTACCCTGTAGTGACAAGTTTATATAAACCCACAACTGACGTGTTGCAACATTATCCATATTCATAAGATTCAGTTAATTATAGAATTTCCTGTCATTAAGCTTACTTATGGCTTGGAAGGAGCACAGGCTCATTTCCAGAACAGCATCCGCTGCTTCTCATGTATTACCAGATAAATGTAAATAATTAACATGCATTTTTAATTATTAACTGAGATTTGCTGACTACCGACAAAGATTGAAAATTTTAACTAACTACTGACAGAGTAATTAAATTCTAACAGGGCTCATTTGCAGAACAGCATCTCATACTCAAGCCTATAACCCAACAAAATGAATAATTAGCATGGATTTTTATCATTAACTGAGATTTGCTGTTTACCGACAAAAATAAAAAAATAAAACTAACTACTGAAAAAATGATAACATTCTAACTGGGCTATTTTTTCTGAACAGCTTCTGGTCCTTAAGCTCATTTATCCAACAAATATGAGTAATTAACTTGCATTTTTAATCATTAACTGATATTTACCGACCACCGACAAAGATCAAAAGTTTAAAGCAAGTTCCGACAAAGTAATAACGCTCTAACGAACAACCAACATGAAGACCTGCCCATTGAGACTCTCCTTTAACCCTTTCACCCCTAAGACCTAAATAGCAATTCTCCTTATTATTTACCGTTCAGTACTTATAATTTATATATAAGAATTTGGAAGTCAATCAAACAATACCCTGTAGATGATGATTGTTTCACTTCTCATCACTTCTTTGCATGAAAAATATATGGATTTTTTTGATAGTCAAATTAAGGGGAAAATGATTTTCCTGAATTTTCATTTTTCTAGCATAGTCTATTGCAAACAGTACAGAAATAAGAATTTTCTCTCTTAAAATAGCCCTCATCCAGTTAATTTAAGTAACTTTAACCCATTTAAATTGTGAGAGTTACCAGCTCCTAATTTCTCATTACATTATACTGCTGAATCATTCAGTAAGATCATGAGAATGATGGAAATGATTGCCAACCTAAGAGGCTCTGATTGTTGCTCAAATGTAAATAAATTCTCTCTGTCAGTACCACAGGGAGTGCATAGAGAGGAGTATGGAGAAAGTGCATACTGGTGTACTAACATCAACTACAACCAGTTTTCACACAGTTTGAATAATTATGCTCAGGGATAGTTATTACTCCAACATTTCATTGTTTTAATTGCACAACAGGAAGATTAAGCCTTACAATGTACCTTGGATGTAGACAGACTTTAACATCTTTCATAATCATTTCCTATGTAGGAGAAGCTAAGTTCCTTCAATGTAAGTTTTGTCCTGAGGTGGAGAAGCTGTTTATCACAAATGGAAATGTATCTGGACTCAGAAAGGATCTTAATGGCGTCTTGCTGCTGGACAGCATTTTACAGCCTCCTTTCAAAGGTCCTTGCATGGAACCAGTTGTGTTTGAATTGACTCTCTCAGATGTAAGTATTAAGTAAAAGGTACAGAATATTTAGCAAACAGGACTTGGAATAGATTGTGAAATGTTTCAGCCTATGATGGGATCAGTTTGGTTGTTTTCTGGAAGGAACTTAAAACTGATGGTTTCTTTCCCCACCCAGAAGAAAGGGTTGGAGAAGGGGTGCTGGGAATGGAAGATTTAGATAACTCTTAGTCTCTTTTACCATTTGACCTCCCCTAAGATTGATTAGTATCTAATTTCTCCTGACAAGATCACTCCTGAATCAAACATTGAGGTCACAAGAAAAAGGGAAATGGTCACTGATAAAAAAAAGCCCTTGATTGCTACACAAATTTTACTTGTCAGCACCTTACAAACAGTATGAAGAATATACATAGTGATGTTAAGGTGGAAAGGGTCATGCTACAGTGTGGAATGAGCACTGGCAGTTGAGTTGTGGTTACCTTTTCATAAGGCCAGCACACAATACATTGTACATTTGAAATTACTGGTCATGGTAGAAATGACGACCTTGAAATTCAATATAGAAGGAGAGGAGTCAGTTTACCTCCTCTATTTACATTCATGATAATGTACATGACTACTGGAGAATAGGTGCAGTTGTAAGTTTACATGTACATGTACATGCAGGAAAGAAGCAAATTTATGGTATTGTCAACTATTTGCATGATCAAGCACAAACTGAAGAACGAGTTAAGAAGAAAAGTAGAAAATAACATTCATTCTATCACACAATTTGCCTTCTAAAATGTGAAATGAATGATGAAAGGGTTAAACTGGTGGTAAAATATTTTTAATTCTAAATGTGATTGCTTTTTCAGGCTATGCAGTTACTATCAGCTATAGAATTGTGTCTTTCATCTGGAGAGGATGATTCGAATATGAAGAATATAAACACTGTGCAATCTTTGCTTAAAGAGGAAGTAGACAAGGCTCAGTCCCTGTTAGGCTCAAGTCATGATAAAGCAATTAAGGTAAGCATGTGCTGCAGTGAGTACTAAGTTATGGTTAAACCTGTGACTGACAGTCACAGGTTTAACCTGAGAGGATCAATCAACATGTCATTTCTCCTCAGAGAATCAATACAGTATCGAGTTAACACTTATGAGAATTTATCAACAGTGATCTCTGCCTGATGCAACAAAGATTGTATTATTGTGTAATCATCTCTTTGGAATAGATTTTTTTCTGGAAACCAGCCATTAGGCTACAATTTATTTTTCCTTTTTTCAAAATATTTCAAGTGCTAGGAACAAACTTTTGAATGATTTCTGTTGAAACTTGAAGTGAATGTCACCTATGAGCATAACTATTCAAGATTATTAATTTTTTTTTTGTTTTGTTTATAAACTTCAAAAAAGTATCTCTCCAATAGGTGTTGATTATTGTTCACTCAGGGGAGAGCTTGTTAAGAGGAAGTTGATGACACTGTTATAAACTTGAGTTCTATAGGGTTGTCTTACTAGTTCTATGTGAATATTGTTAAATAATCTTTGAGTTGGGTTCATGTAGTTCTCTAACAGTATTATTTTTATTTTCTAGTGGTGTACTTGCCAGTTGAAGTATGCTTGTAGTGCACTGGAGAAAGTGTTTGCTGATTTGATCACTTATCTTCAGAGAAGCCATAAAAATCATGCTGCTCTCCCCATTGTTGCTGCCATGCAATCAAGAACTATGTACCTGCTTGACGTAGTCACCACCGATAACAGACCAACCTCGCCAGGGAACAAATTTCCGATGTTTATGGAGGCAGTGCGGAGAAAGACCTTTTCATCATGGCCTCATAAAGAATACAGGTATTAACTGATCTTTGCGCTTCTAGTGGGATTTCTGTTCTTTAATGGACACAAGAAATGTCCTGAAGTTGTGAAGTGAATTTGCATCAGTAGACCCTTCTTTTCATATGCATAGCTGAAAATAAAACTGGAATATTTGTTGAAACATTCCTGTTACCCTCCTTGGCTGTCATTGTTGGTAATGAAAAAATTGGACCATAGAACTGTTTTTACCTTAGTTGCATCAACTCTCCCCCCCCCCCCCTGCCCCCTTCCCTTCACTTAAATAATGTCCAAGGTCTGCAAAAATTAACTGATGGAGAGTGAAACAATAGGTACAACTGGACTTAAAAATTTTGAGAAGTGTATCTTTTTTTTTTTAAGATTTTTCTCTTCAAGTTTTTTGATCAGGTAATTGGTAACAATATTTTGTTGAAGCTAAGCCCCTTCTGCAGCAGATAATTGGGATGTATTTTTACTTGTGAAATGTATTAGCATGACATATCTCTGTCTTGTTTTATTTTCTGTTTCTGTAACTTATTAGATGGATTTTTTTTTTTACAAGGTGGGCATATCCAGAAGCCATGGCAAAAGCTGGTTTCTACCACCAGGTAAGTTTTGGACCAAATTACGTGTATAGGGGCACTCCTCGCAGCTACACTACTTGTTTTTGCTTGGAAATGTTGAGCAAACATTTCTTTGATTCATAAATGAATTGCATAACTGAGAGCTGATCAGATTGCTAGGATACTGGTGATTTCAAAGTGGTTGAAATAAATTGCAATCAATTATAGTGTGTCTATACATGTGTTTTACACAGCTCTCATAATTATACATTATTTGGCTGAATGTCTTTTTTTTCTAACTCATTCAGCCTAGTAACCGTGGTGATGACAGAGCTCTATGTTTTACTTGCAATGTGTGTCTGGTGTGTTGGGAACCAACAGACGAACCCTGGTAAGATAATATCACAGTACAATACTTCACCATTAAATCACAGACTCATTATGGTGAGCTATGCTCTTACTACTTTTAGGTTCATATGAAACACATGTGCTGCATGTTGCTAGGGCCAGCAATATCTAAAAGAGTTACATGTATATGCATAAATACAATGAGAAAGATACTAATTTTTTCTCTGCTTTTGTTTATTTTATTTTTTAGGGCAGAGCATGAACGGCATTGTCCAGAGTGTTCATTTGTGAGGGGAAATAATACCATAAATGTCCCTATGTCAGGTTAGCGATGACGGCTTTAGCATGAAGATATGTTAATATTCTCTGGAGGGTGTAGAGATCCAACAGTTTTAGTTTATCTATGTATACAACATAAAGATTGTTGAATGATCCCTGAAGAAAAATCAAGGATATTAATTTGTATTGGATCAACTAATAATCCCTTAATTTATATTTTTGTATTTTTTGTCATCATTTGCCTGCTTGATTTTGTTTACATAATGAAAAGAGAAATTATGCCATGGTCACTCATGGGAGTTAAAGCATTAAGACAGTTCTGTTTCAGAATATGGTAATGACCATAAGACTTTTTAAACAGGCTTGAAGAATTTTTGAGCAAGGAAAACTTCAACCACAACTGTTCATCTTCACTTGTTCATGTCCATGGTTATAGTTGTTGACTTTTGAGTTATATTTTGCAGTTTCATTGGCCACTGCTCCTGCCTGTACCCATGAATCAGTTCAAATTCAAGTGAGTTCTCAAGTTGCAAACAATAGTTAAACAAATTCTTCATGTCCCTTTATCCCTTTCAAGATGAACCCTACTTAATGTTTGAGTGAAATCAAGAGTTACTGTTTGTGATATGTGTAACTGGAGTTCATGAAGTAGAAGTGGGAGGGAGGGAGGGAGGAGAGGGGCAGCTTGGCTGAGGGGCTAAGGACACTTGATTTGAAATCTAGGTTTTATGGTCAAAGTCTCCCCTCTGGAACTCTATTGAATTTTTTTTCCTCATTAGCCCAGAGTTAACTTCTCCTCTGAACAATTATGATATGGACAGGTTTGCCCAACACTAGCTGGAATTCTTAAAAATATTTGTTATGTACCTTTTTTTTTTTGTTTTTTTTTTGTTTTTTTCTTTTGGTGTATTTATTTTGCTCCCAATTAGTATATACATGTAGGTGCTGTACCAATTTAAAATGCTGTTCACAAGAGATAATTATATCAATATTTAATTAAATTTGTTTTTTTATTTATTTGTTTGTTTGTTTGTTTATTTATTTGTTTAGTTATTTAATATTTAATTTGTATTACTTTGCTAGTTCATCAGTGAAAGCTCGTGTTCACACTTCATGGCAACATGTAGTGAAAATGGACATGTCATCATCTGGGACATTCAAGATGAACTGAAGGTAATAATATTTAACTTATCAAATGTGATACCCTGAATGAAATAAATGATTGTTGCTTGTCCACTTCAGGCCTCCTTTCCCACTTAATCATTACCTCCCAGAATGGCCAGCATCTAATTTTTCCTTTCAATATCACCCCTGCATCAAACATTTAGGTCACTAGAATAAAGGAAGTTATTACTAACTAAAGAAGCTCTTGATTGCTTAAACAAATTGTCCTTGTCAGCAGGAATGAAGGCAAGTGAGGTTTTGGTACATTGCATGCAAGCAGCCAGGTTGCTAGCAAGTTTCAGAATGACGGGATCCAAAAGTGGAGCTACAGCACATTTGAAAAAAACATTTTGAACTGTTGAGTTCTTCTTGAGAGGTTCAGAATGTATTTATCATCACAATTTCATACATACTTTTGAATGGCATCCATAAAAATTGTGTGGGTTTTTCAAGGACACCTTTCCTTTAAGGGCTGGCTTAAAAGAAAGCACAGGCTGTCAATTTGACTTGTAAAATCCTGGAGAAACTTTCCCTATGATTTAATATGGTTTGACAATGGAAGTCAAAAGATATCAGCGTTGCTCATGTTTTTTTATGTTTTTTGTTTTTTGTTTTTTTTTCACAGATCCATACTGAGTTTCAAGTAAGTCTACCTGATGATGTTGAAGAAACTCCAGAAGGAGATTTGCCATCTGAACACTTTTGCCCTCCTACAAGCTTTGTGGCTTGGGCTGAGCCTGACTATGAAGACATGGAAGGTATCAGTAGTGAGCCAGAGAAAGATTCCAAAACTGCAGGTGATCCACCAGAGAGCAAGGCAGCTGAACTGTCAAAAGAGGAAGCATCATACCATAAGAATCCAAATGAAGACTGCAACAGTGGACAAGGTCTTTATCTTGAATTTGTGTAATGTTATTTATCTCTGTCATGTTAGTTCTTAATCATATACCGTAACTTAGAGTCATTGGTTTATTCACCAGTGGTAAATCTCTTATTTCTGCATAATAACTAAGTGTTCAGTATTTTAGTGAAAATAAGGTTTTAGTGGAAGATTTGGTGGAATGGTGGTAAACACTGGTCAGAGGGACCAGTAAGACCATGAGTTCTGGCTTTGTCACTGTGTTGTGTGGTTAAAATGATCCTCTTTCACAGAGTTTCTCTCCTCCAAGGAGATTATATCTTAACCATAATTAGATCAGGGTCATTTGATAATTTGTTAGGGAGGACTTGCAAGGGACAAGAATCATGTTTAGAAAAAGAAGTAATACTTGGCTCCTAAGCCTCTAGAAGATAAAGCCAAAAAGTTGCTCTTCCCTTTCACTCCCAAGTGGGACCTGGAACTAATTTCTCCTTACAATATCACTGTACACTATAAATAACAATATCAACTAGTGGATTATTACACGGGAAATGTGTAGGCAGGTAGGAAGGAGAATTATTGTTTAGAAAGATCTTGGGAGTGAAAGAGTTAGGTTAATAAATGATCAGGCACTGTTTGTATATGACATGCTCATAAACACACCATAAACGGTTTGTTATTGTTATTTGCAGATGAAAAGAAGAGTGCTGGCTGTCACTCTGAAACTATTGAAGAAGAAACTAAAAAAGAAAAGTTAGTTGTCTGTACTGTGTCTATCATTTGTTCTTGTGGAAAAGATCCTACAAACTCTACTAGTCAGAGCTGTCAATCATTTGCGCACACTGCTACATTACTTGTTGCAATTCTTATGCAAAAGAATTTTACTGGTGATCTTACCAAATCAGAGGACAAAGGTGATGTTGGTTGCAGTGCAGGTCAGCTTTGTCCATACATTTTGGTTTATGATATTGTTACAAATTCAGGAAACAAATTGGAGGAATCCACAACAAAGCAGGCTTTCAGTGTTGAAAGTTGTATTGATTTAGACAAGGATATGCTGATGCAAGACCCTTATGGATTGTCTGGGAGTGACGATGAGTTTTTATATGATGAGCTGCCTCTTGGCCAGCCGCCACCTCCTGTTCTTCCTCCCGATACACTTCACTCATCTGTGTTGCAGAAGTTTGCTGAGGCTATAACTGGTGATTTGGGGGCAGATCCAGGAAAGACTAAGAAATCAAAAGAAGAAAGAAATAGATGTGCTAAACTTGTTCAGAATGTTGATATGTCAAAAGTTTGTGACAATCGTTGTTGTAAGGTGTCCAGCATAGTCCCTTTTGGGGATAGTGAACATATTTTGGTTACTGTCGTGTTATGCTCTTCCTCTGGAAACATAATAACAGCATATCCAAATGAAACAAGGACAAACTCCTCAGCTGGAACAGAAGAAAATTTTGTGGAAGGGACCCGTCCTAAAACTCTAAACTGTGAGCACAATTTTACTCAAAGCACACTGGCAGTGTATGATATACTCAGCAGTAATAATAAAAGAACGTTGTCTCCTCAGCCTTTAAGAACAAAACAATTTGCGGCTTCAGAAGGTCTGTTTAGTACTATAGTGGCTCTTCCACCAGAGAGCCATGACCTCATAGGTGACTTGAATCTATGCTTACAAGATGCAGAAGCAGAGTTGTCTCCAGAGAGACCTCTTTTGGTTGGTGCTGTGAAGAGCAGTGTCATCCTCATTGATGCAAACTCTCTTAATATACTCACCAAGTTTTCATTATCCAATGGAAACTCAAACATATTGCATGTCTTGAACTGTCCTGGGATGGATTGCCTTTGTGCATGCAACGAGGATGGAGCAATGCATTTCCTAGGTTTGCGTCGCCATAAGGCTGTGGAAGCAAGTCAAGGAAGTGTGGGGCAGGACAGAACAGATAGCATATCTCAGGTTCCCCCTGCAGGGTCTTGGTCACAGACAGGTGATTATAGCTAAGAAATAAAATCATTGAAATATTAGACCTTATTAGATCATTGGATGAGATGACAATATTGTCAAACTGGTTTTGACAATTTATTTGAAATCTCAGTTATAGTAAAAATTATTGCAGGGAACAAAGAATCCTTTAGAAGATACAATTATGTGGCTTTTTGCTTAGGGTTGGAGTGCCCAACTAGAATCAAGGATGCATGACACAGAAAGAATTATATGTGTCCTGTCTGTCTTCCATGCTTTTCTGCCCTTTCAGAATGTCAAAATTGTTGCTTTTGTCGCAAACAGGTCTTTTTTTCTGCGGGATTTTCTGATTTTGTAAATAACTAGCAGAAAAGTAAGCTTTTTCTGTGAAGTTGTTTTAAATGTTAGTCCTAAATGTGACACTGACCTTAGTACCCACCCTGTGTTTGAGCACACAGGAAAACTAAAATCAAATAAAACGCAACAACTAACCAAGGAGCCATTGAGATCTCAAAGTAAAAACAAGGAGACTTCCAAATTCTTATACTCAATTTGCCAAGAAATCTGTTGGAAATAGATTGGAGAATTTGCTAATCAGATCTTAAGGTGTGTTATGGTTAAGAGAGTTCCTCTACACACGAGTACAAGAACTGGATCTTTGCAACACTTCTCTCCACAGATGAAATGTTCATGATATTATTTTTGGCTTGACTTCCTGTTAAGTATTGAGAGTATCTTTGTGTCAAAGTCGTAAATAGGTCATGCATTAAATTATGTTACAATGTGTTTGATGGCTACTTTTGCAGCTGTTGCCCTTAATCCAAATGAGCCAGTCTCTATGGCAACCCTGCTTTCATTGGTTCAACTGACAGAGTTTGTGATGCTGATGCCACGTTTTATGGCATCTGTGCCGTCTTCATGGGTGGAGTATCAACAGGATCAGCACCGGCTTTACCAGCACACCTTGGTAGATCCTCTGTTACACACCAGGACATGGAAATTGCGAACAGAAAATAGCAGGCAAGTTATGTTTTACATCAGGGGAACACAACCTAATCAGAGGTGCCATCTGGTGTCCTTTGTTGTATCATCATCTACTGGGCTATTGTACATTACGCTAGCATTTTCCAATAAATTTAGTGAAACAACAGCATTAAGTAATATTCAAGCACTATTAGTGGCATTTTCTCGGAAATGTTATTCTAATGTCAGGGCATTGCCCTGATACAGTGGAATAGAAAGTGAGGGGAAATCAGAAGCTAATGCTATGTCAGTCTAAGGTTAATTGTGTGTATTTAGTGTTAACATTTTTCCTTCACTGTTTCAGGTTTTTGACCAAAGAACAAGTTGCAGAAATTGTTCTCCCAAGATATTGCCACGTGGGCCATGTAGACGTCAGATTTTCCTTAAGCCCTATGACCACCCAACCAGCTACCAACGTTTACCTGGTAAAACCGCCATATCCTAGCTCCTTTAAACTCAGTCACAGGAGTTATCCACTGCCATTACCAGAACGTCAGAAGAAAGGAATACTAGCTTCGGCTCGAGAGCAAAACACTATAGTGTGTGGTCCTGTGAGCCTTAAAATGGGACTTGATAGTACAGGGCGGCATGGTCGTGTGACCCTTACGAGTCCAGAGCTGATCAAATACAGCAGCAGGATTCTGTTGCTAGTGTTTGACAGTTGTGGTCCAGGTGAAGATTTGGCTGAGTTATCAGTAACAGTGGCGAGGTTCAAGAACAACTTCCCAGGGGAATGTCACAAGTTGAGGACCAGTTTACTGGAAGACAGCAGCCAAAGACTGCTTGATATTGTTGTTGGATGTGAGCCTGTCCAGGGAGCAGTTAAACCTGATGATGGAAGGAAGTTGGCTCTGGAGCTTCTCTGTTGGATTGCTGGTGTCTATGTTAACTGGAAGACTGGGTAATTTCATTTTTTGAACAACGGCAATGCATGTATCATGGCTAGAGAAAAGTCCATTTGTGCATGATGTTATTAAGTCTCACTGTAGCATAGATGATTGGTCAATTTGTTAGGCTTAGAAACTGTTTATGATGACCAATTTACACTATCAACTCAATTGTTTAAATCAGATCATCTATTAGTAATCCCTCCTCCATTGATGCAGTTCCTCAGTTTCTCTAGAAACTTACCGCCTTAACACATACTGTATGAACTACCTATAATTGTTATCAACCTGTGGAATGAAAACTTGTTACTTCGAGGACCTGTGTGCCTTAATTTTGGCAAATGGCATTATAGAAATTCAGTACTGTATTACCTGTTTATTTGTAGGGTTTTGTTACTCACCAATCACAAAGCAGGTATTTAATAATATTAGGACTGAAGGCTCATATATGTTCTCGTGATATTTCTGCAGGGAGAGCAACTTGGTATGGGATGTGGAAAATTATCTTCCCAAGTTGATTCGAACATGTTACCTTAGTTGTGGACGTAGCATTGCTCACAAGTGTAGCAGACTGTTGATGATGTGCGCCAGGTATTTCACTTTATACAGTAGATCTGAGTGTCTTGAAGTTGTGGTTTCCTTCGTTGCAGTACACAAATTAGGAAACCGCAAATGCATTTTTGTAAAAAGTCTGTCAGTGGTGAAGCCAATTTGTAGCCCCTTACATGTCATCAATTCAGTGGCCAACCTTCTTCGCATGTACGAACGTTGTAATACCTAATTGGCTACATTTTATCAGGTTTTCCATACAATTTACTGGCACCTTTTACACTCTTGGGTGGGGTGAGATGAGATGATCATTGTTGTTGTTGTTATTTGACATTGACTGTTTCCCCTTTTCACTTCATAGGAGAGCTGTGAACCAAAGGTCTCCCACTGAATCCACGTCATCCTTCAGAAGATCTTTACTAAATGCGATCCTGGATGTTTTGCAAATAACTCCATGCGCTGTTTCGTCTGGTGCAATACACTGGCTGTTTAAATTACTTGCTGGATTTGCCGCCCAGGCTGATTCCACCCTCACTAGTTTCGTTTGCCTGGAGTTGTTAGAGTTTTTATCTTCCAAACTTACTTCTTCAAGACTGCGAGAGCATCAGTTATTGCGTGCGAGGTTGGAAAGTTTGTTTATTGTAGAAGTTTAGCTCCCATTCTCTTCACATTTTGGTGGCAAATGATAAACGGATACGCGTTTGTGAACGATAAGCTTCAAATAGATCTTTATAGGTTTTCTGCAATTACACCCTGTATAGTATTTGCAGAACCCAAAACGAAAGAAGACGAAGAGAAGGCAAAGACATCACAGACTTTGTGAATGGGTTGTAGGAACATCATGGGCGAAAATAATATGAAATATAATTGATATCTGACTATGAAATAACTGAGATACTCTGAGCGCCCTGATAGGTCAAAAACCATTTTTATTCTTATTGCAACGGTAAACCCCCGACTCTGTTTTATATATGTGCTTTGCATTCTTAAAAGTAAACATTAGTTGTGATTTTCATCAGGTATGGTCTGTATGGCTCCCCATTAGACCCTGTCCTGTTTGATGCTTTGCCGCAAGCTTCTACCAGCCAGCAAAGTTCATCAGTTGTTAATGCTCTTAGTGGAGTGCCGCTGACCGTCAAGGCATCATCTTCCTCCGGAGGCTCCGAATCCAATTCATGGAGCAGTGTGAATTCACCGCTAGCTTGGCAAGGCCTCCTGGAAGTCCAGCCCCTTCATTTTGTTTGCTGTTCCACCAGCGATGGAGCCCGAGTGGAGAGGGGTGACAATCACCTACTATCTGGTGGTAGTCTGGGACCTTCAGGTACGCCGGTTCATGTTCCGATGATGTCTAGTGGGATGCCGACCGGATCAGCTTTAGCGCCAACACTGCCAACTGTATCAGCATCTCTCGCTGCTTTGGAACAAGAGCTCCACATGCTGAAGGTATCTTGCCTCAGGAGAGAAAACACTTAGGTTTCTGAGAGCATATGACTAGCTTAAGGATAATGTTGTCTTTGAAATACATTCACAATTATATTTAGAGAGTTTAGAGCTATCGCTTCAAAGACAGCATAAAAACCATCATGCCCTGCACAAGTCGCATCCGGGCCCTTCTGTTTTCTTTACCGTGGAAATATTGAATCTGTCTAATTCGCACGCTAGAACGCTAAAACGTTCATCACTTCATCCAATGGACCTTTTTTTTATTTGACGGAGGGTAGTATCATTTTATAAGTGTTTTTTTTTTTGCTGTATTTTTTGTGCCATGGGAACATATTTCTGCATACTATCTGCCTACTTAAAACCCACAAAAAAAATTACCAGCTTTCTCTCTATGACAGCTACATAACCTTTTGACCTCTGAGGATGACTAACATCTTATTTCTTCTTTCAATATCACTCCTGGATAAGACATTACGATCACCAGAATAAAGGAAGTGATCCTCCAATAAAGAAGCTCTTGATTTTTTAACAAATTCTCCTTAATAGCACCTTAGGAAATGTTTGGAGAACAGTATGGAGAACATGCATACTTATGTCAGGATGTATGGGGGATTACCCTGTTTTTGAAATTTTGTAGTATTACTTATTAGCTCCCAAGACTGTAAGCACAAGATTCCTAACTGGCTTGAAAAGAGACCTTGTTAAAGGTTTGATGTCACAGATCTCCATCGCGTCGAGTCATGAGTAATGTCTGTTTATCAAGCTGACATCTTTCTAACGTTGAACACTGGAACTGTTCGTAACAGTTGTTTGAATGCTTCCAACGTTTGGCCTATTTGGTCATTTTTTACACGAACCAAAAACTGACTCCCTTTTATTCATTTCCTGTAAAAAAAATTGTCTGTGTTTTTTATTTGTGTGTGTCGTGCAGCAACACCAGCTACAGCTAGTAAGCCTACAACAACACAAAAAGCAATTAGAAAAACACAAGAAGGAACTTGAAGATATGTCCATGTGGCCTCTGTTTCCAAAGACCGTATACAAACCTGGTAATGTATGGTCAGCTCCACCAAGTGCTCCCGCATTTCAGCCAACCACAGCTCCCTTGACTTCCACCAGTGCTCCTATCAACTTGGCACAGCACAAGAAACAAGCAGCGGGTGCAAAGAAGATTGAGAGGGCAAGTGGTGGCCCTGTGTCCCAGCCTATCCAACAACACCTAATGCAGGTAGGATTGGTGGATTGCTGCTAGTACTTAAGTGCTAAAGCAAAGAGAAAATCCTGCAAACTGGAGCCTATCCTAGTCTCACCTTTCATTACTATCAAGGGACACCCGCTGTTGGAATGTACGCACTGAATGGTGCATAAACATATTTCTTGTCAAATTCATGTCTTGAATTATCATCCAGGAGTGTTGTCAAACATTGTCCATGAGTAGATCATGAACTTCAATGAGAACTCGGACAATCCGATTGCACCGTGCAAAGATACTACTACGTGGGTGAAGAATTTTTTCGCATAGACTTCATAAGCAGAGAAAATCACCATCAAGGGGTTTTGGGAAGGGAGGATTGGTTGGAAGGAAGCGTTAAAATGGTAAGGAAAGACCAAGAAATTAAAGACAATGGCGAAGAACAGCAATAATTGACTCCAATTTCAAATGGCCAACTTCAAGAATTGCCAGTTTAGCCTGTTTACCCTGTAACTCGTAAGAGTTACTAATATCTTTTTTTTCCTCTCAGTATCAGTGTGACATCAAACAGTAGTCAAGTAAATAGTGCAAGTAAAGGAAATGACTGCCAAGCAAAAGAGCCCTTGATCGTTCAACATCTTCTCCTTTTGAATACTATAAGAAATGAAGAGAACAGTATGGAGAATGTGCACTTTAATGGTAGGATGTAGAGGGTTCACAGTACATGTTATTGTTTTTCCCTCAAAGCTCCCGCAGCCACAGATGTTGGTGATCGACCGTCTCCACGCAGGAGCCCGTCATCATGTTGTTTTGGACTTTGGCTGTGTTGTCCAGCTGACAGATGTGTTGATTCCTCAGTGCTCAGACATCATGTCACTTTCCATTGATCTGTGGAGTCAATGGGATGACCCAGATGTACAGCGGATAGCTGTGGTGTCAGACATCAACCTTTGTGCTTTTGTTCTCAAAGATCTTTTGCCTCCTCCAGTGTGCCGCTATGTTAAGGTGAGATGATTGAACATCGTTGCGTATGGTGAAATATTACTTCGTTTACTCACGAGTTAAATTATTCAATGTGAAATCCCAGCCAATTCCGCGCACAGAGCTGCAACTTCTGTATTTACTCGATCACAAGCCGAGATATTCGTTGAATATTTTGCCTATCGGGTGCCCCGCTTGTTTGAGCGCAGCGCTCAAATTGAAAGAAAGAACCTTTTATCTCTATAAGTGATAAGAAGAAAGTAGTAACAGACCCGTTCAAAATATCCTATCTCTCATTTTTGTTGGTTAAGTGGGCTTGCCCCGTGCACGCACTTGCTTTATATTTGCCATATCAAACTGAAAAACATGCACATTTGTCAAACCGGCTTTTTCAGGCAAAGTTGCACCAAACTTTTGTTTGAGTTGTATTCTTCGAATAAGCCCTCATCTGGGAACAAATGGAGGATACCTCCTCGCTTGGAGGTAGCTTTTACCTCACATACGGCGCTTTTTTTTTTACACAAAAATCTGCTGCAGCAAACTGAATTAGTTTGGCTTCACATAACGAAAAATTTACTCATCAGTCTATTACGCCACTTTTTTTCTTGTTCCAGTGGGACTCGTTCAGAAAATCATCTAGTAATGGCTGATAACATTGAGGAGAAAATATTTTCACAAATCTTAGACCTTTTTTTGTAATCGAGGCATAATTATTGGTGTATTTGCGCCAGAAACAAAATTGCAATCGAGTTGGAACTTTATATGACCTCGATTATCTCTTAAATATTCTAAAAGAGGAATTCTCTGGCAGATTTTACTAATATTGATAACATTCATATTATTTTCTTTATTTAGCTAACTGTAGTTGGAAGGCCTAAGACAAATGCAAAGGCACGTGTGAAGGTTGGAGAATTCTATGGTCATCCACTTTGTCGTCAGACAACCATCAGTGGGGAAAGTCAGCTTCTTGCTACAAGCTGCCAAGACCAGCAGTGTTTACCAATACTACTCAACCTCCTAGAAGACATCCACTGTCATTACAACTTGGCGTGCACACAACTGCGGACCCTGCTGCAGTCCTCTGAACCTCGAACTCCGAGGCCAGACGGATCTGGAGCTGGTGCATCTCTCACCGAAGAAGACAAGAAAGTAGAGAAAGCTTACAACCAGTGCCTTAACCTGCAGCACCAACTTAACCTGGTGGAAAGGTCTATTACTAGACTGACGTCTAACACGGAAAGCAATAGAACAATTCCGTCTCTTGATGAAGCCAAATACGATCATTTGCAGGTCATCTGCAACTGTTTAATAGACACAGTGGTGGCATTAATGGGTGTTGGTCCTTCATTAGAGGGTTACCTTGCTAAACCCAAACTAACGCTTGAGTGGCAGCCCTCTCTAAGCCAAGTGACTCCTACCATGTGTGAAAGCCTGTTTCGTAACCTCTGTGTTCATGGTTCTCCTCAAAAACGTGAAAGGGTTGGCGCTCTACTCTTGAATGCTTGTGGTAGTAAGCCATGGTGGGGCGAATTTTTGTCCAATGTTCTGAAAGAGTTTTTTAGTTCCAGCCAGAAGTGCACGTTTCCCCAAGAAAGGTGAGAACCATTGTTTGAAAGAGTTATAAGTTCATTCTCTGTAGGAAATCACATCGCAGGTTTTCCTTGAATTGAGTTATCGTTGTAGAGATACTCCTGGTTATATTTTTAAAATTTTTTGTATGCTAACAAAAAGTAGCATGTAAAAAACTATTACTCGAAGGAAGTCGTCATGACCGTACATATTTGGTTGAAAATATGTCTTGGTTAAACATTGAATTTTCTTAACTGATATGTATGGTTCAATGTAGTGGTTATGAGAGGGAAATAGTTCCCAGGTCTCTACAGTTTAAGAATTAGGTAATTGTCGTATGTCATGGTCGTGGGGCTTTACCTTATCGATCTTCCTTATCTCCCTACGATCAATGGTCAATCATAGACTCATACCTTTTGATGATTTTGCATAATCAGACTGTTTGCAGTATTAGTGCGCTTGAGTCAGCAGTCCCCTTCAATTGAACTGGTGCTCACAAGTTTTCTGAGCCTGTTAGATGGACTGCTCCTCGTGAAGGACCTCAAAGTGGACCTGGAGTCTGCAGACCTGACATTAATCAGTTGGTTGTTACTCCTCTTGCAACATGTTCTGGATACTTGTATAGTCCAGTCTGATACAACTGCTTCTACTAACGGTTAGTTCCTCTCACACTGTAATGTAACAGTTTGTGCAGTGGCTATAGAAGGGTAAGTCCGACCATAATCTTGGGTGTCATTTCAGGTTTAACAGTAACACTTCTTACTCCTTATAAACCTGAATTGGTTATGAAGTTGACTGTTTTACTTCTTTGCGTCAGAAAATGGGGAAAACTCCAAAGGGTCGAATGGTAAAAACAGCGGTACCTCCTCTCCGATTACTGGCAAAACCAAGTTATCCAAGTCCACAAAGAGTAACAAATCTTGCAAGCGAAGCAGATGGGACTTCATGCTTCCAACTATACCGACTCTACCATCAAGTGCAAGCAGTGAAAGCAGTAGTTACTGGCACAGACACCTCAAGATGAGCAAGGGGACTTTGGCAAAGAAACCTCAGATGGACTACACACAGGGGTTAACGAAGGGGAATGGAAAGCAACCTTATAAGGTAATGGTGATCCAAATTGGTATCCTGTCTCAAATAGCTTTAAAAAATATCAAATACCTTTGATAGCTGTGGATGAACGCTTTTTTCTTAATTTGTTCGTCAGCACATGAAGGACTTGTCCAAACTCCGTCGCCATGTTGATGAAGGAAAACCTCAACCTGAAAAGACAGCTTCCCAGCCAACAACATTTTCCACAAGCACCCCTCTGCCAGCGGTCACAACACTTCCTGTCATGCGCAAGATGGTCAGCTTTATTCTGAGTATGGATTCCTCGTGTAGTGTGGAATTGTTCTTGGTGGCATGCAAGGTGAGGTAGACCTAGAGTCTGAGTACTAGTGGGTCATACTTCGAACTTTCATGTGAAATAGAAAAAGGGTCGAGTTATCGAGAATTTGGAACAAATTATTGGAAGCAAAGAGAAATAAAGAGTTTTCTATACGCCCCTATTTTTTAAAGAAATTAAATTTAAGTACAGTACATAGCCCGGTCGAACGAAAATTGAAATTTGAGGTAGGATCCAATCAGCATACGTAGCAATGAACTCCTAAACCAGCGAAACCTGAATTGGACCGATAAATTTTGTACAATGCCAAAAGGAGGCGAAAATTACTCAGCTGCTTCAAAATAAATAATTCAATAAATGTTTGAGCTCCAGAGGATAAACCTACATACATCTAACGAAGAGTGGTTTGAGTTACCGAGAATAACTCTGTCACGGAAATCACACAGACATCAAGTTTGGTTCGAGTTCATTAATAAAGGGAGGCACCTTGGAACATAGCCAATCAGTTCACAGGATTTTGCACCTTAAAAGATGGCAATTTTGTTTTTCAATGTCCAATACATGTTACAAAATTCTTGTAGAAGTTACCTGTAAATGTAAGTATGGCTCAATAAACCAGACATGGCAGCATGAGGTCAATAAACCACAAATTGTGACCCTTTTTTTTGTCCTCAGCAGGGTAGAGGTATGGTGGTATTTTGTGTCAAGCTCTTTTTAAGACGTTGGTGTCAAGGCACATCCTTGCCCCAAAGTGTTTTAACTGCCCCCAGCCCCGTTTGGTCTCACAGCCTCAACTATTTTTTATCTTTTAGGTTGTAGCTCATCTGGCGTGTGTAAGTGACCCATTCATCAGCCTTGTGGATGTCATCTCAGACGATCAGCTGGAGAAGCTGCTCCGGATGTGTGTGATGCCAAATGGGATGCAATCAGCTCACTGGGGAGGCCCATGGACATCTCATGCACTCACTATTTTGTTACAGGATCTACTTGGTAAGGCCTATCAATGTAGTTTCAAACCACGTTTGGCTGTGATACCAAACTTTCGATGTGTCTGGACACGAGTTGGTAAACTGGGTCGAGTTAGCCTCTCAGGCCGGTCCACGTTACAACCAGCTTGCTTGGGTTCTCGGTGTGTTAGTTATATTTGATCAAATGAAGGAAATAGCTTTATCTTAGTGGCCTTGTATGTAACACCTCTGTGCTGATTGGAGACACTGAAGGTGCTCAAAAAAAGGGGATTTACAAGTCGCTAGGGATGTAGTTAAGTGAGGACGACTAGAAAAAAAACTACAAATAAATGGCGACGTGAGTGATTTAATTCAAGAATCTACAGATTTGAAGTGGAGCGCCCGCAATCATTGTGGCAGAGTTCCTCCGCAAGGATATAAATTATTTGTTTGCAGTTGTGGCTGGCAGCTCTGCCACTCAAGACACCTGCATTCTTGTCACAGGTATTGTATTTTATAGTAGTTTTTTTTATCTTGGTAGGTGGACAGGGAAGTAAAGTTAGTGATGCTTCAAGAAATGTAACCGCTCAGACTTCTGCAGCTCAAGAAAATGACACAGAAAGTTCGCTCTTGTCAAAAGTGACTGATTATGAGAAGAAAGGCTCCTTGCTGACCATGGATTACGGTGATATATGTCCAAGTTATGACTTGCCTATTGAGCTGTCAGGCTGGATGGGAGATTTTGGTGAGATTGGTAATGGTAGCGAAATGCCGCAAGCAACACCAGTCCATGAGAAACCATCGGTGCAATCTTCATGGGAGGCTAAAGTTGCTCCACCTCCCCCAGTCAAACTGTCATCTGCCATTGATATGAGACTCGAGCTTTGTCTCGAGATGGAAGCAGAACGAGATCTTAAAATGTTGGAGCACCTTCAAGTAGATGCGATCGCTAAAGCACTGAGTACCACAGGATCTTCATTCAGGGGAACTACTGAACAATCACGCAAGAAGATTCCCAAGAATGGCAACAGTGCTGTGGTAGGAAGGACTCTACTAACATCATTTAGTAAAATATTCAATGACTGCGCCAGTGCGGATGTGGATGTTCCTTCTCTTCTGCAGTTGTGGCTGAAGATTCGATTGTGCGCTTCCAGTATAACTCTGGATACAGAATCTCTGAGCAAGCTACTCTCGCACGTGATACATCTTTCAGGGTCGCCTTCTCAAACGCTACAGCTTTGTCTGCAAGTCCTTACATGTGTGTCTGACGGACAATTTCGGAACTGTGCTAATATTGAATTCATTGCTTTTCTAAGAAACGAAGACCTTCTACATTTTTTAGTAAGACTCTTATCTCAGATGCCGTCATTTGGAGGAGCGAACCCTCTTCCACCCAGTCCGAAGCCAGTGAAGGCATTTCTGACGTCGTTGCAGTTGGCTGTCAATAGTCACAACAGAGCGGAGCTTTCCCAGATTTTCCTTGAACTGTTGCTGAAGACAACGCTTGAGCTGTGTACAGAAAGGTGTTTTACTTTTGTCTAGAAAACTTCATATGATTGGGTAGTCCTTAAAAAGTGTAATTGGTTTCCTGAAGATCTAGGACCTGGTATTTTAGTTAGTTTGTTTTGTTCGTGGGCACGGTTATTGCCATAGTCTTATTTACTTAAATCAAGAAATGGGATATAGGAATGAATTGATTATGTGAGACCCTAGAGCAGTTGAACTGGTTGAACACCACTTAGCAGCACAATTAGTGTCTGAAATTAAAAATTTCAGCGCACGGCTTAAAGCTGTTCATCGTATCACAGATGTAAGGACATGTTTGCTTGATATTGTTGCGTAAAAAACAAAACAAAGACAAACAGACAGACACAAACAAAAGTAAAGCGGAACAGTGCAATAATTCTAAACATGTTGTAAACGGGAACCGACTAAAGTGCTTTAATTTATTACAGGCTTTCCAACAGAGGAGTAGTCCTTCAAGTAGATCCAGTTATCGATATCTTATTGTCAAACCCAAACACTACGTTGCGTGAGGTGCAACCTGAAGTTTTCTCAAGACTAGTGAAAGCGACCGGAGAGCTTGCTTTGGATCATCTTGCCCACAGGAGAAGTGTGAGTCTTCTTCCATCTGCGGATGTCCTCAGCGGAGCTACTGTGGATAAACTGGATGATAGTACATGGCTTGTTCAGCTGCTTAGTTTAGTGATTCAGATGTTACAGAACTGTGTTGTGAAACCACTTGACAATGATTCAAGTCAGACATCAATAGACACTTGTCATGGAAAGGAGTCGGATGATATTCAAGGTGTAACCAGCAATTCAACTGGTGGCTCTTCAGTGTCTTTCAATTTAATAGATAAACTGGTGTCCGACAAAGGGATCTTCCACTGCTTGTTGGATTGTCTAAATCAGTGTACTACAGATAATCAAGGGGTGTCGGGTTCGACATCTGTCTGTGAAGACAAGGTTTCTACCGATGAGAAGACCTCAAACAAACCTGCCTCAGTTGAGGATGGAGTGTGGCAAATCTTGTGGGTGATACAAAAACACGTTGGTGACCAAGGGGTCTTGGTCGATGCATTTCTGACCTTCCTGCAGACATGCGAAAAAGATGGTGTCGAGTCGTCTCCGGCGTCAATGAAGCATTTGTCTGTTCCCTTAGTAAAGCTGTTCTGTGGGACTTTCAACTCCTCTCAAGCTGTGATGCAGTTTTATGAAAAGGGTTAGTATCTAAAGGCGTAAATTAACCATTTTTCTTAGCATTTTTTGTCCACTTTTTCTTGGTAGGAAAACGTAAAAGGGTCAAGAGTAAGGAGCAAGGATGGCGAAGACTGGGCAGGTTGAAAAATTAGTCGAGGCTCCCTCAACAAGCGCAAAATGACATCAAGTGATTAAGACGCTCAGTTTTATTTTCAAAACTTCTGCGGTTAGACCATGACGAACTCAAGAAAAAATCAAAGGAAAAAAGAAAATTGGTGCGATACATTTTTTTTGGAGAGATTTCTTATTAAAGACTATTGGTCATCTGGGCTATTTTCAGTAAGAAAAGGAATTCACTAGAATTATTCTTTTTCAATTCGATGCGTTGCTCTCGGCAGAGTTTCTCTTGCCTACTTATAATGTGTTTTGATTTTTTTCCGTGTTAACATCTCGTTATCTGAACACGAAGTGGCGGTCAGAATTCACGACGGTTTTGCATACCTTTGACTGTGTCTCTGGTTTGCATATCTTTCAAGAATTATCTCTTACCCCCGAATATTCAGATGACTCTATTTTGATTAGGAAAAGATGCTCTTTTTCCTCAGGAAATACTTCTATAAAAAATGCGCGTGAATTTAAAAACGTCATGAATGTGATATCGCATTGCCATCTATACAACGCATGTACTGTCCTATGTTTTGTAAAAAAAACTTTGGGTCTTTGGGTCTTTGAGTTGTTGTTCTGTAAAGTTGTTACACTTGTGAAGTGTATTATTTATAATCTCAGGTGGCCTCGACATTGTGTGCAACGCTATCATGGCAGGACGAACAACATCATTGGACGGTTCGTCGCATGGTCTTCTCTTTGTCATGCAAGAACTGAACAGCAAGCCGAACAGGAGGGAACCAAGAGGGCTCTTAACATCCGTAGGAGAAGGAGAATTGGGCAAGCGAATGTTCAACTTTGCTCCTTATGGTGAGTGCCTTCGTTAATCATCAGGGGTTTTGTTTCCCATTGACAAAGAGAAATTCACAGTGGAGTGTCGAAAGTATTCCGGGTTTGCGTTTGTTGGCAGAACTGGGCATTGTAATTGGCTAAGAAAACCAGCGCCTTCCTCTTAACCAATCACATGCAATGTTGAAACCGAACGCAGGTTTTTCATCCCCTTCCTCCTCCTTCCTTTCCCCCCCCTCCCACCCCCACTCATAAATTAACTTCCCCTGTCTGTGGCAATTTGCTCATTTTTGGTTTCTCTTTGTAACCTTGCGATATTTGCCGTTTGACAGACCATTGTGCTTCAGCCTTTACGATACACAATCGAAATGCGCTCTCCTAAAAGTATGGAATTCACGTTGGATACTATGAGCTAAATTAAACTACGTACGCATTGCGAACATATTTTTCTCCTTTCTGCAGCCACCATTCACTGCACGTCGTCTTCAAAACATCCTCCTGATGCGCTGCTAAAAGTCACCGCACAGCATCGTCGTGTCCGCTCACCGGCTTGGTCTTATCGTTTTCCCGTCAACGAGGAATGGTGTGAGTTAGTTGTGAATCTGCCTACAGCCATCCTCTTGAATGAAGTGCACATTCAACCTCATTCTTCGGGATTATCAAGTAAGTGTCTTTATGTTTCTACCTGTTGTTGTTTACCTGAATAGATCTCCCTTTAAAATTGAAGGTAAAAATTGAAACCAGTCAGTTTAAAACTGTACAGTACATTCATTTTCATACCCAATGGAGCACCCTCAAATTGATGATCTCAATGAATTTTCCTCCTTCTTTGCTCTTTTAATTCCCATTTTTGCTCTTTTCATTTTTCTCAAGTTTGCTTTTCGCTTTCGTCTATGACAAAGTTATTGGAGTTTGGTGTCTATCAAACATTTGATGTATCTCTTTACTAAGATATTTCCTGCTTTGCTGTTCCATTAGCAAGCCCATCACATGTGGCACTGGATGTGAGTAGTGACTGTCAAGTCCTTGTACCCGTTTGTGAACCCGTCCTCACTTCTGGAATCACCACAATCAAACTTAGACTCCAACAGCCAGTTGTTGCACAGGTATGGTGTCTATATGGCTTATGCTCTTGCTTACCACGCGGCTACGCGGTATGAGAGGTTTTCAGTGAAAGCCGCTTGTAGGCGGTCTACCGCTGGCCATAAGACCTTTTACCGGTGTCTGTTTAACCTGTCAGCATACTCTCTTGTTTGGGTTTTGCCCTACGGCCTCCTTTTTTGGGCCCAGCCGCCTATCACACCAGCGGCAGCCAGTTATGGAAAGAATTTATTGAAACCTTTGATAGTCGGTTAATTTAGTGGGCTTTGTATTAGAGTCTGGTTCCTCGCTAAATTTACAAGTAAAAGTCGCGGTGAAATCTCCTTGCAGAGAGCTGCTCGCGTTTAAATTTGTGTGAATGATCACGGCAAGTCTTGTTTTAATTCCGACGACCGATTACAGCGACAAAATTTCGTCGGACAGGCAACGATTTTAAGGAAATTCACCACACAAGGAAATCGTCGCATTGGCTTGTTCCCGTGACGTGTCGTAGCGACTTTCTACTCGATGTGTGATGCTCAGAGATCGGCCCTGTTTGTTATTTAGGTACGATTCTACCGACTGCTACCCACTTGCGCGGATTATTTCTTCAATTGAAAGAGCGTTATAGTATCATTTTGAGGTCGATTGTCGAAGTAATCCTGGATTGGTTGGTGCTGCTGTACGGAACTCACTGACTGGTCAGGCAGACTTGTGCCATCCTTTTGACCAATTAGATTCAAGATTAAAACTGTTGTCCTTTTCTCTGATTTTCCGTTGTCTTGCTATAGTGTTTCTGGTTCAACGACATTTCTTCGACTCGCTTGTAAACAGAAAGTAAACTACTGTGTTATATCCTCGTGATGCGATGTTTGACTTTCATTTTGCAAAGCATTTTTCATTCCTATATTTTCAGTATGTCCATATTCATTGTCACCGTCCACGAGACTCGCGTGTGGTAGGATTGTCACAGATCAGGATCATGGGAGCATCATTACATGGGGTTGAAAGTGGAGTCGCTCAGGAGCTCCACCACTTAAAGGGCCAGTCAGCTAGGTAACTGTTTGTGATGCTTAGATGTCCACTGTGGTCGGATTAGTACTTAAGCTGCGATTCGCTATGTTTGTTTTATGTAACTGGAAACCTAGTGATGCTTAAAACCGATGGTTCTTCAGTTTCAATTGATTGAATTTTTCTTTTTTTCTATCCAAGCGTCATAAATTTGCGTTAGAAATTTCACCTGGTTTAATATAGCCCAGTAACAAATCCTATCTGTCAAAGGAAGGTTCAATCTTTCCGAATGATTTACCACAAAAACTATGTTTTTCTAACATTGAGAAGATGCGAGAACCACAAACGTGAACGAGCGTACTTTGAACAAAAGGGATTCAAACACCAACTGATTAAATCTGTCATGTTATTGAATAAGGCCATCCTCTCCCCATCACAGAATCGCTCATCACACCAAAGGTATCATTCCGAAGCGATGAAATGATGTATGACAGTTACTCATGTTTAGTTTAATTTTTTTGTTAGCCTCGGCTGGGTACAGTTACTTGGTCAGTGCCTCTCGCAAGGACCTGAATTTTATCAGGAGACAAAAGAACCTTCGACGCTGATCTCGGATGTGTTTAGCAACTGTATCGCCCTGCTGTTATCGCCACGAAGGTTTGAACTCTCTTTTTTTTTTTTTTTATTATATACTTCGTCTGGGGAACTAACTTGTATTTTAAGACTACGTTTCTACCGTCAGTAAAATAGTACATGTAGAAAAGAGATGCTAAAGTGACCAGCATCTAATTTCTCCTCACAGTGTCACCCCTGAATCACACAGGGAGGTCACAAGAGTAAAGGAAATGATCACTAACAGAAGTAGCTTTTAATTTTAAAACAAATTCTCCCTGTTGGCACCTTGGGAAATGTACGGAGAACAGTAAAGAGAGTAACTGTACTGATTTGAAGATGAAAAGGGTTCAAACGAACTGTTCTCCACAGTTTGTACATTATAACAGCTGTGCCAATCGATTCATGTCTTGTTCTCGTCTCGTTTCACTTCTGTGTGATCTTCGAAAGCAAACTTCATTGGGGATTTCCGTAATATAATAAAATTATGGTTATATTAGCAAGATGGTTCATGTGGAAATGAAACATGAATTTAAATCTACTCCTATTACTTCCGTTGAACTACCGTGAATGATGGAAAATTTTGATGTTCTGGAGGACGTGAAGCGGTAGAGTGATATTTTAGTAAAACTTTCGTTATCACAGACTCAAAATTCATATTTCAGTGCTGCATAATACATCAACTAGCAAGTTAATTTCATTTTAAAATGGCGGTGATGGCTTTTTTCCGTTTCAGTGGTCAATCTGCTTGTCTAGAACTGGTGCTCATGAAGTTGTCCAAGCAGTTTCCAGAACTGGGCACCATGTTAATGAAACAACTGTTAAAATGCCCAGGGGAGAAGGGAAGAAAGAGAGGGCCGCTGGTAAGCGTCGCTACAGTGGAACTTATATACCAGTTGGGAAAAAAACAGGACTCTTCATACGAAGACAGGTATGGCAAGCCGAGTGTTGATTGGGCAAAACTAGTGCTACATCATCGTGGGCAAAAGTCAATCAATAATGTGGCTATATATACTAAAAGGCAACGTTAGGTCGCCCGCTCTGTAAGCTCAAGCGGTTTTGCAATGAATATATTGTGTATTGATCACGAAGTTCTTGTCTTCCTCCTGTAGATTGTTAGTGATATCGTCCTGGTTACGGTCCATCTGTGACTCGTCAACCTCTTCCCACGCGGCACCTGGGCATATTCAGTCTGTGGCTGCTGTCATCTGGAATGCAAAGGAAACTAACTCGGAGTCAGTTGTGAAACAATACTTTTCTGAAGAGCTTTTCAGGTGTGTTTCATTTAGACTTGAGTGTTTTACCTTCAATTAGAAGTTTGCTTGTACCCTTTTTGAGTTTTTTTTTTTTTATTAAAAAAAAGATCTATGTTAGCGTACAGAGAGTGGTATGTTGCTCGCAGCAATCAGATCGTTTAGGGTATGTATCTCGCATCAATCAGATCGCCGCATTAGGTTATGTATCTCGCACCGATCAGAGCGTCGTTTTTGTTCTTTGGTTTGAGAGGTGTTCAAATTTCAACGAAGTTATGGGAGATTCGGAGAGAGCGGTTCATAAAATAGAATCATCTTTTAGAATGAGAAATGTTAGCTTTTCTTTGTTTTTAACGTGTATTTTACCACGCTTTATAAGAAATGCGATACTACTGGACAGATGAAAGATATCAGATTACCTATAGTAAACGTGTTACTCGTGCTGTAAAAATGATGGATAGTTGTTCGAGAGAAAATGGAGTTCTGTGCACTGTAGCACGATCATGGTTATTGTTCCTTCACGACGAGAGGGAGTGGAAAAATTTTGAATCAAATATTGCTTGAGGTGTTGATGAAGTGCACCAAACATTTTGATTTGAGCAGTTCTTTAACGGCAAGCTGTGTTGCAAGATTCATGATTTGTTGAGTGTGCCGATTATATTTTTCTGGATTGATTGCTCGGTGCTATTTCTAGATGAATGTCTGATTAAAATTAACTATGGACGATTTTGTGTATGTTTTCGATGCTTGGAGAAAGTGGTCTTGTGGAGTCGTTTGTGTTGTGCCAAGGACTAATTCAGATACCATCGTTAGCATGTTTATTTGATTTTGTTATCTGGAATGAATGATTTACGGAGGTAAGTTAATATGATGTGATCTACTAACGTCGAAAATATATCTAGTCGAAGGAACAGTTTTGGTCTTGGTCCGCATTTTTGTCAACAAAATAAACACATACCGCTTAAAAAGATAATAATACGGACCACGTGCAAAGCTGTTAATTGTTTCTCGAATGTTGCGCGTCTTAAATATTCAATAGTGACATCTCGTGTTGTCACGTACCAGACGAAAAAACTTTTTAGATTGTCAGTCTACATTTTGTACCCACTCTGCGGTCTACAGTCTACATTTTGTACCTAGTCTACATCTTATATCCGGTCTGCAGTCTGCAGTCTGCATTTTGTACTAAAAGGTATCCGTGGCACCAATACAGTTTATTTTAGGTTACAGTTATTCGCACAAAATATCCAATATACCACAAAATACCTGTGTGTGAGTTAATTCGACATTTTCGTTATTTCCGCGTTAATACTTTTCTTTCCTTTTGTTAGAAGTTAGACATTACTTACAATGTTTCAATAATCCACCCACCCCCCCAAAAAATAACTCTTGCATGCTTAACATGCCTATGTTTTTGTTTGGTGCAAGAAGATCACGTACTTTTGAGGGGTTTATATATCATCTGTCGTTGAATCCTTGTTAAGTCTTGACGACCTGTTGTCGTAGCGTGCGTGTATGTGTGTGTGTGTGTGTGTTACGCTAGGGCCAAACTTCTTTGGTTATGAGCAGTCCCGCTTGTGTCATCATGTTGTTTCAGCTGAGACCCCACATTGCGTCTCTAGGATTGAATGTATGGTTATAAACCCTTTCTCAAAGGGAAGAGGTTAGGGTTTGGCTGATGTTGCCATAAACAAGCAAGCCACAAATGATCTATTATATCATTGTTTATTCTTTGTTTAAGAATAGCGACAGAGTTACAAATCAGAGGGGCTACTCCCAATTTGGCCATTTACAATCCGTCCAGCTTTGTATTCCTCTAAAATCTTCGTTTTGGCTTTCTCTTCCCGGCAGTTGAGGTTTTTTAGGCCTCCGTTCTATCTAACGGAAGTTTTCATTACGGAAATAATGATGGAATCTATGGTGTCAAAGCCGCTTTAACCTTTTAACTCCCAGAAGTGATTAACATGAAACTTCGCCCTAAAATATCCATACATATATCTAGCAAACAGGTAATGAGAATATTCAAATTTCTCAGGTAAAAGTCGCTTTCTTGATCTAACACCAAATTCTTGTACCTAATTTGCAAGGACATGTGTAGCAGCTAGAAGGGAGAATTAACATTAAGATCTTGGGAGTTAAAGGGTTAAGTCGGGGACAGTAAAGGATCGGTTGCAAGAACTGCATAGCTTACCAAGAGTACTACATTTGTATCCTTTGTTGCGTTCTCATTTGGTAAACCTGCATCTTAACTTTTCAGATCTCTTTATGACTGGTCACAAGCTTCCTCTGATGAAGATTTCCTGAAACAGAGTATTGATCATCTCATTGGTGCTCTGACGTACATTTGTCCAGCTTATTATGAAGTGCTTTTAGAAATCACTGGAGTCAAGGAACTCCTCGACGAATGGAACAAGGAAAGTGGCAAAACTGGTGGTGGGCTGTCAAGACTTCTGACAGCTCCGTCACGACTCGGAACACTGGCTACAGCAAGCCAATCATCTATCACGAGCCAACTATTGCTAAATTCGGGTTTACTTAAAATGATGGCAGGAGGTATCGTGGACTTCTGTCAAGCAGGTGGTAATTCCCAAGGTTTGGACAAACATCCGTCAACAGTGGATCCACTACCGAAGTCAAACTTGTCCATCGACCTTCTTCCACACCTTCTAAACTTTTTAACTTGTTGTTCCCAGGAGCCAGCCATTAAGGATTGGATGGGTGAAACAGGCTACCAGTTGTGGTTTTTACTTCTCTCACAGCTCTGCAGAGGACGACATGTCCAAAGTAACCCTTTTTTTGGCCCACCAGGCGTAGTTCCTTCTATTCCCAGCCACACTAAGTTTGCGATGGAAACTGCAACGGTAGATCTGTTATGCAACTGTGTTCATTTTCATCTCAGAAATCAAGAAAGGATGGCGAGTCTCTTGGTTGAAACCATTGGTGGAGAGAACTCTGAAAATGGATCAATTGACATGGAAACCAATGTGAACACACAGGTCAATGGCTTTTTACGACAGTTGATCTTACAAATGTTGCTGGAAGAAGAAACTGTACTTATCTGTGTGCACGTTGAGAATGATTTGAATTTACAAACAATGCGAGGATTTGATTTCTTTCATAAAGATGGTTGGCATCCTCGCTTTGGAGCAGGACACTCATTTGCACTACTTTCTGCAAAATTCTCCACAACTCTTCACGAACTTAGTGAACAGATTCTTCGTCCTAAAGTAAGCAAACCAGTCGAGACAACTTTGGAGGAAAAGTTCCCCAAACCTACTGCAGTGGAGGGGATGGCTGATCCTGGCGAGTTTAGCCAATACGAAGGGTTTGAATTTCTTGAGTCTGTTAGTCTTGCTGCAGGACTGAACGTGAAAAGCAAAAGAGCTGAAAAAAGTGAAGCGTCAACAGTAAAGGAAAATAATCCGGATAATGGTCAGAGTCAAAATCAAAGTAAAAGCATGTCGTGTTCATTTTATCACGATATACTCGGCAACATGTGTTTGCCGCAGTCTTGGACAGTGGCTCAGTTGTTGCAGCATCTAATGAGCAAAGGACTACCTTGTGGTACATCTTACCTTGAAGTGACGTGTAAGACTCAAGATGGAAAGACAGAAGACAATTCTACTAATTCTGCGCCGTTGCTAACCCCGTTGGATGTGTTTGCCAAACAGGATGGGTTAGTAAAGTTATCAATGCATCTCCCTTGCCACGTTATAACACCTTCCTCGCTGGCTCCGGATACTGAAACGGAGGTAATTGAGGGAGACAGCAGTGATAAACAGGTGCCTTCTTACCCGACGCAGCTTCCGTTGCCTTTAGTGTCCATACCTGCCTCAGTGTTAAGCGCTGTTCCAGCACATACACTTGTAGCTTTTGGTTTATTCATTCGCCTTCCTGGATACAATGAAGTTCTGCTTAAAGATCGTCTCAAGGCTCGCTACCTTCTGAGGCTGCTTCTGGGGGCCAAACAGGATGGGAATGGAGGTATGAATCATTGTGTCAAATAATCAGTCAGTGTCTCAGTCCGTTCTTGAGTTAGTGACTTAGTGAGTCAGTCACTGAATTTGTCGGTCACTGGGTCATTAACTCGGTCATTAAGTCTGTAAGAAATCACAAGCAATTGTTTTATAACCCTTAAAACCCTTATGCAGTATGCATATTCCCCAAACTGTTCTCTAAACAGATCCTAAGGTGTCGACAAGAAGTATTGTTTAACAATCAATACCTATTTCTTTAACTTATCGTGTCTTCTCATGCTCTTCCCAGAACCTATCTTGTCATCTCCAGCAGCCAGTTGTCTGTCCACGCTTCCATTCCATGTGTTACGGATCTTATTTCAGAGCAGTGAGCTCTCGCCACAAGAAGGCGCCGCCGTGCACAAGGCGGCTGTAGAAGTTGGCGCGATCCAGATGGTGCTACTGTGTCTAGCTGTACTGAGTCATCACAAACCGCGAGCCACTAATCACTCACACAAGATGGCTTTACAGGCCTTGTCTGCGTTAACGGGCAGGTATAGCGAAGACTTCATCCTCACACCTGTAGGCGTATCATTAGAAGCTTGTAGGCGGTGGCTTTCGGATGTTAGACCATTTTGTACTTTCCACTTTGTGAATTGTGTGACATTCAAATATAGAAAATGAGGTTTTTTAAACTGATTCTATCATCGATGTATCATTGTTTGGCAAAAAATTACTCAAATATTCCCTAGAATAGAATGCTGGAAATCACGTCTCCGAGAGTTTTAATTTCTGATTTTTCCGAGAGGGTATGCCCACGGACACCCTTAGCAGGGTGTGTTACTTTGCAACACGCCATGTTGCTATGCAAGCATAATTTTATTTAGCCACCCACTCAGTTCAGAACGTACACCTATTAAATTTTCAAATGACAACCCTGACCAGGAACAATGTTTTAGTTATTCTGAGTTTCAAAAGTAGTTTCGGATTTCTTTGATATTGCTCAAATTTGCTCTGAAGTTTGTCCACGTCCAATCTTGCGCCACCTTATCCGTCAAATTCGAGTAGAAAGCAATGGCGCGTGAAGCTTGTTAAGTGCGATTATTTGCATTCTAATTGGCCTTTTACGGCATTTCTCTGTGTTCGTATTGATTTGGTTTTGGTCGAGGACACTGAATCAAGAAGCATTCTTTAATTTTTTCCTACAGTAGGTCGCTCGTTTGTGCGCTTTTCGAATTTTTATCTCTGATTGTTTCGGTGATTTACTCAAATATGTATGGATCTGTAGTGTTTGCCGCGACAGTGATGTTGGAGCCGGTAGTGAGAGGAGTTACTGGGCCAAAGGAACAGGATTTGGTACAGGATCCACGTCGTCAGGGTGGGATGTTGAACAAGCCATGCTAAAACAGAAGGCTGAAGAGGAGCATGTCACTTGCCTTCTGCAGGTAATGACGGTAGAATTAACCGCAAAGAGCCTGCTTTGGGGGCGATTTAAACTTTTCCATGTGTTGTCCCAGTTAATTTTGTGTGCAGCAAGGGATTTTGTACTTCGAGACGTTTGTTCCCGTTCCGTTTAGGACCTTAAGCTGACCTTTAAGGTATGAATCGATCCAGCTCTCTCTGTACTTTTCGAATGGAGTATTTTCTGGTGGTGACACACTGAGATAAAACTCCTTTAGAACATCAGACTTATTTTAGTATTGAGACGCAGAGGTTTATATGGAGCACACAGTTTGCTGAAATTAAAATCAAAATGTAGAGAGAACACAAAAAATGTCTCAATCTCGAGGATGAAAACCATACGTAGGTCAGATGATGACCGACCAGCCGATTGACTCGGGGTTACAGACGCCCATGGGTTTGAATCATGTTTAAAACTAAAGGGAATTTATGTGCTGACTGAAAAAAAAATTTTTCTTTTCCTTCCTAGGTACTTGCGAGTTATATCAGACCTTTTGGAAAACACAGCGACTCGCACTCAGAGCCATTTGCAGAGTATTTAGGGGCAGGCGGTCCATATCCATTTGTTGTCGTTTTGCTGGAGCTGTTCGGAGAGTCATGTCTAATCCCTGCTCTTTCATCATACCTAAGGAATGATTCTGGTATGTACGCAGGCAAGACTGGATTTTTCCAGTTAGGAAATCAAAGCAAGTTTTCCCGCTACTGCCTTACTGCAAGGAAAAAGAAAGAAAGAAAATCAAAAGGAGATAAATGATAATTATCGAAGCAATGAGAAGAATGACATAAAACAAAAACCTCTCTCTCAAATTTAGGAGCAAAATCTCCGAAATATCAGTTGCAAGCCCTAAGATCGTTAGAGTAATGGGAACTACTAGACCTGTTGTATTCAACTTCAGAGTTTGACGTTTATCCGACCTCTCTATTATTTCTACCGGTGTCAGAACTAAATCTGAAACTGTGCTTTAAGATTTACTTCTTAGTAAACGTCGCAAATCTGTGTAACTTTGTTGGTTTTATGGAAAAATGCCGGTTGAGAACTCCACGACCTTTTTTTTCCCTGTTATTTAACCGTTTTTGTTGTTTTTTTTTTAACAGTTCTTGATATGGCTCGCCATGTTCCTCTGTACCAGGCTGTTTTAGAAGTACTCCGTGCACTCGCGTTGTGCCCAGTCCTCTTACCTTTGTTACTCCCGCATGCCAATGGCCTTTCCGTTGAGAGAGCCTCCACAGAGGCGCCTTCTATTGTTAGCCTGCTGGACAAGATGAAACAATGTGTGGATACTTACTCCAGAACTTTGCGGTAAGATAAGCGGGAACTCTTCAATTTGTAGTAAGGACTTAGGCTGGAAAAGTAATTTTTTAATAAGTGTGGAGGGATCCCCATTTTTTACTCTTGGACCGGAAGCTATCGAGCAATATTTTATTCAAAGAACAACATAAAGTAACTGTCTCGAGCGATAACAGGAACCTATTCTAGGTATCAGATTGTTTTTGTTGTTGTTTTTTTTGGGCTCCATATTTTGGATAAAAGAGACGTGGATACCGGCAAAACATTTCTGATATTTCAGCAAAAAAGCCAAAATATTTTATTTTTTGCGACAGTAGTGAGAAAAAAGGGAATATTGATCAATTAATCTTCTACTTTCAAGTTTTTCCACTGATATTTCGAATGTTGTGTGAGTTTTATCCATGGATTTCTGAAGTTAATGAAACCCCTCCAAAGACAAATCTAAAGCTACTTAAACTGATTTCCTAGCGGACCTAAGTGAGATGCATAGGTACAAATATTACGTCGGGTCACTCGGCACTCACTCTTTCGCAGCCGTTGATTGGTCGGTATCCGCCGCTTTCGCCCCCTATCGAGTTCGCCCCTTACCTTATACCGTGTTCGCCCCCACACTTTTCGAGTTCGACCCCACCAAGTCGAGTTCGCCCCCAGATTGAGTCATGTCTAAATTAGTTGCTATCGAACATTGCAAACAAGTTAGAACCAAGACAAGTTTTGAATTTTAATTGACCGACGGCCATTTTGAAAGTTTATATGTGCGTGGGAGCTAGGGAGATGAAAGCGTGGTTTGCGATCCTGGTTTGCATTTTCTCAAGTCTGGTTGCTATGACCTTAAAACACAATGAAGTGTGCAACGCATTCTCTCAAGAAGTCTTAAATAATCAAAAGCGTGATCAAATCGTGGTTTCGTAAATTCTTCAGTCTTAATTTCATAAATAAAGCTAAACGAGGTACAAGTCTAACAACTTAAGCAATGCTGTCGCGATGAAAGCGTGGTTTGCATCTTCTCAAGTCTGGTTGTTACGACCAACGAATTTCGTGTTCGTTAGATAAACCCAGGTTGTTTTACACCTTTGCCAGTCTGAATAATAAGTTAAGCAATGTTGTTTTGATTAAGTGTGGTTCTCTCTATCACAAGTTCAGTGTACACAGTTATTTCTGGTAACCCCAGATCCCACGCAGAGTATTTAGTTGATTCCGTCAACCCAGTTCCCAAGCAGGTTCCACGCAATTGCGGAAATTCAAAATGGTCGTCGCTGACGTGACATTTGGCACATTCTGCTAGTGCCTTCGTCACAAATCAACTCATCTGGATATCACTCAATCAAGGGGCGGACTCGACTTGATGGGGTCGAACTCGAAAAATGTGGGGGCGAACTCGATAGGGGGCGAACGCGGTGCAATTCGTTTGGTCACGTGTTTCGTGTATAGGCACAAAGGAGACGTTTTCAATGTAGTCAAACCAAAGCTTGGACAAACTATTTCTTCAGGTCTACGCAAGGAAAAAGGGAAGATTCATCTGTAACAAGCACCACTAGCTTAGAACCAAATGCCCCAACAGAACCGAGTACCACAGCCGAACCAAGTTCTAAAGGGGAATCCAGCAGCTCAGCAACATCAAGCAGTGCAGGAAGCTCGTTGTTTTCAGTTGGACCGAGTACTTCTGCGGGACCTAGTACCGCAGGACTACCAAGTTCAACTAAACCAGGTAACAGCGAAGAAAAGAAGGACCAGGAGGCTGAGGGACTCGCCCTGTTGATACCTGACATCCAGGAAACTGCTAAGTTGATGCAGAGAGTAGTGCACGAATTTCACCAGCAACAAGCCTCTTCTAACAAGGAAGGGGAAGGAGGCGGCAAGGGGCCAGAGGAACAGGTGGAGTCCCTCTCTGCCGAGGAGAGGTACTTAGCCAAAATGAGGTCGCTTCAGTTTGGTGAGTGTGGCCCATGGGCGTTTCGTTTAGTTTGTAGGCAAGGTCGTGAAAGCAACTATTACAATCAGACGGTAGTCAGGAGAGTTTTTATTGCGTTTATCTTGTCAAGATTTTCTCATTGAATAATTCCTAGTACAACGAAATCTAGATTGTATCGAGAACTTTGTCCCAAAAACGTAAGACTTTCGGTCGTAATCTCCTTGTCAGTTATTTCGGAATTTCAAGACACGACTGGGTTATAAAGTCAAACCTTTGTTAAACTTGATAGGAACTCACCGGATTGTGATTGAAAAAGATGACGGAAAACTAGAGTTTGAACCTGGCGGTTACCACTTTGCGTCTTCGGTGCGGTCAACGGTGAATACGGGTGGCAGCGGAAGCATGGTGCGGGCTCGGCGGCTAGCACAGGAAGTGTCGTCTCTTGCAACGTCCCTTCCGCTGTCCAGCAGCTCAAGCGTATTTGTCCGTTGTGATAAAGAGCGACTGGATGTCATGAAGGTAATAATGAATCTTTGTCAAGACATACATTCAAGCGTAGTGATGACGAATGGCAAAAGGACGAGGGCCTTCCGTTTTCGGAGTAAGGTTACATAGTATTTTCAACGAACATTGGTAGATCCAGGGGAATGTGGCTTTTTTTTTATTTTTTTTTTTACCACCCGTTTGACACTAAATTTCTTGCAAGGACAGGATTTCACGTTACTTCTCAATACAAAGTGCGTATAATTTATTTGTGCTGAAATATTTCTTAGCTTGTTTTGGTTAAATAGTTGAGAAAAATTCCTTAATTTTCTGAATCAAAATATGCAACCCACCCTTCCACCCCACCCCACCCCACCCCAGATAGAGTAATGACATTGTAAAGAGATATTCCACCCTAATCACCGTGAGTATTAAAAACGCTGTTTATATGTTTGTTAGGTTCTTATTACCGGCCCAGCTGATACTCCATACGCCAATGGCTGTTTCGAGTTTGATGTATACTTTCCACAGAACTACCCGGAATCGCCGATGCACATAAACTTTGAAACCACTGGGCACCACAGTATTCGCTTCAATCCGAATCTTTATAATGATGGAAAGGTACCGTGTAACTAACAGTCTTGTTTAACTTAATAAGTAACATGGCATTCAACTTGACGAGTTGGCAGCTTACCACATTCCTCTACGCTGTTGAGTCCACCTTCAAGAATTTGATAGTTATGTCGTCTCCATTTCCTCGCAGTTTTAAAATATTTGGGACAGAAGCTGAACAGTTGCGTGCAAGCCTTGTCTTTGTGTTGTGTTTTTTCAGTAAGATACTGAACTCTCGTGGTGCCATTGTCCAAGTAAGGAGTAGAAATGAGAGCTGGCAAACTTTCAGTGAAACCTGGCGAAATGTAGGGGGAAGGGGCAGTTAATCTGCTGTAGACTGGCATCACATCCAATGAGAATAGCAATACTCCTAATTCCTTCTTGCTACTAAAACTGGGAAATGCTTCGGCTGCTAAAAGAGTCAGTCTCGTATGCAGAGTTTTTTCATAGTGGGTGAGGTGTCTAAGACATGGGACTGACGTTTAGGACTGTTCGTGATTAGTTTACGTACAGTATTCACCCCTCCCCTGCTGATTAGTTTTATGTCCCTTTTCTTTCATTAGGTATGCTTGAGTATATTGAACACGTGGCATGGACGACCAGAGGAGAAGTGGAATCCACAGAATTCAAGCTTCCTTCAGGTGTGAACGTCTTTGGACAGTATCTTAAGTATTTTCCGAAAAGTTATTATACCTTATGGCCGTGACATAGGCCACAACTCGTGTAACAGATGAGCATGTTGAATAAATTCCTTCTTGTTTCAGGTCCTGGTGTCAATCCAGTCGCTCATTCTCGTCAACGAGCCCTACTTCAACGAGCCTGGGTACGAGAGATCTAGAGGGACGCCCGCTGGACAGCAGAACTCGCGGGAGTATGATGCGAACATTTGTCAAGCCACTGTACGCTGGGCCATGCTGGAACAATTAAGGAAACCGTCGCCTTGCTTTAAAAAGGTGAGATTGAGATGTCACTTTTTCCACTTAAATATTTCCTCAACTCAGGTACGGTCGGATGTAGGTGTAGTCTGGACCATTTCGTTGAGGCGTTTCGAAAACTACTGAGTGTTCATGATCTGTTCATAGAATCTTAGGTTCATCTTTGGCCTCGGTTTAACAACTGCAACGTTTTTGCACCCTCCCTGTGTTGCAGATAGGTAAATCACTAAAGGGCGTAACCTAAAATATTACAAAGAGACAATATTTTACACATCATTACACGAAGTTTAGATCGCTATGGGAAAGACAAACGACACCCAACATTTTCAGTTTGCGCCATATTTTTGACTCGTTAAATTTAAGACATGAGCGGCTTTTCTTGAAAAATGAAACCTTGATTTTTTTTTTAATTGGTCCGTACGTAACCATTCCATACTTTTAGTGTATCTTTTTCCATTTTTAACTCGTGAATTGCGCGCATGCGCAAGAGCGAGTTGTAGATACGATGTGGGGAATGGCACTCGCTCGCTCGCTTGATTGGTCGATTCCTGTAATTTTGCATTTGAGTGCATTTGATTGTTTTTGGCGAGCAATAAACAAACAGAATGGCGACCTTTGTTGCTAAGAATAGTGGTGGGGTGACAAAGAAGCCATTGATAATCTTAAAAGTTTTTTCTTTTTGTTTTAGTTTCAACAAGCGGCGCCAGCGTCTGGCAGGCATGCAAGGATTCACACTGAAATAACAGAACAACCCTCGTTTTTCATAACATTGTAATTTACAATCCTAGAACTTGAAAACAATCCGAATATTCATTGAAAATTTCACTTACTGCGAAGCGCTCGGAGTTTACAGATGTTCAAAAGCTTTTTCTGTTACGGCGTGATATTGAGGACAAAATCGATCATTACGTTTCGTATCGTGTGTTTTTCCTGTTTGAAGCAACAAAAGATGCCGGAGACTAACGAAATTACAAGTTAACGCGAAAATCAAATAATACCTAAACAAACAATTTTAGCTACCGATTTTCAGTGAATTTTTAAAGAACAATTCAAAATACATATTACGAACTAAAATGCGAAAGTGGTACACCACAAAATTGATAAATAGGCCTGAAATGAAATTCTATCTTTTTATTGATTATACGTTGCCTAGCACGTGACTAAAATCTACCCAGGCGGAGATCCAAAATGACGGTGGCAGTCTTGGCTAAGTTATATCACTCAAAACTCGTTCCCGTTTGTCTCATTTGATAAAGAGGGAATTGTTAATGTTTTCATTAAGACAGTATTGCCTTGATTTTCTAATATTTACAATGATAGACAGTAAATTTCACTTTTCACTCACATTTACTTCCAACCTTTTCTTTTGAACCAGAAAGAGAAATGATATACGTTTAAAACACATGACATCATCCATCCTTGTCAAATGCAATAGTATGATCATTTCAATTGTAATGCCTTCTTATCCCAACGTTACTTTGTTTCTTTGCTACATTAGCGAACACTGAACTATTGCTCGTACTCTAGATATGACAATCAACCACAATATTCCCTAAACCAGATAACATTAAACATAATCCAAAAAATCATGTGTCAATTCACGAGTTTGCTCACAGAGCACTTTGATGGTTTTGTGAGATCCAACCAAAGTGATGTACTGCGGTTTGTTTCTTGATGAAATTTCTTTTCCTCGTCGCAACAAGCGGCGAAAAATATATGACGTAAGACCTTAAATGACGTTAACCAATGGCAGGGTTTCAGAGTTACTTCCTGTTTGCTAACGCTCTATCATCCACAGGTTATTGAAGCGCACTTTTACCTCAAGAAAGATGAAATACTAAAGCAGTGTGAGCAATGGACAAAAGAAACGGAGAGCCTGCTGTCAGGCCGGCCGGTTGGTAGGGCTATATCACATCACGTGCAGTCACTGAAGCAGAATTCTGCGCTCTTAAAACATGAGCTTGACAAACTTCAACCTCCTTCGGATCATAAACAACAGGACGGTGATAGCGACGAGGACAGTGACTAAGGTGCAAAACAGTTGCAGAAGCCGCACGCAGGTCACTCGTTGAAATAATTTATGCCAAGCACTGGGTGGTGTATGGCTAGGCCAGGGAAGGAGTCAATTTCATTTGTTACCCGCTCGCAACAATTTTTTTGCGAAGTGCTTGCTAGCACCAACTTTCCTCGGGTCCTCACGAGCTCTCTCGGATCGCGATGCTGCTTCGCTGACTAATAAACATTCGCATACGAAACATTGTTAGCAAGGGAGAGTAACGCATTTTCTAGTGTCGCTTTATTTTACTGCAAGATAACTTAAAGGATTACAGCTAAACGTGACAAGATTTTCCTTCGCCAACGGGCTGCAGAATGAAATTGCCGGGATCTAGACACAGACGCCGAGAATTGCCAAAGTGGAGAATCGGCTGTAGAAGGGGATTTTCTGAGGGAATCTGGCCTTAGTGAAGACAGCCTTGGCCTGCCCTTAGCTGGATGAAGTGAACTGCGTATTTAGAACAATACGAGCGTAATTAGTCTTTCTTACATTCTATTTATCGGGTTTGATCACATTCTATAACCAACCACTTTGATTTAAGGGGCCAAGAAAGCGTGCTGTGATTATTGCACTGTAAATATTACACGCAATGTGAGAATACCGTAATTGAGGAAGTCATGAAATGGGGTTACGATGGACCAATATGGAACAAATGTATCCTTGAAAATAGAAAATGAACTTGAATGACTTAAGTCGAAATTTATTTAAGAGCTAGAAGTCGAAATAAGCAGTGCTTACCATATTCGTTAGTAACTTGTCTTACTCGTTTTCCATTGAATTTCGAATTAATTTGCACTTCTACCGAGTGATCAGCTATGAAATTAAGGTTGCTCACTATTTTTACCTTTACAGTTTGGTGGAACTTTGTACAGAGAAGCGAAATTGATGTTTCATTTCGAACGTTTACTTGTCAGTTGTATAGACAAAATGTCCGGTAAACTTTAGTTTTATGTAGCAGTGACTGTTGAACGTCCTTTGGAACCTCTACCGGGAAGTAAATCGTTGATATCAAACGACTCAGTTCCCTTGAGATCTATAGATCTCAGTTAAACTGTAAAACTTCTTTGCAAGATCCCGCAATCTGTTTCCTTGATACGGAAACGCAGATTTTCTTCTAGCAAATGAAAGAATGAATTTCAGTCGCTGACAACAAGTTCTGTGTATGAAGCTTTGGGAGGTTGTCAGTTTGTTAATCGCCATGTTTTGTTACTGAATTTGGGCATAATCCGAATCACAGTAGAAAAGTTACTGGGGCGGGAATGGCTTTTTAAAACTATACTTTTCTGTTGTATTGCAATTTCACAAAGATGAAGTTTGATGTTCTGAGGGAGATTATTTTCGAATTAGTAGTTACTTTAGCGAATGATATCAAAATCAAGAAATTTTTTAGCTCTTAAAATCAATCATTTCTAGAAGCTAATTAATCATAAGCTATATCATTTGCTGCACGTGAATAAATTTTGAACCACTGTGCTAAGGCGGATTTTTTTCTCTGTGCAAATGTAATTCCTAAACTGAACATTGAAATATGTTTTTTTTATAACTGTCAGCGGAACCATCATGAATCGAGAAACTATTTATAAGAACAAATCAATCAACGCTGTCAATACTGAATATTATCAAACTATTCCGGACTTAGGAATAAAAGGGGTAAGTTTCTAAAGACACCGCGGTGCTGAGTCAGTGCGGGGTAAAACAAGATAATTTGGTTTCACCGACTGAGGTGATACTGTAAATTGGCCGTCGTAAAGAGTTTCTGGGCTGACGCTTCGGGTGTTAACCCTTCGTCAGAGTGAATGAATGAATGTTGCTCGGTCATGAAGCACGGATCTCGCTGCGCTCGGTCCGTACGTCATGGCCATGATTCAAATTCTTTCCCGTCCGACCCTCCCACTTAACCAATAAGCACATGTGCATAAACACCCAGGACTTAAGATGGAAAATTAAGTATGACTACATGTTGGACCACTGTGTTGTGTTCTTGGGTTATACTCCTTCTTCTTACCATCAATCTTGTAATAGTACCTCTCTCATGTCAGGAAAACTGAAGAAATACTGGAAGGACTGTATCCAGTCCTTACGAGTAACAATAGCTCTCTCTACACTCAACATTTCTAAGCCTTTTCCTGTTTAAATCTCAAATATTATCCGTACGAAAGAACAGCTTGGTTTCGTCGGCGGCCGTCTTGAAAACGGAACTGGTGAGTGGGTGAACCACCCCCGGGTGTTTGCAGCAGGTTCCAAGAAGACAGATCGTCGGTCGGTTAAATGTTAGTGGATATCGGTCGATTAAATGTTAGTGGATTCGCAGGCGACTGTTTGGTCGAAATACTCTGAATTAAATGTCCGACTTTGGTGTTCTAATTAATATTTGGATTTATATTTCCAATCAAGAACTCAGTTTACCAAATTATTTTTTTGCGGATTACGTGTTTGAATTGGATGCGCCCAGATTGCAATTGACAGAACGATAGACAGGTAGATTTGCATATTGTGTGTTTGTAAAAGTCTGAGGAGATTGTTTGAATGTTTAGTTTCCCTCTTTACGCGAATATGCATTTGTGTAGAGTAAATATTCAGACCTTCAAACGCGAGAACCAATCAGTGTTCAATCAATACTGAATATTCCAGCTAACTCTTGGTGCGTGTGATAAAAGTGTTAAGTGAATTTGAATTTCTAACATAAATTTATGAAATGACTATTTGAATATTTATTTTATCGCGAAAGAATATTCATCTGTTCGGATAAAAACTGACTCGTCTGACAGACTTGACGGTGTTAAAATCTCGTATGCTTTGCCCGCCGATTACGATGGGTTATTCTCTATTTAAATACCCTTGTTCTTGTTTTGTCTTTCCCCCCTCTGTTTCGCCACTAGCGCGGGGAATCAAGTTATAGCCGAGTTCGTTTACACTCGATTTCCCCGCTGTGTTTGAATTATTAGACAGGTCCTTCTCTAATTTGCAATTTGTCATTTAGATGCGTCAATTTACGGAAACTTAAGAAGATTCATATGACCAGATGTTTTTCCTTGAAAATAAAAAAAAAAAGGTCACTGGTACAACTTCAGTGAATGAGTTAAGCCCATTTCCACCCGGATAATGAAAACTTGGTTTTTGATTCTTGGCTGGTCTCTTTCCATTCTGACCATGACTGGAAATGGATTTATTATCTGCCTTGTTTGCAACAAACGGCGACTTCGAACTAAAACCAATGCGTTTATTGTTTCACTCGCAGTGGCTGACTTCTGTGTTGGGATGAGCGCTTTTCCTTTACTGTATGTCTGTAACAAAGCAACTATGTGCAACCATCTACATATACTTGTGTCTATTGTGAGGAATTTCTTCGCATATGCGTCTGTGACAAACCTATGCAGTTTAGTCCTGGATCGCTACATCGCTGTTGTAAAACCTCTAAAGTACTTGGCATTTATGTCGCGTCGCCGAGTCATTCAAATGGTTCTTTTTTCCTGGGTGATTCCAGCTGCAATTATAACAATTTACACGTTAGAGATTTTTTTGTTTAAAGTGTTGTTGTTTTTTCGCATTTTGATGTGGCTGATTACTATATTTTTCGAGTTCCTTCCAAGTGCGATGTTAATATTTTTCTTTGTATCGATGTTACGTGTTGTAATTAAACAAAATCGCACCGCTCGTTCATTGAAAAGACAGTTAAGTTTTAACCATCGAGTTTCCTTTAAAACTCAAGAAAAGTCTTCCATCGTAATGATGGCTATTGTAATTTCCGTATTTCTTGTTTGCTACGGGTTTTATCTGCGATGCAGTATCTTCGTGATTTTCAGCGATCGGTATAAATTTTGTCCTGATCTGGAGTATAAAATCTCTTTGTTAATGTTAAACTCTGCTATTAATCCTTTGGCGTACTCCTTCTTCAAGAGAGATATAAACAAAGAGATTAGAAGAAGTGTTTTCTGCTACTCTGCATAGAAATGAAGCTTCGCGTGAGGCTTTTCGATGTGAAATAAAGACTTACGGGAAAGAAGACTCTTGTTTAGCGGAATGATCACAGGTAATAAACATTGACAATTAAGATTATCTTGTTTAATTCAATGATTTTTTTTAATACAGCAAGTTTTTTGTGAGCTTATTAAAGGGTCCCGTGTTATTAGTGAAAACAGTTAAAGAAATTAAAGGTTTTGGTAATAAAAAGTTTTGATCTCAGTTAGAAGCCTCTCTGTTCACGATTTTGAATATCGGATGAAAGGTTTCGAATACGTATCAATTAACTTAATTAGACTTAGATCACTTTACACTAAAAACAGCATCGCTGCGTCAATTTACTTTAAAAGGAGGTTGTTTAAAGAACTCTCGGAGGAATCAATATATTATTACTATTGCAAAAGCTCTCAGGGATCAATAATTCATCGATATTTGAAAGCACTCTAAGTAATCAATAATTTATCAGGATTTCTGTGTTGCTTAACAGAAGCATTAAAAGTCATTTTTTCGATAAGTCTCGACAGAAATCAGATTTCTCACAACCGCAACACAAAAAATAAAGTTCCTCTTTTACACCGCTACTATTTATGTTTCCATTCTCTGTCTTACAAGAGTAATGGCTGAAAATCAATTTCAAAACGTACCTAGGTTGATTTGCAATCAATTGATACTATAATCAATAAAATATTCCATGAATAACAAAATAACGAAGAGAAGTAAGGCAAGAAACGACTAGACAGAGCAAAAGAGGCCTTACTGATATCGTCTCAGGTAGCCTTCAGGAGATAACCCTCCCCCTCTAGACAACCCTACGGAGCGTTTATGTGGAGTTGTGGGTTGTAACAGCTGTCTCCTCACCAACCTCTCTCGTGACAGCTAGGCAGGGTGCAACAGTGTTACTCAAAATGGTCTCCGCAGACCTAAAACACACGGGCTCCGGAAATAATTTGAGCCGTCCCGTCTCGAGCAGGCGAACCAACACGTTCATATGGGCCTACCAGCTAAGGCGGGACATCCCACCCTCCCGAATTGTCTCGTCCCCGGGTTCATGTAAACGGTTCATTGAATTTTTCAAAGACATGAGGGAAAGTAACCCCAGCCAGGATGACTTAGAGGGAGGGTTGCCTCGGATACCCGACACCATGTAAATGGGCCCTATATGTAAAGGTCATCCCAAGACTACAGAGATTCCTCCATAGGATCGGGAAATAAAGAATCATATGCCGCAAAGTTTCCTCCCTTGGACATACCAGCCGGAGTCCATTTTGCCTGGAAAAACAGGCGTCAATTTTGCCAGTTTTCAGGCGAGGATTAAAATTCCCAAGAAAAATTTTTTTAAATGAAATATCTCGTTTCCAGGATCTGATGTTTTCACTTACTTCCATAGCATGAGTAAAAAGCCAAATGAAACATGTGGCCGGCCAAATTGCCAACTCCACCAATGCGCAAAAAGGGCTGTCGCCAAGTTACGATAAAAATTGGCCTAACGTATGGCATGAGTTTTACCTTAAACTTTTTTCATAGCGCGACTGAATAGAAATACACCTCAATGAAACTAAACACAAGATACACTTCAATGAAACTAAACACAAGATACCAGCCTCTGGTTTAAAAATGTCCATGACATCCATCTGCTCTATTTATTCCTCTCAACAGTTAATTTAAGCAACATGTGGGAAAAAGTATCCTAGGGAATTTATACAAGAGGGCAAACGGAATGCATAAGTAAGAAGCAGGTGTAAGAAGAGAGAGAGAGAGACAGAGAGAGAGAGAGTAGGGTAGTCAAACTACTAGCAATGGTAAATTGCTGATTGGGCGATATTCTGACCATCTAGCGCCCTCGTCGTCTCCATTTAGTCATCAAACATGACCAAAGTGTTACGATATATCGCGTCTCTCGCATATCAGAAGTAACTGTTTCCCGCAGGAGCTCGTCTGACGTAATAGTAATAGTAAAACCTCAGCCTTGTCATTATGTACTTGAACGTTGTACCTGGATCCGTACCGCTTATGTGACAGACAAACAGTGTCACACAAACAGCTACAGCAGCCGTGATCAGAAAGAAAAAGAACATTGCCTGACCGGGAGAGAGACTGACTTTTTCGTCTGTATGGAGAACAAAAAGAGGAATTCATTTTATTCATATGATAAGCTGAATTATACATGCATTTTGTTGGTTGGGACTTATGATCCATCACAATTGTAAACTTAGATTTTAATTCAATATTAGTTCCACGTAGTAGTATATGTATGTCGACCTAGGAGTCCTTTATTAAAGATTTAAGAAACGTCAATGAGTACCGCCACCTTTAGCTGCAGGCGTGACTGTGCCTTGTCCTCTATCATGTAACTCTTCAGCAGAGGTTGACGTTTCATCTACCGATGTTTCATTGTTCTCAGCGAGGTCATCTTTTTTAGCCTCAGCAGTTTCTGCAGTCTTTTCTTCTTCCTCAGCAGTTGCATCAGTGGCCTGTTTAGCTTCGTTGAATTTCTGCATGGCAGCTGTGATAAGAGAATAACAGATGAAGAGGACATGAATTAAAAAGAGATATGCGTCAATGTAGCTGTTATTTATTCACTTATTCTTATATTCGCCACCTGCAATCTTTCTCGGTCTTCTTCGTTCCCTGGCCACCATCTTTGCCTTTTGGTTTTTGTATCTCGAAAAGTAATGGCGGAGCTCTAGCGGAACACCCATATCCAAGAAAATAAGGTAACCCTTACAGTCGAGTAAAATCTTGAACTAACTGAGAAAAATTAAGAGTTTTCAAGTTACAACGAGCTATCAAACAAACAAAAAAATCGATGAAAGGTTCTAAGGGACGACATGGAGTGCACTTCTTCATCATTTCATTTAGCATAGTAGATCGCTGGATTCTAGTACCAACGGTTAATCGCTTTGGAATTCTTATAAAGGTGCTTTTGGTCAAACAAAGGTAACTTAGAGTGACAACATGAATAGCACAAAAAGGCCTCACTCCCCGAAACCAAAGTCCGACGATAATAGGCATCTCCAAAAAAAATTGATCGAAAAATAACTTGGGCAGAGTTACTTTACGGGGATTAGATCTTTTAGTCTTGTCAAGTGCCAGTAAAAGATGAACAACTTCTTCTATCTCTGATTGGAGTACTGAGTCGCACCTGTGTATTGTTCCTTTCCCATCTCAGCATATATGATGGTAAAAAGATCAAGTGTCTTTTTTGTTACGGGATGTTCCTCTCCGTAAATAGACTGACGTAATTTAACGGCCTGAAGGAAAGTTAAGATCAAAACCTCAAATGAAATCGGATAATTACAAGTGAAACTCAGCTACTCTTCGTTGCCGAAAGTTGATGCGAACTGATACCCATCCTTAAGAATTTAACGAAATCAATGCATGATAACAAGATGAATATCACTTCTGTCAGTTTTTTAACTGAACGATCCTGTAGTTTCTTTTATTAAAATTATAACCGACGGCCTTAAAGCAAAAATCATAGATGATTTTTTGTTAATATGCTCAGGCCGAGTAGAGCTTTCCATTCTGCGCACATGAAGAGGTTTACAATTCTCTTTTAATCAAACAACCAAAACTACAAAATAGCCTGCACAACTGGGGTGACTTTATTGTGTTTCTCAATCAGGTGGACGCATGCGCAAAAGGAGTCACACGTACAAGGTTGACGTCCTCTCTCACATGACTTACTCTTCATGCTCACCTCACACTTGCCACTGCTAGCCAAAAGATTCTCAAAAATATCACCTATGTTATACCTTACCTTGCCACAATATTCTAGTGCCAGCTGAGCACTGCAAGAGAAGACACAAAACATGCATGTCAACATGTTAATATCAATATTGGACCCTTCTGGATTTTTTCTTCCTTGGAGTCTACTGGTTCATATTGCAGACATCAACAACTGATCAGAGAGAGACACTGTTGACTGAATAATTTAACAGCAGAGCCCTGAAAATTCACCACACATCACTGCCCTATACAACATTAAGGTTTCCCCTCAGCTCATGATAAGAAATATGTACCTGTCATATTACAAAAATAATTTAGGTCTAATTCATGCTGCACTATGGCTTTTAAAAAGATGGGATGGGGGGGGGAAGGGCTATGGCTTTTAAAAAGATGGGATTGGGGAAGGGGGAAGGGCTATGGCTTTTAAAAAGATTGGATTGGGGGAGGGGGAAGGGCTATGGCTTTTAAAAAGATGGGATTGGGGGAGGGGGAAGGGCTATGGCTTTTAAAAAGATGGGATTGGGGGAGGGGGAAGGGCTATGGCTTTTAAAAAGATGGGATTGCGAGAGGGGGAAGGGGGGAGGGGTGTAAAAACTTGGTACTTAATTCAGGTGGGCATCACCTGACCAAGAAGGGAAAATCTCAAAGGATAATGAAATTTATAGAAGGGAGCAAGAAGTATGCTTGTCACTGTAGTATTCACGTCTTTATCAGCAGTTCACATATATGATTTTCATATATTCACAGTCAGAGTTCAGTTACTTGTATATCATAAACTGGAGAAAACTTTTGTATAGCACAGATACTAGGGGATGGTTTTTCAAGAATAGTGTCATGTGCATCACTTCTAAACAGGCTAAGCTAAAGCAAAGTTTAAGGTTGGGCTTACTACTTGTGATACTGGGTGCTAAATCTAAGGCTTTGGCTCACAATAAGACTATCCTGTGTTTATTTCAAGACTTGTTTTGCTAAATAATATAACCATTTATAAAATTACCATTCAAGACTTCTGAAGAGACTTACTCTTTTTGCTTGAGGCACATGTGTGCAAGTTTCTCATATTCATTAGCTGATCGGGCTTCAGCTGATTGTTCCTTTGGATCATCTTTGACAGCATGCTAAGATCAAACAAAGTTAAGGTTTTCAGTTTATTAAGATTCACTATATTTTCTAAAGTCAGTTACACAGGTTATCAACCAAGAGAAGTACTTAAAACTTTTACACACTAACATCAGTAATCAAGTTCTCCATAATGTTCTCTCTTGTCAAACAATCATACACTTCTTGAGTTTGTGATCATTTCCTTTAATCTCAAGACCTTAATGCTTCAATCAGGTTGATACTGAAGGGAGAAATTGGATGCTTATCACTCTTGGGGGTTAAAGGGTTGCAGACTAAAGGTAGATAGGAAACAGACAAAAGCTGACATCTGCCAAATTATGCCAGTTTGTACAGATCACTGAAGTTTCTCATAAAAAGAACACTACAAGTATCTGGAAGAACATATAGATCAATTCTCCTATGAATGTTGAAAATATGATTTCTGTCTATAGTTTGCTTTCTAGGTATCCACAGTTATGTTATTGGTAAGTGAGAAGAACACATTGCAAAAACAAAAATGGATGCCAACCTGAGCTTCTGTGGTCCTTGTTGTGTTTCCTGTGGTCTGGTCAGATGGTGATGTACTGCCAACACTATCTGTTATATCATAAACATGGCTATTAATACATTGAACTGAGTTCATACTGTGGTATGAGTTGTTTCTGAGATGTGGACAGTGACCGGAAGAAAAATAAAACTAACTCTGGAGTGCTTTCACACCAACGTACTGGATATAAAGGTCATCACTTTAATATTTTGAACCAAACTCTCCCAATAAAAAAGATGCAGTGGGCACCAAGAATGAGAACCTTTAACTTCTGGCTGCCATCTACATCTACTTTAATCTCTTGGTGCCCTCTCTCTACAAAAGTATAAGTAGGTGGCAGCAAACAGTCTGGAAAACCTGACAGAAATACTGAGGTTCAATGCTGTAGCATCTCATACAAACAGAGTTGCATAACACCTAATTGCTTTATCTACCGCAAACATGGCTTCACTACAACTCCACTAACTCAAACCCCCAAGGAAAAGAAAATGGTTTAGGTTAGTGGGGGATCCAGTTATTGGGATTTGTATTGAATTTCTACATTTTCATACATGTAGTTATGTTTATATCAATCATGATATAAAGACTGGGACTTGTCAAACTGCTATGTTCTGACATATTGACATTTATTGACTAACTTTTTTATTTAAAGTTCACGTAATCAGCCTGAGGGTAAATTTGAGCCAAGGGAAAGTAAATTGGTTCAAGTTAATGGGAAGTTAGACTTCACTGAGTTCAAGTTTACTGGTAGATAATAAATGACAGAAAAATGGGATAAAATTCAGGGGAAATCACCTTTTCCCCGAGTTAGCAGGGAGTTGGACTTAACTAAGTTCAAATTAGCAGGTTCTACTGTACTTCCTACAGCTATGGGAGTCAGTCTCGTAAGCAGCCTTAGATCCACTCTAGGATCATCAGTATCTGATGCTCCCCACTCACCTGATCCATCCTGTTCTTGCTGTACCATGCTACCAGCACTTATCAGAGATGTTTCATAATAAAGTTTTTCTGCCTGGGCAAATGAAACAGCATTTTCATCTTCATAAAATTAAGGGTTCACATAGTTACATAAAATTTGTAAATTCTTCATGACGACATGAAAAATGGGTGAAGGAGTTTTAGGGTTTAAGTTCTCTGTCTCTGCAGTCCAAGTTACTGCAACAAGGATATCCAGATGAGGTAGAAGTGCATTCTGCATGATAACCAAAATTATCACCCCTGGCAACATTCACAACTTTGCAATTTTTCTTAATAAGTACATGAAACCAAAATGATTGAAGGTTTGAAGATACAAAAAGCCATGTCTATGTTTTCCTCTTTTAACCTTCACACCTTAACATCATTATGCTCATTTGCTACACTGTTTCATTTCTAGGTGTAGTTGTTCATAGGTGGATAACTCAATCCAACAGATAAATCATCATCCAGCAGATAAATGGTTACTTGTGATGAAATGATTTGAAATATCCACTGGAGAAAGATTTATCCAATGGACAGTGCTACCCACCTTTCAAACAACCAGGGTGTGATAATTAAAAGATACAGTCTCCAAGCTGGCTGTAGATATCTGCTATCTGCCAAAATATAAAATAATTCAGATTATGATATATATATTTGGGATATTCAAAACAATGTTTCATAAAACAACTCTGAGCATTTGTAGACAACCAGTGCTGTTAATGTTAGAGCGCTTATCACTCTTAAATCTTAAGTCTTAAATCAAAACCAACGTAATCCCAAAAACCAATCAGAAGAATAGAGAAAAACCATTAACCCTTTAACTCCCAAGATCTGGTTGTTAATTCTTCCTTCTAGCAGCTCAACGTTTCCTTGTAAATTAGTTGCAAGAATTTGGTGTTAGATCAAGATAACAACTTTTACCTGATACATTTGAATATTCTCATTACTTGTTTGATGGATAATGGATGAATATTGTAGGGAGAAGTTACATGTGAATCACTTCTGGAAGTTAATGGGTTAAGAGTCTTTTAGAACTCAAAGAGAAACAACCAAACTGCCTAAAGTACTGGAAAATGCAGGCAACCAAGTTATCATTGGTTTTAGTTTTCCATCTGATTGGCTGAGAGAGTGGGGCAAGTTTTCTTCACAAATCACGGAGCAAAGTTAAGCAAAACCAATGCAATCTTAGAATACTTTCCACACTTAATGTTCTATCTTGTTAATTGTTTGTTGGATTGGTAATCAAATGAAACAAAGGGTATGAAACATCTAATTTTACAATCATGAGCTTTACAAATCACTGAAAAAATACATGCGTACTACATAGCAACAGATATTGTCTGTTATATTGAGAAGTAATTAGTCACAAAAAGTAAAGGAGAGTGTAAATAGGAGAAAACAGTAAAAAAGAAACAAAAAGCTAACAAAAAACACTTCAAGAAGGACAATATATTTACAGAAAAAGGTATCAAATGGGAGACAACAATTAGATTTCATTCTGAAAAAAATAGCCAGTCCATAATTATTCAATGAAACATTTGCCATAACATGCAAATGAAGGTTACAGTACTTATGAAAGCTTTTCCTTTGTGCAACCATGAGTTTCAAATGCATCTTTAACTTCTAGTTTTTATATTTGTCAGTAATGGAACTTTCTAAATTTATCTAGAAATTTGGTATGGAATAGGATCACACACACTCACATTGTGAAGGCATTCAGGAAGTTGTTGAAAGTGAGATCCATCTTTCAACCCTCGCACACAGGCCAACAGACAGTACAGAGCATGTCTCAAATTACCCTTCTTCTGTTTATGGGATGGAAATATCATTAATAATTTAATTATGTCAGAAAAACCAATTCTAATCAAAATTTCAAAGAGAAATAAATTGTCTCACCACAAATGAAAAATGTCATCTACCCACCTTGAATCTGAAAAAAATTAAATAAAAATTTAATTAGTGAAATGAAAACAGTTTGAAATTTGTTATAGTTGTTTGCTAGGTATTGATAACTTGGATACATACACTATGACAGCCAATCAATTTCACCTCTCTGTAAAAAGTATTTCAGTATAGTGCTGCAGCATTATTAAGCAATTGATAATACAACTAATCACTGACCACTGACTGACTCTGGTTGACAAACTGACTGACTAACTGACTGAATGATTGACAGGCTGTCTGACTGACTGAATGACTGACTGTCAGACAGACTGACTGATTAAAGTGGATAAATTTCTAAAAAAACTGTGGTGCTGCATTAGAAAGAGAGCAAAACAAGGTAATTTGCTATTATTAGCTGAGTTGATTAAGTAAATTGACCAGTATAAAGAGTTTCAAAGTTGACATTTCGCGCATTTAAGCCCTTCATCATGATTGACTCTGATGGAGGGCTAAGACTCAAAACATCAGCTTTGAAACTCTTTACAGTGGCCAATTTACAATATCAACTCCGTTAAAATTACTAAATTACCCTGACTTACTGACTGAATGAATGAATGAATGCTTGATTGCCCGACTTCATTAACTACCCGACTGACAGCCTGCTTAATTTAATTGACTGACTGCCTGACAGACTATTACAAGGATGTGAAAAGAAGCGCAGGTTGAGAGAAAAACACAAGAAAAGATGAAGAGAAAGACAAACAAATATGATATCATAAATTTTACGTGGGTCATTCACATATGATTACAGATCAGACTGTGTTTTTAGCTTTGAAGTTTGCAAAAACTTTGAAACTCATCACAACTGAATAACTGAGAAAAAGAAACACATTTTATGAACTCATACGTTCGTCCACAGCCTGAATTGCAAAGTATTTTTAGAGCTTACTTGATTCCTTTTTCGTACAGTAAATGCCGTTCCTGGTCATTAAGCGGTTCCTGGGGTAACTTCGCATCTGGTAAGAGGTCACTGTTTTCATCAGCTTGACTACGAGATTGTTTATCAACTTCAGTCTCCGAATTCTCTGCATGAGTATCTTCAACTGTACCCTCAGAGCTCATATAATCACCTCTATCGTTAGAGGCTTCTTCAGATTCCATCCTTAAATATAGTTGTACATGATAACTACAATACGAAAGTTATGATTCAAAGAAATGGATGAAGAACTTTTGATCATCGAAGTACATTTCATTTGCACCTCGCAGAAGTTTCCGTTTATTACCTCATATAATTTACATTGAAAATATCATCGATATTGGAACAATCCCATGCATCTTTGCAATCACGACTTGGCCAAAACACGAACAAGGACGAGCATGATGGACTCACAACCACTTGTAAGTCTCACTTCCATAGATATCCACGAATCTGAAGCCAAAGTGTTCGATGATCATGAAGCGTTTATTTCGCTTCTATCCGAACACGATGTGCCTTGTTCCAGAGGGAAAGTGCGTGTAACTCGACAAGGTAAAGAGGGAAAGACTGCGATTGTCACTTTTCACGATATTGGACAAAATCATACATCAGCTTTTTTGGGTTTCTTCAACTTCAACGAGACTCGTCCACTTCTCGATAATTTCTGCATCTACCACATCGATGCGCCAGGCCAGGAGGAGGATAGCGAGGAACTGCCAGAGGAATATTCATACCCAACGATGGACGAGTTATCGGACATGGTAGGAGAAATTGTGAGTTATTTCGGCATCAAACGCTTTATTGGCTTCGGAGTGGGTGCAGGAGCCAATATCCTCAGTCGATATGCGCTGTGGAACCATACGAAAGTTGAAGCACTGGTACTGGTAGAGCTTGTGGCCTCTAATGGCGGCTGGATCGATTGGGGATATCAAAAGGTATGCTATTTTATAAATGAAATTTTAAAAGTAGCTTATTTTGCAAGTGTGCAAGGGGGGCATTTAAACTATGCTTCTGTTAACTTGGAACAGGGTTTTAATTATTCATTAAATTGCGCGTTTTATACTAAAACAAAATATATTCGTTACTTATTTTTACACGTTCAAAAATGATTTGTGCTTTGGTGTTGTTTTCTAGTGAAGTGGGGCGGAGGTGTGTGCGAAAAAGATTTTTAAAAAATCATTTTTGTTAGCTTACCGGTGAGACGTATTAGAGGGCTTCACAAAATACGTGGAAATTGTGAGATTGATGAGGGTGGATCTCTGTAATGGGATACATCCAAAGTTTGTATGAGTGAGGTACATACATGCATGTATGTTTTTCAAACAGACAGTTTGGTTCCTCATGCTCTGAGCACTACCTAATTTAAAGTAGTTGTAATAGCTAGGGGGAACTTTATAAAATTGAACGAAAGGATATCCCATACCCAATTCCTAAGCATTTTTCAGGATAGTGAACTTACTGTTCATTCCCAATTCTCTAGTGGGATTGGTGACTTGACTTGAGAAGAGATGAAAATTTGACATTCTGTTTGGTGTGCAATTAGAAGTTTTGATGTTTTATCAATTACTACAGGTTGTGGTGTTATGGTATATTGATAACATATTCAGTATTAAAAATGAATCAAAATTTTAAGTTAGGAAACAAAACTTATGTGATTTGACATTAAACTTGATGCCAATTTTTTTTTTGTAGTTGTGTGTCAAACAGCTACAGAAAAAGGGTCTGACAACTTTTGTGGAAGACTACCTTCTTTGGCACCACTTTGGTAAAAAGACAAAGGATGAAAATATGGATCTTGTACATGCCTTTAAACAGAGTCTCCATTCAGTCCTGTCTCCTCGCAATCTCTCTCTATTCATCAACTCCTACCTCCATCGCACAGATCTTCAGATTCAGCGGCCCAACCCCACTAGCGGCAAAAAAGTGCAGTCATTGAAGTGTGCATGTCTACTGATAACAGGAGCTAACTCTCCCCACCAAGATGATGTCATTGACACCAATTCAAGGTTGGATCCCTCAAATTCCAACTACTTTAAAGTGTCTGACAGTGGTGGTATGCCTCTGGAGGAACAGCCACATAAAGTTGCTACGTCACTGATCTTGTTTCTTCAGGGCCTTGGCTATTGTAAGTGTATATGATGACCTGCTACTCAGGCACTAACTGTGAAAATGTGTTTAGATAAAATAATGACTTTTACCTGGAAGTACCACTTGCATTTCTCTTGAGAAAGAGTTTCCAGATCCAATGTTGATGGTTGATTTTTGTAATGTACAATATGTGTAGTGTAGAATGCAATTGTTCAAAACCAAGAATAATTTACCTAGTAGCAGAAAACTGTTCTTTTTGTGTGGCAATTTTTTGTTTCTTGATTTATTCACATTTACTGAAAAATCTTCTAATGACCATACATGACAAAACAACCTTAAGTTACTTTCTATCTATCTCACTGCTTCAATACATTATTTGGGTATGTATTTAATCAGTTGTTTTGAATTTTCTGTTGATGTTTGTTTCCAGTGACTCGCCTTCATACAAATCCCCCCAAAGTCACACCACCAGCTACAAGGGAACCAAGCGTGTGTTGAAGTCAAACTAAGCAGACTGCATCCGTTGCACAGTTCACCCACACCTCAGTGGTGACACAGTCTTCACAAGCTTCACTATCTGTCAGAGTAGAAGTAAAACTTCTGATCACAAGTTGTTATGAGCACATGAGAAAAAACAAATTAAATTAGTGACAAATAATTCATATTAATTGACAGACCAGTAAAGTGTAACCACAAATCAGAGACTGCTGTTCAAACCTCAAACAGAGATGTTAGAGTCCTTCTTATCGGGGTTGCTAAATTAATTACAACTTGCTGCATAAATAAGTTGTAGCATTGTTATGTAAAGAGATGAGGATAAATTATTAATAAGCATGATAAAGAATGCAACAGGATGTAATGATTTGTATTATTATGTGGTCATCTTTATCATGGAATTTTTTTCTAAAATGTATTGTGTGTAAAAACTATTTTTAGTCACCTCAATAATTTTGTCACTGTGTTACCCAAACATCCACTCTTTATAATCGCACTTGATGTAAATTAAATTGTATTTTGGGACCCATGCAGCTTTATGATACTGATTGCTTTCAAAAGCAGTTTTCATTGTTAACTCTTTAACTTCCAGTTAACATGTAACTTCTCCCAATAATGTCCATACATCATCCAGCAAATAAGTAATAATAATAATGACAATAATGACTTTATTGGATAACACAATTACTGGTAGAACCAATAGTTCTTATTGTGGTCCTCTAAGACTCAAATTTATCAGTTACAATTTGTTATTTTGATCAGCACCAAATTCTTCTGACTAATTTACAAGGAAATGTTGAGCAGCTTGAGGGGAGAATTAACAATCAGATATTGGGAGTTAGAGGGTTAAAGTAAGAGTCAGCTCAACACCAAAACAACCATTTACATTAAAACAAGTTATGATAACTAATTATTTCCTCCTTTGATATCCCAATTGATATTGAGTGATATTGATTTCTTTGATTATCAATTTCATCAATTATGTTAAGTTACACAGTCAGGAAATAAATGATATCTTCCTTGTTCAGTATTACCTAAATTCAGTAATAGTTTTGTGAATTAACTAAAGCCACTTGCCCTCAGATCCCACCAATCCTGACTAGATATTACTAAATATGAAGAGTTTCAAAGAGGGAATCTCAATCATTTTTTTCTCAGAACAGCCATCTAATTAAAATGCTAATTAAACTGAACCTGTGGTCTGTCTCTTTCTTTTGTATACTCAAGAGAGAGTTAAATGGTAGCAGGGCTGTTACTTCATGCAATTGAAGGGTATTCATGTTTGTAACTCAAAATTTAAATTCACCCATTAACCAATCACTATTTGAACTGTTTGCCACACATTACTTGTGATGATGATAAATTGACAATGACAATTATAATTTTCAATAACTTTATACATATGGCAAGAAGTTGGTGTTTTTGGTTTGCCCTTGGACAGCTGTAGCTTTCGAGCAGGCCCTCATTAGTAGTATTTCAGCACAAGCATTACTTTGGGCATGGGAAAGTATGAGGCCTTCAGGTGCATTTTCCTGGGAGTAGTCCACAAAGAATCTAGCAATGACTAGTGGACCATGTGAAAATATTCCCTTTGGGTAGAGAAATGCACTGCCTGCAGGCTAGAAGACTTGTGGGTAATGTAGCTTGGTGATAGAAATGAAGTTGCATAGATTTCTGGGAGACTACACTCCCCCCCTCTTTAAATAATGGCAGCCAAGGTTCATTCCAAAACCTTTTGATCCAGATTCCATCACATAAACAATTATGATATAAGAAGCTGTACTATACAATCATTTCAGTGGATTCAAATCTATGATCTACTGGATGACAGATGCATAGATGGAGTCACTGTTACAAAAACTGTACTTTCTTTCTGATATAAAGCAAATAGATTCAATGTGGCCACTGGTCTGTTCAGTGACACTTGGCTATGCCTGATGTGCCATTATTTTGTTCTTACCACATCTTGACATCATCTGCTGTGATCCATAACTAAACAGACCCTCCGCAACATGGAATCTATTTGTCAAGTTAATTTCAAACAAGTTCACACAAATGCAGTATAAACTAACACCAAGATTTATAAACTGTCGGCTTTATTTTCATATATTATTATTTGTATGTACAATATATCTCTGATTTAAAATTTATAAAACAATAATGCAATAACACATGCTGACTGTGAATCAGTCACATGTGAATGTAAAAATAACAAACTGTCAAGTGAGTGCCTTGGGGAAGGGAGATTTGGGATTAAATATTGCAGACCTATTACAGTGCTGCCTATAGCAATCTTCAAGGTAGCTGAATACAGTTTTCCTTAGCTCTGACTGGCTACAATCAAAGTTCTCGAATACCAACTCTCCCTCTTTGCAGTTAAACAATTTTCAGATGTATTGACCTTATGATAGACATTTGAAATAGGTGGACCTGGCATGACAATCATTGATATTCAACTGTCATTTGGGGATCGTCTTGAAAAATCCTCTGTAAAGAGTTTTCAAAGCTGAGTGACAGTTCAGCAAAATAATGATAGTAAGCTAGGATTTTCTTTTTCTGGGTAAGGCCTCACTGTTGAATCAATTTCAACCAAAAAAAAACTTTATTGTTGTCAGAGCTTTGGGAAAATGTATCCAGCCACGTTAATAGAGGAGACATACCTTTTCTTATAGGTGTTTCCATGCCAAAGGGGCTGGGTCACAGTATTTTAGAAGGTTTAATTTGTTTTCATTATTTTTCTCTGAAGGTGAATAGAATTCAGACACTGGTTGGCACATTTCCAAACTAATGTAACCTTTAACAAAACCAAAGTATGTCACATCTGGCAGATGAAGTAAATTTCAAAAATGCTGGTTAAAATTCTCTAACCTTGCCAACCTGTGCTACACCAGTCAGCTTTGAACTTGCTTAAAATATGTGACTTAGTCTATTTTAAGTATTTGTTGGTTTTGCATGCAGTGTGTACCTTCAATTTCTCTTCTTGTTAGACATAACTCCTTCTTAGACTTAACTTCAAGCTATGTGCATCATCAATGCTTCTTCAAAACTCTTTAAATATATTTGCCTAGAATTGCTTAAAAAATAGACTAAATAAAAAAATATATTAAGAAAACATTTTAACATATTACAAAATAAATAAGCCATCTTTTACAAGTTCAACAAACATTTTCAACTTAATGGATATTTAATGCAAGCAATGAAAACCCACCAGTTCTTCAGTCAGTGCAATGTATTAAATTCAATAAGTCATAATCAAGATATTATATCAAGATATTATAACAACCGCTAAAATCTACTTGCTCTCTTATTTTCCTTTTGGAAACATTTATCTCTTACACAGAGTGCCACTTCCTCTCCAACAGTAGCCACAGTTACTACTAACAACTTAATTCCATATTCATACACAATAGATCAACTGATAATTTCAGAACATGAGTTTTAGAAGCAAGTGAAGTAACTTATGTTTGAATCTTGGACTACACTTAAACCATCAGCAACAAATTATCGACACAGTGCCATCTAAGATTTTGACTATCAGATGACAACACAGGCATCTTATCCCCCTTCCACCCTTAAACTACTTACAACACTAATTCAGAATTCAGCAAACAGACAAACTTATCAGTTAAATGACATTATAGTGATGCAACACAAAATTCTCCTTACTAATTAAAAACAAGAAATATTAATAGCAGATAGAAGGGAGACTTAAGAATTAAATGTTGGGGATTAAAGGGTCAAGAGCCCTACTGTATGGCACTGCAAACATCTTAATTGTCCTTTTTTTACTTTGATCACATATAGTATTTTGTTCCCTGAACATCTGAAGCAGCCACTTTTAAAACTGCTTGATATACTATTGAATAATTATTTTTCTTTATATTTATTATGTATTTGGGTAAACTCATTTCATCTGAAACTGTATGAGTCGTGCTAAGTCAGTTTTACTGACTTGCCCCCATAATTAGAAATATTCATTAGTGTTTTGGAGTCACCCATTCAATATGACACAACTTGAGCAATAGTCTAAGAAGCCTCTTTGACCAATTTCATTATTCTTTGTGTAGTGTACAATCTGAACACAAATTTTTTCCCACCATTCATCCATTCATCAGTTATGTGTGCATGTAACAGCCAAGGCCAATGAAATCTTTGTGCTGATGGTGCTGCGACGGGACATGACATATAGAAGCATAATGAAATGTTTCTTTCTGTCATAAACTGTCCAAGAACTGAAATCAAGAAATGAAATCAAGAATGTCTTTAGGATTAAAGAAAGCATAATATATTCATTATACTTGATGGTTTAACACATAATATATGCAAATATTTTGTGAATTGCACAGTTTTTACATTAGCAAAAAATATTTAATTTACAGAAAAAGTATGAGCATTAAGAAAATTCCCACAGACACTATATGTTAAACCATTAAATATGGGATTTATAACTTCACTGTTTCATTTTCTAGTATTTTGGCCTCCAATAAATTCAAAATCCATTAACTGCATTATGTGAGCATTGTGTTGACCACTTCGGGCCTGGGTCTTAACATAAAAAAGGCTCATGCAGTTAAAAGTTTGTTGGTCAAAAAGAAGGCCTTGAAAACAGAAAACAAATCAAAGTTTGGATGGTTCACTGAGGCCACTTTGTTTTTCCACTTTCCATCCCTATTTTTGCTCTGTTCTACAGTGTACTACATTAGGATATTTTGTGCATTCCATCACCCAAATATTCTAAAATGGCATAACAGTGGAATAATAAAGCACAATATGTGGGATCATGGTTACTAGTGTCTTGCAGCTTACATCTCTGAAACTTATTTCATGTATATAAAATTATAAATTAATACAATATACCATAAAACTTAAAAACAGAAATCAATCAACAAGTCTGAAAGATTGCTGATATCAATTGGTGATCAGAATATAAAAATAGTATCATAAAAAAACCAAATCAATTATAAAAAATAATGACTTCTAAAATTGGTCAACTGACAATCTGTAATCTAATCTATGAAACAGAAAAACTCAATTAAGACATCTTGAGAACACTCACATTTGAAGTCTGAGGAGCAGCAAAGACTAGTCTTCAGCACACAGCACTAATGGGACAAAACAATTTTACAATCAACCTCAATAATTTACCCATTACACCCTAATATTAGTATGCATAGTCTTCATACTGTTCTTTATACATTTCCTTAAGTGCTGACAAGAAGAATTTGTTTGACAATCAAGAGCCTCTTTAATTGGTGATCATTCCTTGATTCTCATGATCATTAATCCAAAGGAATATTACAGCCAGATTTAGAAAAAAAAAAACAGCTGGAAAAGGAAAAGTTTATCCTCTGGCTTATACTCCCAACAACTCAATAACCCCTTTTTTGAGCATCACGCATTTTTTTACAGTTTGAGTGTAGAGAATTTGGCATTGAATCAAACAAGATCCTCTGCATGGTATTTTTTTTCTTCTAATCACCTTTCTGTTTGGTAAAAATTGTATTCAAATTTGATCCTACAAGGACAGATTAGTAAATCTCTCATTCTGAGGGGTAAAGGTGTAATGTGTAAAATGAACGCATTTTAACTCATCTCCAAACCCTAGTAAGCACATGAGAATTTAAATTTTCACACATCACTTAATGGTCCACCAGTAATGCAAAACTTTTTTGGGATAAGCCTAGACACACAATGTCAGTTAAAATGTCTTTTCACACTTAGTGATACCTTTCAATATATATTCAGTTAACAAACCAGGAACTGTTGGGCTGTCAGCAATGAGGGCCTCCATAACTGAAAGATGATATCTTGATCATTATCAATTCAAACAATATGAAGATTATCCAAACCCTTACACTCTGAGAAGTGATTAACATGTAACTCTTCCCATCTGTAATATCCAAACATTATGCAGCAAACAGGTAATGAGAATATTCAACTTATCAGGTAGAAATTGTTATCTTGTTCCAACATCAAACTCTTGTAACTAATTTGCAAGGAAATGTGAAGCAGCAAGAGTCTTAACAAAAGCCAAAAAGCTTTCTTCAGAGAACATTATCATTGTTACCATTAATATAACAATTATGATGCTGCTTAAAGAAAGCTTTCTGAAGATGAGAAATGGCTTCTCCCCCTTCTAATTCCTTATCTGTAAGGTTTGAAGAAACCTTTTGGCAACCTGACAGAAATTATCCTTTTCACCTATCAGTTAAAATTGGCTGCTACCTGAGTTGTCTTCAGCCTTTTATAGAACAAATGATGTAGTTCTAATTTGCTGGGGCCTAAATAAGTCAGTCCCCTCATGAAAAATATGAACTGGCACTAACTTGCATACTACGGTTGTTAACCCTTTCACTCCCAAGATCTGATTGTTAACTCTCCCCTCTAGCTGCTACACATTTCCTTTTAAATAATTACAAGAATTTGGCATTAAATCAAGAAAACAACCTCTACCTGATAAGTTTAAGTATTCTTGTTACCTCTTTGTTAGATGATGAATGGATTTTATAGGGAGAAGTTACATGTCAATCACTTCTGGGAATTAAAGGGTTAAGCATTTGGCTAAAGAATGTTAAAAATCTCAACCAATTCACTCCTAACTCATGTAGCTAAATAGTACACATTTACACCAAACTTGAATGCACATTTAGTAACTCCTCCGTAATGAGAAATTAGAAGCCAGTCGCTCTTAAGGGTTTTATGGTGAAGGCAAAACCTGGAATAGTTACCTAGTGTGAGTCTGGTATTCTTGAAAAACATTAGTTTATGAGAGACAACTACAATAGTCACAATGGCAGTATTTTAATGTGAGGACTTACTCTCAATCAGTTGCAGTAGTACTTTATTGCTTGGACCTCCATCACAATCATCATAAGGAATCACTGTAGTTAAATACTGAAGGATACAGATAGTTAAGACTGAATGTAAATGTAATTTATGCACAGTTAAAACCAAGTCAGTGCAGTGATTTCACCAATGCACTGATAGGAAGGACATTTGCTCAATTAGCTTAGCTTACTTGCCACCTTTTGAGTTAGTATTTACTCCACTCACCATTTCGTTGGTGCAGAAGTTGAACACTCTTCTAACCTCTGAAAATACCAGGCACAAGTTTACCAAGCCAACCAACCCCTATATTGCTTTGCATACACCTCCAATAGAATGCATAAGATGGCATTTCATAGGCCTCTGTATCTTAAAAATAATATCTTGTGGCAGAGCATACCCAGGCCCCCATAAAAGAGCTCTCACATTGTCAGCCATCTACTCCATGCAGCTACACATCTATGCCATGACTTATTGAGAACCCTGTCTTGATCTAGACAACAATTAATTTATGTCGTAAAATAGGTTGTGGTCTGTCTATGTGATAAATAACACTTTCAAAAGAGAAATATATTCATTTGTCTCACGATGTGGTCACCTTTAGATGTGGTTCACAATGTTTCAACTGTACACTGCCAGTCTTCTTCAGGCAATGAGGTCTATTGAGTACACATTACCTTGATGCTGTCATGCTCAGCAGTTATTGGATGACATTTCACAACTGTGATTGGTGCAATGTTTTGGATCAGGTTCCCTCTGTGGACACCTGCCATGTGACTCTCCTGCTGTTGTGTTTCTTGATTGTCAGCATTCAGGCTTCTGGGATTTGTATTCCACTGTTCCTGTCAATGTTGTTAGGGTGAAGTCTTATGTGAATTGCCCTTTGCACCAATCACAGGCATGAAATTCCATCCAATCACAGCTGAGTAGAACAGCATATCAGTGACACGTAAGAAATCAAATTCATCACCTAAAGAAGATTTGCAGTATGAATTCGAAATTTTGTGATCCACGTCCAAAGTGACTACATCCTGAGACAAACAATAATATTGCTCTTTTGATCAACTCTCACTTACTTTCCCTGAATACGCAGAAGAGCCCTTCTTTCCTTTTCCTTGACCAGTCTGTGATTCTCTTATTTTGGACTGAACAGCTAATAATGTTGATATGAAATTGTTTTTTATTTCCTTTTCCCTATCTAATTCTTCTCTTAATGTTAGTTCTTCCACAAGTATATCAGAGTACTCCTTGACATAAGCTGCCATCTCTTGTTTTAAGTCTAAAAGTTCTCCATTTGAAAGTTCAGAAAGCCCTGAAAAAAAAATGCATCTGTTATTAAGCTGTTGCTTTAATTTTTGAATAATTTTGTGAAGGGGGGATGTTGAAGCTTTGAATTGATAAGGGAATCGGTGCTGGTTGCTAGCAAAATTTGCAAGCTGAGAAATAAGGGATCACCAGCCAGATTTTGGTCTGTAATTACTTGTTCAAGGTAATCAGTGATATCTCTTTATGCACAAATCAATTTGAAGCTTCAACATCTACCCATCTCCACTCAATGGGTAATTTGAATTTTGCCTGGATGGCATAGGGTATTTGAACCAGAACTTGCGATTCTTTCTAGCACAACAAGTGTTTTATCTGTTAATGAAGAGTTCACTATCACAAGCATATACTCCAAAGGAAAAATTAAATTGAAATAAAATTGAAAAATTGAAATTGAAATTGGAAAGGTCTACAAGAAAGTTATAGTTGCTAGCTTTTCCTTCTCAAAAAAAAGTTGATCATCAAATCCGACACTTACATAGGGCATTCCAACACTATTTTCTATTTTGACACCAGGGACAGGAACTTGAATGAACCAATCGTCAAAAGTTAAAATGCTTGGGGGTTCCCTGTGGGAGATGAGGGGTATAGTTTAAGGCTTCTAATTGATTGATACATTATAATCATATGTGATGATCATTCTATCATGTCTGTTTCTTTACCTGCTGCAGCCTGACCCTCATCAAAAGTTGACTGCCGATTATTGGGCTTCCCTCTGAAGACCAAGAAAATTTCATCCTCGTTTTCACTATTAGAATCATCACTGTTAGAGAGTCGATCAGATTGATTTGATAAAACACGATCCTCTTTAAGATCATTGGAACCACTATTTAATGTCTGACAAGACAATTGTGAGTTGAACTTCTCAGCAAATTTATGAAAGTCAAAAGTTCTTATTAGGACAGAGTTTGAGTCCTCCTCAAGATGTCCAGGTAGAAGATGATTCTAAAAGAGAAAAAAAACCAATGTTAACTTCAGGTAAATAAATAGCTTACCTAAAATCAGGTATAAGTTTATATACCTGATTAAATGCTAGTTGCACCCTTTGAGCGTAAAAATTGTGTTTATTTTAATCCTTTCACTCTTAGAAGTGATTAACCCTTTACATCCGAACATAAGTATCCATATTCCCCATACTGGTCTTTATACATTCCTTAAGGTGCTGACAAGGAGAATTTGTTTAACAATCAAGAGCTTCTATTGGTTGGTGATGATTTCCTTGATTCTCTTGACCTAATGTATGATTTAGGGGTGATATTGTAAGGAAATATTAGATGCTAGTCACTCTTAGGGGTTAAAGGGTTAACATGTAACTTCTTCCCATATAATATCCATATAATATTTCTATATCATATAATAAGCTCAGTTATGCACGCGTTTTGATTGGTTTTCACTTATGATCTATTGGAGGACAGACGTATAGATGACGTCATCATTAAAACTTTTTAAAATTCTTTATTATATAAAACAAATAGATTCCAAGTTGCCGTGCGTCTGTTCAGTAATAGATCACAGATGACGTCAAAATGTGGTAGGAACAAAAAAGTGGCACACGAGGCGCCGCCTCATGTGCCACTTTTTTGTTCCTACCACATTTTGACGTCATCTGTGATCTATTACTGAACAGACGCACGGCAACTTGGAATCTACTTGTTAATCATTCAACAAATAGGTATTGAGAATACTCAAACTTACTAGGTTTAAGTTTTCCTGATCTAACACCAAATTCTCAAAACTGATTCACAAGGAAATATATAGTAGCTAGAAGGGAGAATTAACAATCATATCTTGGGAATTTAAGGGTTTACTTTCAGAATATTAAGGGTAAAGTGAGCTTTTGAGACCAGAAAGCCTATTCTGGGGTCGCAGCTTACCTCAGTTTATGGAGTTTAAAGTGACTCAAAGTACTGCCACTCTTTTCTAAATTGAGTCCCCAATCCACTGAGCCCCCAACCCCACCTCCCAAGAATTTCCTGACAGTTTTTTGGTACCCATATACACTCCTCAGTGGGGAGAGTTACTGTGGGAGAAAAGTTTCCTCTCCAAGGTCACAATCAAATGACTTGAACCACCACACCATAGTACTTAATAAGGAATATAACACAAATATAACAGGAAAAAGGGGAGTGATGTCAGGGCCATCTGTGGGTGGAGAGGTGAGGGTTGCTTGAGGCAATTCCAATGCCCTAACTAATTTTTTTTGCATCTATAGAAATGTTTAAATGTTCAAATTTCTTAGCCACAGTCAACTTATTTGATTGCTGACAAATTATTAGGTGTCAATGTGAGAGTTGAAAAACCACTCTAGACTAAATCATTGAAAAGAGAGGGTAATCTGGGGATTTTCTGCTTCAATAATTTTGTAAGATTCTTGTTTGTTGTAGTTATAACTGCTTGATTTTAAATCAGTGACAGCTTTACAGTGACAACAAGGAGTAATTCAAGTCTACTTTCACTAAGAATTAAATATTCTAAAGGAGAATTCAATTCAGTGTGGGGTCAATTACGTTCGTTTGTACAATCTCCAGTATAAAAAACAGCTCTGTTGGAGTTCCAAAGTAAATAACCATAACATAGTACTCTGAAATGTATCATCACAGACAGAGAGAAAAACATCTAAATAAGCCAATCATAAAGCAATTTAAAAGCAGTAGTAAAATCAACATGAACAAATAAAAAATTTCAAACAAATGTTCTTACTCTGTCATCACACGGTAGAAGATGTAACGCCTTGGAGAATTTCAGTTCTGTTTCACATCCCCGCCAAACCAAAGGTTCGCCATAAGTTTTCAATGCAGGATCTACATGGTCGAGAATTTTGCTAACGAAAAGACGCAAAGATAATTAAGAATTTCACCCAGCACAATGAAAATCTATTAAAAATTTGATGTAATGTTTGAAAACCTTTCGTTGGCGCAAGGCGCTCCGTTAAAAAAGTCAGCTGACTGGAAATCTGATGGCGAGGGAAAACACGTGAAAAGGGTATTAATGACACTGGTAGGGTCCTGAGATTTAGCTCCAAAGTGGACATTGTCAAAAGTGTCAATCGCGGAGTTGTTGCGACTAAAATCAGACCATTCACTATTTTCGTCCGAGGGTCCTCCGTCTTCGCTGCCCGCCATGTTGTGTTTCGAAACACGTTCGAGTAGGCCTGGTTCTAGGTAATTTCAATTTCCCACCAGTCTTTGCAAAACGAGACAGTTCAATATGGCGGCGGTTTTCCTTCTGGAGGAACTTGCCCTCGAATGGTCACGTTTCCCACTGTGGTGACATTTCCCAATTAAAGCTTACATTTATGGTGGAAAGCTGTATTCCATCTAATTTTAACAGTTGATTTTTACCTCAGTTCCTCCCAATGGAGTCCACAGCTGCAGAGAGTAAGAAGGAAGGAGATAGAGACGTCATTCTCAACGGCGAGTGTTCGACGTCTCTAAATGGGAAAGAGGAAATTAACAATCCTGAACAGCCGCAGAAATTATGCAGTGCAAAGAAATTTACAGATCTCAACGGCCTAATGATCCACACTCAATCATGCCCAAGTACATCAACGAATGAAAATCATGTAACCTCTGGTCATAGTGATCCGATAGGATATGACCCGTCAACTTCAGAGAAGAAGAACTCCGCGGAACATGCCGGACCTGGAGATCCTTGTGAAAAAAGTACAAATTTAACTTATGTTAGTTACGAGTCTGAACTTCAAATGGAGGCAATTATGGCTCTTATAACAAAGGACCTTTCGGAGCCGTATTCAATCTACACATATCGTTATTTCATACATAACTGGCCAAACCTCTGTTTTTTGGTAAGTTTAGTAGGCTACATCACTTTTAAATAGATACTATACAAATTCTTTTTTCTGGCGAGGCTCTATAATAGACATGGAAAATCAAATTTTGAAAGCTAGCTGTCCGTGAGAAGGTTGTGCTGATTGAAGAAATTTTAACCATATCTCGATAAATCTGGATATCAACCATTTGTGCCCAGGGGGAATACTTCCCCCAAGGGGATACTTTCCCCTAGGGATGCACCCTCAACCTTCCTGTGTTACCTTTAGACAAATGATCCCTAAGAAGTTATGGTGTAGGAATTCTTGATCTATTTTGCATTCCACATGTGAACAGTTCTCAAAGAGGCCCCATCATATTATTCTGAATGTGTGAGAGCTTAAAGGTATCAAAAGTTGATTGAAATACTCCTTTGAGAGCATAAGTAATAAAGTTTTAAGCATGAGTTTGGTCATACTTAAAACAGTTCAGTTTATAGTGGCTTGATACGAAAAAAATTAATATTTTTACAGTTAGTTGAACATCCACATACACTTTGCTTTTTGAGAGAAATATGGAATAACCAGAAAAATGGCTTCAAATCACTCTGCATGTTCTGAAAAGGAATTAAAGTAAAAACCAATCATGGAAAAGGGTATCAGTTTACATTCAGCTTCTTTCTGACAACAAGATTGTTTTCATTTTTAAGTGAATGTTAGGACAAGGTTTATTAAGCCAAGCTTTAGATGCCAAAATCTTACCTTATTTTGTACAATGGTATTTGCTTTTTTATCATAATTTGGTATTATTACACTTAATGATCTGCATTACCCCAATAAGCGCCAAGTGTGGAAAGCTCCCTCTGAGAAATCTCCAGATTTCAAAACTTTGGACTTTTTCATTTGGCAACTTCTCTTTGTAGTTATCCTTTTTATTATTGTTGCCATTAATGAGAAGATTACTCTTCAACTGAGTGTCAATATCAGAAACCAAAGTAATCGCAAAAGCTGATTGGATCAGAGGAAAATACCTCTAAGAACCAATGAAAACTCAGTATAAAAAAAACAACCAAACTGCCGAACACCTGAAAAAAGGCAGGACACTAGTAGTGATTGGTTTTAGTATTGCATCAGATTGATTGAGAGAGTTGTGCAAGTTTCTTGTACCAATTACAGAGCAGAGTAAAATGCAATCCCTGATTACTTTCAACACTCAATTGAAAATTGCTCTATTTACTTATCCATAATTTAATACTACAGTGATGGACTGTTTTGTAGTCAGTATAGGTCCACATCAGGGCTTATGTCTTGCCAATTTATTCTGTAAACCTGGTTCGTCAATAATTTAATAGAGAAAAAAAATGATAAAATGGCATGGAATTTCTCTTGACTATTTCAAACTAACAATCTCAAGAGTATATAAGCACTCCATGCTGCTGGGTGTCATCTTGTTGTAAAACCTTCATTATTCACATGAATTGATGTCTAGTTATTTATAACTTTTTATATGGAAAAAAGTTACAAGACCATCCTACCTTGGATTATTGCTTACTACAAAATATTAACTGTGTGAAACTCTTATTTTTAGACAATATACACTTTCTAACATATTACTGTGATAATTTTGTTCTGAAAAAGTTAAATTAACCACATGCATCGAGTCTAACATAAATATTTTTGGATCCATTATTCTTTTTGGATAATGCTATCTGTGTAATTTGATTTTTAAAAAGTTTGCACCAGTGTTCATTTTGTATAATGTTAGTAGCATGCAGTTGACACATCATTTTGAGACTTTTGTACTGAAAGGCATCAGCTCCAATAGATTTTAATGTAACTGACTGGTTATTATACTTTGCATAGTTTGCTTCAATGACTAGTCTTTCTGCCATATACAAGATTCCATTTTCTGATTAGTCATTTTATAAATAGAAGTTGCAATTTTTTTGTATGTATCTTTTGTTGCAGGCAATGGACAGTGACAACTGTGTTGGTGCCATTGTGTGCAAGCTTGACATGCACAAGAACATGGTACGAAGAGGGTACATTGCTATGTTAGCTGTTGAGAAGGAATATAGACGGCAGAAAATAGGTAAGCTTTTTTGTAAACTTCCCTTTCAGCCACTTTGATGGTTTCTCAGAGGTAAAGCATGGAAAAAATGTCAAAAAAACTACTTGTTGACAATTTACTAGTACCCCAAGCAGAAGAGCATCATCTGAGATGTGCCAATGATGTGTCTTTGGGTAATGTTTTGGATACTTGTAAACATTAAAATATATCCACTCTCTTGTATTGTGAAAGGATGGTAAAACTGTTTTTAATTTTAATGTTCACTTTGGTAAAGTGAACCATGGTAAAGAGTTTTCAAAGCTGACAGTTCAAGTGTCAGCCCTTTGTCTTCGGCTTTTTACAGTGACCAATTTACATTATCAATGCAGCTGATGAAACCAAATTATTTAGTAATACCCCTACCCACCTATCTACCAGCACAGCACCACAGTTTCTTTTGAACCCCACCCCCACTCACACCCACCTACCATCCCCCTTAACAAAAGAATTCAGACCTGCTAATTTTCATATTGCATGGAACTATCAGTTCTGAATATGTCATTGGCTTGATAATAAAATTATACTCAGTTGTACTCTAATAAGAGTAAAGCAGTTTTGTAGGAGTGGATATTTTATCTGCCTTTCCATTATTTCAGGTTCAAATCTTGTGGTAAGAGCAATCAAGGCAATGCAAGAAGATAGCTGTGATGAAGTAAGAATCGCACTCTAATTTCTTCTTAAGTCTTCAACTATCTTTGTTTGATTATTTTATGAAATTTCAAAGATCTCTTGCAGGAAAGGGTGGAAGACATAGACAGGGCATTCACCATTAAGAAATCTTCTCATAAATATTAGCCAGAGTTCTTGTATTTAATTGCTTTGGTAAACAAAACACTGGCTTTTTGCTTTACTTCTTCCTAATCATCTCTTTCTCTCATGGCCAACCTTTCAAAATTGTGTATGTTAGTTGAAAGACTGAGCTACTATTGTGAAAGTTGACTTAGTGCCAAATGTAAGTGACATCTGAAATGCTTCCAATTGGTTTGGCTGCACTACATGCTATGATTGGTTAAAATTATTCTGAATCATCACCCCATTTCAGACCAATCTGATACAATTTTAAACTAAGTTTGGATGCACCAATCACAAATGCTTGCCTGACCCTGTTGGGTTTCTTTACTTAACCCCTAGACCCTGCAGAGTGATAAGCTTCTAATATCTCCATACAATATAACCTCTGAATCAAACACTTAGGGTCACAAGAACAGACTAAACGATCACCAACTCTTGGTTAAACAAAGTCTCCCTTTCAGCAACTTAGGAAATGTATAGAGAACAGTATGGAGAATATGCACACTGATGTTAGGGCTTAGAGGGTTAAACTTAGCCCTTTCTTATTCACCTTTACCAGAATCTCTTTGGTATTTTTCTTATGAGACTTCACTAAAACTTATGTGCTATAATTATGATAATTTTTTACTTGTGTGATATCACCAATCAGCTGCTGACATGCCACTCACCTTTTGTGCCACTCTGTCAGGGTGGTGAATGAATAGCAAAGTGTTCACCCAGCTTCATTCATTAATGAAGTCTACTTTTCTTCTTAGGAAAGACCTTTGGTGGTTATGAAATAAACAAAATAATGCCCACACCCCCCCTCCCATGTGGTTGATGGTAGATGTGGAATCTATCCTCTTGTATTTAACTTGTGAGATATCATGTTGAACACTCAAAGGAAAATTCCGTATGTACACATTCCCATGTGCTATTCCTTATTTGGCTCACATGTTGTTTTACTTCAGGTTGTACTTGAGACGGAGGTAACCAACACAGCAGCTCTGCGACTCTATGAGAACCTGGGATTTGTCCGTGACAAAAGGTTGTTTAGGTATTATCTTAATGGTGTTGACGCACTGAGACTGAAGTTGTGGCTAAGATGAGGCAGATATTTTGAATTTTTTACTGTTCTAATTTTTTTTTCTTTTTTTGTTTTGGATCTTGTATTCAGTGAAAGTCTGTCTGTTTTGTAAGTAAAATGTCAGGCTAACAGCCATGTAAAAAGTAAATTAATGGCAATGGTAAGTTTGGAAGATTCCAGTTGAAATAATTTGTGAAATGTTCCTACTGAAATAAACATCAATGAAATGCTATTATTTTATTTATTTTTGTTTTAATATTAACTCTTTTTGTACAATGCAGAGAACAGTGAACTCAAAATATTTTTAGGAACATTATTTGTTGTGACCAATCACATTGGGAAACAGCAAAAATGTAGAAATTACAAAATAACTACATTATCTGCTCAACTCTTCCACTCCCAAGATTTTATTAGTAATTCTCCCTACTGTCTGCCATAAAATTCTTACAATGTTTTTGGAGAATTTGATGTTGGATCAACTAGTAATCCCTTAACTGATATGTTTTTTTTTTATTCTTGTCACTTGTATACTTGATATTGTATTGATATTGTAAGGAGAAATTCTGTGTGAGTCACTCATAGGAGTTATAGACTTAAAGTTTTGGGTATTCACATCTAATTGGTTTCTTCATGGACACACATATTCTTGGTGTTTATTGTTTCCTGAGTTTGACTGTTAAATTTGACTTCATCTACCTTTAAATCGAAAGTTTAAAATTGATAACAAATGCCTCTTGTAGTTTCAATAATTCTTAATACCATAACTCCCAGAAGTGATTAACTTGTAACTTCTCCCCATAATATCAGTTCATTATCCAATAAACAAGTAACTTATCAGGTAGAAGTTATCTAGCACCAAATTCTCATAACTAATTTATAAGAAAATCTGTTGCTGTCAGAGGAGAGAATTAACAATCCCATATTGGGAGTTGATCTTTTCACTCTAGTGGTAAATGAACATGACGTTGGGAATAGCTGTGATGGACTGTCATTTTACCACAGCTCCCTGAAATATGTTGGACTTCAATAATGGGATATAATGAAAATCATCTTGAAATGTGGAACCCTAACAATTTTTCTTGAGCATAATTTCTTGCAACTGTGAAAAATTTATTATTTTCCAGGTGAGAATTACCGGTATAAGAGGCCAGTTGTTCTGAGTCACAAAGTTACTTTTAATACCAATAACATGAAAATTATGATTTTTTTTTCATGCCAAATATAACACAGCACCAAATGTAACAAGAACAGAGGTTTCCTCTGGTCAAAATAAAAAGCTGATTTTTGATGAGGGTATTTGTTTTATCACACTGTCATTTTCTTTGCCCTTTTTAAGAGACATAAGTGACTTAATCTAACTCAAGACTGTGGTTCCACAGGGAACAAGATCTTAAAAGTTTTAACCCATTTCAGACCATAGAGATGAAAGCTATACCCCAACAATGTTTACCTCCCTGCCTAACAGCCTTTTAGGAGGAAGGAGGATGCTGTAGTCTTCTTGGGGTGTCATGTAAAACTAATTGACAAATCTATGTGTAACTATTTGACAAACCATTGGTCTGGTATAGTGAACAGCATTTATCATCCACATAGCTCTTCATTTGTTTGAAAGTGGCAGCTGATAAATGGCCAGATTCTTTTGGTCCATTTTCCTTGTATCTCGTGGTAGTATTATGCTGAATCATGTAAGACCTCGTTCCAGGTTAAACCACCCTCCCCCCCTCTCACTCAAAGTTGCGGACAAACTTTTTGGTTGTTGAGGGTTCCTTGAGACCCTGATTTCTTATCCATCTAACATCAGTGCCCACTCTTTCCATCCTCTCTTGTGGCCCTTACCATTCCCTTGTGGTTTGTTTAGACTGCAGAGATGTCAGTTCTTTTATGAAAAACAGGACAAGGTGGTATACTTTGAGGGTTTTTGCTTATGTTTTTCAAACCCATCATGCAGTGACCCACAGACTTAAGAATATTTAATACTACTAAGTTAGGATATGATTCATAAACAATCCTTGAACTTAGCTTTTAGTTTGTGAATATTTAGCAGTTTCCATCAGTTTTTTCGTTTTTATACAACCTCACAAGCTTGAAGCTTTGATTTTCATCATGTATGAGTAAAGGTTGTAGAATGTATGTATATGTGTTCTTTTTCTTCCTCTCTTCATAATTCTCTCAGTTCCCTTTTCTGCCTTTTTCCTTACCCCAGGATAGAATATAACTCAGGAATAAAAATACTGTCTTCATATACCATTTGGTAGACTGTAAATGTTCTAATTAGCATCCCTTAAGGCAGCTTGTTTAAGACTGGTCAAATATGTAATATTCTTTGCCCCACTCCTTCCCCATTCCTTCTCTTTGACTATCACCCACCTCTTAGTGCAAATTTATTTCTCTCCCCAGCCTTCAGCTGCTGTTAAAATAAAAGATAGCAGCTATAATGCTCACAAAGAGATTACTGCGCAATTGTTTGCCTAAACTACACCTGCTCTGCAGGTTAAAAAGCTAATTCTGATTGTTCTTTCGAACTGGTACTCAGCATATCAGAAACAGTGCACAGTAAGAATTTCTTTGGTTAAAAACAAACTAGAAAACAATTATTAGAGTTTGAGCAAGGAAAGGGAGGAGAGCTCATCAAAATTGAAGCTGCGCGTGGGAGGCTGCTGAGAAACATAAACGTGCAAAACATGATATGCATTTTGATATATTTTAACCATTTCTCAGACCGTTGAATAAAAGAAAAGGATGGACAAATTAGGCATTCTCTCTAGACATCGAAAATCTTGTGTGCAAAGATATTGACTCAATAGAAAATCCTGCGCCAGTCTTCAAGTCTCAAGGACCCCAACTGTGTCTAGATAACAAAACTAGGGGCCTTCTGAGCGCTAAAGCTTTCGTTTTAAAACACACTTTTCTCGCCTTTTTATCTTTCGTTTTTACCTAGAATCCACAACAAGACGCTGGAAAGAGGAGAAGGAGGCTTTCCAAAACGATGTGATAAAAACAAACTGTCACTAATTGTCGCTTCCATCAGCGTTTGTGGGCGGTACGAAATTCACAATATGTTGTCAGATTAAAAAACGTAATGAGTGTGAACAGGTGAAAACAAACTGAGCATGAAAGTGTTCAAAGAAGCAACGATGGAAGTAGGTTTTAGACCAGGTCAGTTCATACCTCTGTTCACAGGAGCAGCGAAATGCCACAGTTAGACTACACTATGAGTTCGTGATGATAAAATGTTGACATGAGACGAACAAAATATATGAGGGTTATGAAGAGAGCTCTGAAATTTGCATATCTTGACTATTTCGGTGACCATCTCGGTCTGAATATCTCAATCAGGTTAAATGAAATGTTGATCGACGTATTTGTGGTATTTTTTTCGCGTTCATGGGCCGTTTGAAGCGTCATTTTACGAAATTAATGGGAACATGGGAACAAATAAATACGTCCATTAACATTTCATTTAACTTCATTGAGATACACCCCCTGATTATTTGCGCTTCACTGCATTTCCGGAAATAGGCAGGTAACCAATAAAAACGAGTTAAATTAAAAACCGGAAGCTCTGTTTTCCCACTAAAACGGTGAGGCAGTTTTTTTCTTTCGGCTAGAAAGAAATGGCTTCGGCAAAACCTCCTCCGCGGTCACAAATATGAGCCGATATTTGCTGCACTCTATATTTTTCAAATGAAAATCCTTGAGTATCGCTGACGTTGATCTATTTCACAATTTTCTCTTTTCTTTTCTTTGATCGTAGACGATACTTTGGAGCAACAAACAACTGCACTCGAAGGTTTACCCGCCACAATTTGTTTGATGCAAACTGGCATACTCTGGTGAAACGGTGTGGCTGTTTTTTTTTTTATCAGGGAAAAATGGCTCAGCCAAAACGCTCTCTGCTGGCGCAAATACGACTTGATATTTATCCTTCAAATGACAATCCGCTAGCATAAGCCACCGTTAATCCGATCAAAGCTGCTTATTCCATTTGATCATAAACAATACACGTGGAAGCGGACAAACAACAACCACGCTCCAAGGTTTCCGCCCGTCTTAATTTCTTTCGTTAGAACCAACGCCTGAAATATCAGGCGTAGAAATTGCTTCTTTTTATTCCGATTTTAATGCGCGATACATATTAAATTCCGAAAGACATGTAAGTGCTTCATCGCGAGCTAGAGCGGAAGTAATATCTTTGCTATCTTTCTCTTTCTCCCCCAAGACACATGTGGCTTGTGATTGACAGCCGGAGCTTAACCGCACCAATCAGAGTTTTGCAAAATAACAATAACTTTGGGCAGGCGTAATCTCTCCTCCCCCACCCTACCCCTCTCCTTATTTATTTATTTATTTATTTATTTTTTTGACCGTCGACCGCCCCCATAGTACAAATTTATTTCTTTCCCCAGCCTTCCGCGGCCATTAAAATCAAAGATGGCGGGCAAAATTTCCTTTACGAAAAAACTGAGCACTCGTTCGCCAAATTAACGCCTGCTCTGCGGGCTAGGCGATGATTAGAAGCCAATATTCAAACTGTAACAGGCCGGAGGCCATGACAACCTTAAGAAGTACGTAGTCGTGTGTGAAACATGACAAAAGAGGTAAGACTTCCAAGGCACGTAATCCCTTTTCATCTTGAAACTTTTTACGCCGGTTTTACCATGGTGCGTGGTACGTGGCGTAAACCGAATTTGACACCCATGCGGGTCTAGGAACATGGTCAGGGCACGCTTATGGGCGCCCATACACGCTCCCTCGGGATTCGTATCCAAGATCCTTGTAAGAGCAGAGATTAATCAGAACCCTGAGCTACAAGAGACATCTTAGATCCGCAATTTTGACTCAACTCCAAGAACAATAGGGTAATTCGAGCGTCGAAACGTTAGCTTTTAAACTCTTTGCCGTGGCCAATTTACGTCTTCATCTTAGTCGATACTACTTAATTACCCTGTTATACTCTCCCACCGACGCAGCACCACAGTTTCTCTAGAAACTTACCCCCTTTATCCAAGAACAATAGACTTCGTTTGCTTGTATGCCTTATTTTCCCAACGTTAGTCATGTCTTTGTACTCTAGAGAACTCTTTCTTTCAAATTTTGCCCTATTGACGTGATTAGGTACGCATAATGTACAAAAGACAAATAGAGGTATTCCCTTGAGTCCTCCACTCAGAAAATAGCACATGCAAATAAATGACTGAAGGGGTAAGTTTCTAAAGAAACTATTGTGCTGCGTGTTTCTAAAGAAAATTGCGAGGCTGCGTTAAGGGGGTAAGTTTCTGAAGAAACTGTGGTGCTGCGTCGGTGGGAGAGTATGACAAAGTAATTTGGTTTCATCAACTGAGTTAATAATGTAAATCAGCCACTGTTAAGAGTTGTGAAGATACGGAAGTGTGCGTCGGTGGGGGAGTATAACAAGATAATTTGGTTTTAGCAACTGAGTTAATGATGTAAATTGGTCACTGTAAAGAGTTACAAGCAAAAGAGGGCTTTGGCCCTTTGGGACCCATAGGCATTTCACTTGCATAAATGTGAAACTTTGATTATTTCAGAGTCTCACAACAGAATTGAGAAAGATACACTTCATCTCTGGTGGAGTTCAAACAGAAAGATTGTCAAGGTAAAAAAAGAGCGAAAAGTATAAACAATCTTCAACTTTATCACCCATGTAACTGACTACTTTCCACATAAAAAGATGGAATAAACCCAAAAATTAGAGAAAGATTTTTTTCGTCTTGTCACCAGCGTGGGACAAAGAAAAAAATTCTGAGTTCCTAGGAGGAATCGAACCAAAGACCTTCGAATTCTGCGCTCCGATGCGTAATGAGCAGTGCCTATTACGAAGTGCATATATGACACGCGTCCTTGGCCTTAGAAAGTTTTAGCACATCTCTTCTTTGCTACATGCCTCGACCAGATACGTGTTCTGCATGTTCAATCTAGCCACAGTCATAAATATTCGTCGAATTTCTGGTTTCCTGGTCAAAAGTTGTCTCGTTTTATGCACCATACAAAGCCGTGCGCAGTATGAAAAACAGATACCTTGTCACAGAAACTAGAGGGTGGAAAGATCGTTCGAAGGAATTTCCATCTCGTTCCAAGCTTCCCCAATTTTTTTCGCTACAGCTGAACCCCGATATTACTACATCACGGGCGACGAGCCGGAGAAGAAAAAATGTCCGAAATATGAGTCGTCATCGATGAAATAGCTGTAGTATCGCATGTAGAAACAAAACGTTTGTTGCTCCAGTAAATAATCGTGTTATAAATCATAAAATGATAACATTATATAGAATA